CTTTTCCATGGTGTTAACATTTTTGACTGTTTCATGATTCACATTATTTTTAGGGTTGATGTACGAGGATATTGAAGTGTACGGCAATGGTATAACTATGGAAGAATGTAACACAGCTGAAATAATCCCGTTGAAGAATAAGTCTGGCTTTCGATAATGTCAGATAATGAATCCTGCAGCAATTATTATTCATTTACAATACTCGGAACAAGTTTTCAGTTGTGCATGTGTATACACGTTGTGCCATTGCAATCAGTTAGCTGTGTTTTGATGATTTACATTTCATGTCATATAATTCGTGACTGCTTCCTTCTACAATTTCTGGGCGAAATTTCATTGCAAGTGTTCTTGCACTTTGGCAAGCGATGAGTTTAATTACTTGTCAGACGAAAATTAGTGTTTGTTACTTAACCGTCTTTTTTATTTAAACCTGTAAACAATAGGGAAGTTTGGAATTGGAAAATTGGCTTATCATACACTTATTAATATAGAGAAACGATTAAGTAGTCTTCATGGGTGGGAAAATGATGTCAGATGTCTGCCATTATTATAGACAGACTGAAATAGGAGAGCATTAATGATATTAAAAATCATCGTAAGGTTACTTCTTAACTAATAGTGTGGCCTGAAGGTGTACTTCTTCATTCTACGACACACCATCTCCTTACAACAGGCTAGTTAAATAACACGCTTAGCTAAAATCCAAGTAACAATCTCGACATACACTTAAGTGAATTTTCACTTGATGGTTTTCTGGCTATGCAAACAACGGTATTTAGTGGATTATCGTCTACGTAACCTTGGAAAAGTGTCTGGTAGGACAATATATCTTAGAAATGTCAACTGCGTTAGGATCTCTGTCTGCAGATCAGAAAACACTGTACGGAAGAATTCATCATCTACATATTAGCAGTATTTTCAGAATACCCAGTAAATATTCCGGCGAAATTATTACCAGTGAACGGTAAGAACTGAGCAGCTCAACCTAGACAATTTTAGAGTCAAACTTAGCATTTACAAAAATGAATCTTGCTAAACATTGGTTAATGTCAGCTGCCAGGCGCTTTTATGAAGTTGAGGCTATCTTGAGTAGTACACTTATAGGCATTTTCAGTGTACTATTGATAGTGGTTAGCAGTGGAAGTGTGTTTCGTCCTACTTGGAACTTATCAGCCGGATGAACCTGCACCCTGGTGATACTGTTTCCATTCAAACTTGAACCCGGGACCGATCACTTCAATCACCAGAGAGATATCTACTGATTCGTAATAGCCATTCCTTGTGCGGCGAGTGTACTACAGTTTTAATGTTATTGCTTGTAATTTCCTATCGTTAATCAGTCTCTATTGACACATGGACTTCTGAGCGGTCGCCTCTGGCTGTTGAAGCGATGTCTCGGGTTTGAGTCTCACTGGGAACAAGATTACTCACTGGGAAGCAGGTACATCCAGCTGACGACTGTCAAATAGGACGAGACGTATTTCCTTAATTCCACTGCAGGCTACTGTTCATCATCATTACTATCAAACATTCATATCTGAGTAGTGATACATATTTTCAATATGGTTAGAACAAGACAACGCAGGTAAACACTTAGACCTACTTGCGGCTTGTCAGTAGCAAATATGTACATCTTCGTAAGTGTTGACTTTAATATTGAAAGTTGAAACCGATATTCATATTTAAACACATCTGAGTGTTACTAAATAAACTCAGTAAACTGAACAGATGAAAATGGCAAAATGTTAGGAATTGGTAGCCTTATGTGCGTGAGATGGTAGTTTAAATATGAACACAAAAGGAGGTCCAAGGAAGCTGTGTGTAATTTTCTCTTTTGCAGATGCTTCGACCAAGTAAACTTTATTTCAAACACTTTACATTTAACTGATGTGTTGCGAAATTCCTTTCCTGTTCATTAGATTAAAGACGTTATTGATGGTTACTATTGGATCACTTTCAATACTGGACTAGGATGGTCTGCTTAGCCTTCTGTATACTAAATAGCTTTATTCATTGAGACGCACAGCAATATAGCATTATTTGCTGTATAATGTTCCCATCACATTTTATTTCTCATAATTGTAACAAGGTTTCTGCCTAGTCGTAGAATAAGGAGACCAGGTCTCATGAATGAAAAAAGTAAAACATGGGCTTGTTCGTTTACATGTGAGGCGTTTGTCTAGAGACCTCGATATTACCCTTTATGAGGTCTTGACAATTACGTTGTATCTGTTCAAGTATACCTTTGAAGCCGAATTGAGTAATTTGGAATTATGATTTTACACTCCTGGATATCTGCAATTGCCTATTCTGTGATTTATTGGACGCTACAAGTTAATGGAGTAGAGGAATTCATAAGAAAAAATTGCAGTGCTCAAAAATGTATACAGACATCAGTTTTAAACATTCTATGCACCATGTGTTGTATGTATATACAGCACTACAAGTTCTTTGGCATAGTGATATCCATATGGCAGAAAGCCCTCGATTTAGGTTTCATGTTTATCCGCGTTCATCAGAAAGACATATCTACATGAGGAAACTAATGCCCCCTGTGTGATTGATAAACTGCGATCAGTCCTAAGCACTGAGGACTAGATAGATTACTTACTTTACGTTCTTCGCACACCGACCGCTGGGATACTTTGAAAATCAATAGATTAGAGGGTTTAATAAACTCTCATTTAGTGTGTTATTTCTCAGAGGTGAGTGAATGTTATTATAGTCTGACTTTTAGAAGTCAGAGTTAAAAAGATCTTCATATACGAATTTTCATTTCAGCTAACAGTAGAGTATCATTTAATTAACTAATGCATTATAACAGATAAAATTTGAGTTTATATTTTCGCAAGTTAACTTATTCATGACCAGCTTATCATAATTGAGAGCGTTCAGTTAAGTTAAAACTAGTGATGAAACAAGAATTTTTGACGATTAGAATTCATTTACGATACAGGATAAGCAATGCTAAGACTTTTCTCATCCATCAGAAAAAACTAATATATTTTGAGGCTTATATAGATTTCATTCTTAAGGTAGTATACATCACTGACTGATATCAATTCAAGGACTACTGAAAATCGTTCCAGTATGGGACTCCTTAGTAGTATATATCCGGAAACCCGTAAGGGTTTAAACTCAGGACCTTCAGGTTTCACGATGAACGTATTAACTGTCCAGCCACTGGATCGGAGTTCAGTGGTACACAGTTTCCAAATTCTGTCAATTCACGATTATCATCAAGGTTTTCAGTTGGGATCCGTTTCATTTCCGATTAGTTGGCCTCATAGATGATGGCTTTTTATAAGAGCTTCGGGATATTCATCTCGAAGCAAATAACTCAAGTAAATTCAAATAGTACCCTGAGTTAAGATCAAACGTGTATATGCCTAATTACTATTGCAGAAACACACACAAAGCTCATTACTGACTCTCTTGGAAAAGATAGTACAACACTTTCACTGTGAAACACAGACAACCAGTACAAATTCATAATAACAATCCAGACTTCAAAATGGCCAACCGATAAATGTCAACTATTATGAAACAACAACAATGAGTTAACTATCTCTTAAAGCAATTTACTATCAGGTGAAACATAACCGATACCTTATCTCTGTCATATTTTTTAATCTATTCTACGGATGAGACTAGAGTAAATCACTACTAATCACGGATAAAACTGAGGAAACACTTTAAGCAATAATAGAGAAATTACTAAAATACAGCAGAAAACACAATCCTATCAGGCCATCACCCCACTTTTTTCTTGTATTCTATAATTTCATAAGAACACATTAGAGATCAAAACTTGTTAAAGTATACATAGTACAGGAGATCGAATGTTATATCACTTCCGGTTAGATGATTTCCAGGAGAAGGAATGAACTGAGACTTCATGTCGCTGAAGCGATCGACTACTAGTCATTTAAAAGATGAATGCATGGACATGAAGAGAACTCAGGAATTCCACAAAGGGGGAATGCATGGAATCGTATTAACATTTTTTAACTCGAAAGTCATTTGATGTCTCGTTTCTTCCTGTGAGGGAAATGATGGAGAATAGACTACTTTTATGAGTGTACATATTTATCTATGAGATATGTCGTTTAAAGTACACTTCAGAAACAAGGATTTTTCAATATCCAATCTAAGTTGCAATCCCCCACCCCTATCAAGAATCAGCATCTTTGTTCACAAACTTAGAAGACCTTCAGAATTGCTTAGAGTCAAAGCATTCCAACTGTATGCTAATCTTGAAATTCCTACACTTAGATTAAATAAAACTTGATAAATTTCTATAGAAAGTGATTTCAAGAAATTTGTGTTAATGTCGTTTTCTATAAAGACACTGATGGCTTCACAAATATACCATCCAACTCTGAAAAAAGTAACACAACCAGGAACGAATCTGTTTATTCGACGTTTGTTTTACCGCGAAAGTATCAAATAAATATTCGTTCATATATGGAAGGCATGGTCAGTATTCATTTGTCATAATCATGATCCTAGGTGATGATTGAAGGTGAAAGGAAAATTTGCACTACTGCGGGATTCCAACCAATGACCACCGGTTTCCGGCCCGATGCCGTAACAACTGAACTACGAAGCCTGAATGCTGACCAGGTTTTCAGTTCATTTCAATCACCAAGGATTTTGCCCGACTACAATATGAATTCGTGACGCGTTACTACCAACTGATCGTACTCACACTGGCTGTCCAATCAAATCTCAATCTAATCCAAATCTAACTGAATTAAAGAGGAGGAGGAGCACCATATTGATTGTCACATGGTAGTCGGGGAAAACCCTTGGTGATTGAAGGCATTCAGGTCTCGTAGCTCAGTTGGTAGGGTACGGGGTAGGAAACCTGGTGGTCAGTGGTTCGAATCCGGTAGCGATCCAAATTTTCACCTCACCTTCAATCATCACCCAGAATCAATAATAGTCTGCCAAACTACGGCTATCCCACTCAGATAGTCAAAAATGATAACCACAATCAACCCAACAAGTCTGAAAACGGAAAACCTTAAAAAGGATTGTAACCATTGTCTTCGGTGAACTGAGAACCTCGTATGAAACTAATTCACTAAAGCTCTAATACAGTAGTAGATGAGTTTTTGGCAAAGAACACAAAACAATGAATAAACTTGGGCAAGATCAAGTTTCAGTGTTGGCATACACACATGTGGACTTTAAAAGAAGTTATACTTTGTTTGATTTTTGTCAAAAAAGCGTATGCACTAGCTACAAGGTTCACGTATAAGAAAGTAATTTAATTAAAAACAAACAATTGTACACAGAAAGCATGACATTAAAATTATGTGAAAATTAAATTGATGATATGTAATGAAGGGAACCAAAGAAAATCAAAAAAGAAATCATTGGCAAAGAAAATTATTACAACACTGCATAGCAATCAATTTGGCCTTGTCGATCACCGCAGAGAATTATTAGAGGATTCGTGTTGACAATAAGAATTTTATCCACTTGTGCTTTAGTTGAATAAACAGCGACCTGAAAAAACATTATACATTTAAGATATTAATGGTACTATGAACAGGAAATCAAATTAAACCCTTATACAGCTATGTCGCTTCACGATACCACATTTCACAGTAGTATACAAAGAACAAGTGAATAGGAAAAGATCTGTATCAAGGAAGAGAAGATGAAGTCCCTAACTGTTGGCTTGAATCATGTGAGATGTAGACTGCCAAGTTGGGGTCCCCAAGGTTGGGAGGACACTTGGTGATATGGTTGAAGATCGGTCAAACTGAGGCAGATGACGTCTTCTATATCTTGAATATTCACACTAACCTTTATCTTCAGATTGTTTACTAACTCACACTACTTTATTTTCTTCGATATCACTCCTTTTCTACCAACCTGTTCTTTGCATACTACTGTAAAGTGTGGCAACTTGAGCCGGTACACTCCTGTGCAAGGTTCCTACGTTGATTTTTTTGATCAGTCAGTCAGTCAGTCAATCCGTCGGTCAATCAATCAAGAAAAAGATATATAAGACAATAAACAATTCGAAAATAAAGGTTAATATCAATGCTCAAGCCTTAGGGGATCTTAAAGGCTGGATACATCCGGGCCGGCGTTACCAATTTTCAGCCATTTCACCGAGAGTTCTCAACCACTGATTCCTATCATCTCAAGGACCACAACCAAGGTGGCTTACACCTCCTTGCATGTCTCCGAATAACAGTCAGAAACTGCATGGACTGCTGCAACGTTTTGGCCTGACCAATCTCAGATTCCCTCCAACCCAATCTTATTTCGGCTAACATCGCACATCAATGTAGGCGATGGCTCACCATGCGAAACACATTTAAAAGACACCTCATTCGCTGAAGGTTAACAACCTCATCCACTAACTTACCTACCGTGACAATAGTGTTAAGCAGCAAAGTTTTGACAGTAAATGCATTCACCGCCAAATGAATTTAGTTTCTGACCCATAAAAAGGACGAAAGATTCAAAAGTCCAATGGATACCCCAACTTTTAAGGCACTCTATTTTATTCAAGAAGCATATCACTTAACACTCAAGCATTAGTCCCAAATCAATACTGTGTCGCCTAATTATGTCGAGTTACTAACTGGTCCTAAGCCCGGATAAACAGGGAAGGTTGGGCATAAGGCTAGCAACTCTACCCTGTAAAACCAATCCAACCGCTAAAGAAACTTAAAAGCACAAACAAAATATAAAAAATAAAAATGAAATTATTCCTCGTTGGAATCGGAAAGATGAAATGACGCCGGTTGGTGAAAGCCTTCGGGAAGCCAATTGGCCGATGAGTCTTCTCTCGATGAAAGCGAAAGAAAACGTAAGGGACATGGAATGTCCGTATCATGTATGAACCTAGCAAGGCTGCCCAGATTGCAAAAGAGATGAGAAAGTATAGTATTGAAGTGCTAGGAATCTGCGAATGCAGGTGGAATGGAAGTGGACTTTCAAAACTGTTAACTGGAGAGGAGTCAATAATCTACTCCGATATTGTCACCCACACGACAACCATGAAAACACCGAGGGAGTAGCTATCATGATGTCTCCGAGATCATCGAAGGCTCTTATACAGTGGGAACCAATCTCCTCCACCATCAGGATCATGACAGCAAGATTCAACTCAAAAGGAAGGAAAGTCACAATTATACAATGCTACTCTACGCACCTACAAATAATGCAGATCAAGAGAAGGAGGAGTTGTACAGCCAACTACAGTCAATAACAGACGAGAACCAACCCCAGGTGGTGACATCAAAATTCTAATGGGTGACATGAATGCTAAACCGGGAGCGGAAAACACAGGAAGAGAACCAATCATGGGTCGGTAAGCACTCGGTGAAATGAACGAGAATGGAGAACTGTTTGCAGACTTCTGCGCGTTTAATGACTTGGTGATTGGAGGCGAGGCAGTGTGTACAAACACAAGGATATCCACCAAGCGACATAGATTTCATCGGAGATCGGGATACGCTAAAAATCAGATCGACTTAATCTCAATCTCAAGAAGGTGGAGACGCAGCCAACTTGACACTAGGTCAAGAAGGGGAGCAGATGTAGGTTCACACCACTCACTATCTAGTGCAAAAAACCTTCAACATCAAGTTGAAAGCCATCAAGGAAGCTGGTGATTGACCACAGTTCAAGGTCACCACCCAGAACAGAAAATGAAGGACAAAACTATGAAGGACATCTTCACGTCAGTCATCAGGACAAAATGGGAGGTAATAAGCAACATCCCTGAGGAAGCCTACACGGAAGAACACTAGAACTCTTTGGAAGCGATGTGGAAGGGAACCTGCATAACCAGGCTAGGAAGGAAAAAGAAGAGGCAAGACAAGACAAGAAATGGATCTCTACGGACACACAGAAGCTGATAGAGCAGGTAGTGGAAGATGGTGAGGCAGAAGATAAAGCAGTGCAGTGAAGTGCAGGGATGAACGACGAAAAGCGGAACTGAACGCAACCTATAAAACACTACACTGGACAAAAAAGTGAAGAAGAGTACGTGCAGAGACAAAAGACACTTCTATGACACACTGTAGGTAGGAGAGACAGGGAAAGACCTGACAACATTATATCAAATAACCAGGTTACTATCTGGGAAGAGATCAACATAGCACAGGTGGAAACAATGAAAGATAGTGAAGGAAACTTAGTTACCAAAGAGGAGAAACGAAGGAAACGATGGGCTGACCACTCCAAAATACTTTTAAATCGACCATCACCTACAGTTCGTCCAGAAACACCACTTGCAGCCACACAATTACCAGCGAACACAAGCCCTCCGACAAAAGCAGAAGTAAAGTTCGGAAAGCCATAAAGTTGCTGAAATCCGGGGAAGCAGCAGAACCAGATGGAATTCCACTAGAAGCGCTGAAAACAGACGCATAGACAACAGCGGACACGCTCACACCACTATTGCAGATGGTTTGGAAGGAAGGAAAGGTACCTGCAGATTGGAAGAAAGGCTACCTTGCCAAACTCCCGAAGAAGGGCGACCTTAGTGTTTGCAAGAACAACAACTGGAGCGGAATCATGTTCCACACCTGTCTACCACAAGCAAAATATTAAGCTACATCATCCTGGAGAGACTAAAAAGATGTGCTGGATTCAAAATTACGACCGGAACAGGCTGGATTCAGGAAGTAAAAATCATGTGCGGATCAAATTGCAACGCTACGCATCATCATAGAACAGAGTATGGAATGGCAATCAACCCAACTTCATCAATTTTGAAAAGGCTTTCGACAGCGTCGACCGAGAAGTAAGTTGGCAGCCTCTCCAACACTACGGAGAAGCACAAATCTTCATCAACCTTATTCAACAGCTATATGAGGATGCTACATGCCAAATGATTCAAAATAGAAAGCTCAGTGATGCCTTTGAAGTGAAGAGAGGAGTAAGACAAGGCTGTGGCCGACTGTCACCGATCATATTCCTGATTGTGTTGGACTAGATCATGCAGCAGACCGTGAGAAGTGAGAAGACGGACACACATTAGCTAGACCGATGAAAATACCCTAGAAGATTTGGATTTCGCTGATAATTTGTGTCGAATGTCACACAAACTCGAAGATCTACAGGCAAAAACCAACAAGTTGACAGCGAAGACGGGAATTCAGGTGAACGCAGAGAAGACAGAGATGATGAAGATACCCAACCAACCAACAAAAACGACAAGCACCGATCACCATCAACGGGACAAATCTAAAGGAAGTTGTCTCTTTCACCTACCTACCGACCTAGACAGTATTGTTTCAACTATAGGTGACGGAACAGGCACATATGAGAATGTCAAAGCCAGGATCGGAAAGACAGCAAGACAGGCCTTCATTAATCTGAAATTAGGGTGGAGATCTACTGCACTGCACTGCACTGCACTCAGCATAAAGCGTGAACAAGATACGGATTTTCAACACCAACGTCAAGTCAGTGCTTCTATATGGTTCAGATGCTTGGCGAGTTACAAGAAGCATTCCCAACAAACTACAGACATTCATCAACAGCTGCCTGCGCCCGATACTGAAGACAAGATTGCCAGAATAATAAGAATTAGCAACAGGGAACTCTGGCAACGAACCAACCAAGAACCTATCACCCAACAAATATGCAGAAGAAAGTGGAGATGGATTGGAGATACAATGAGAAGACCATTTGGGGGCATCACGCGTCAGGCCAGGTCAGGCCATCGAGTCGAACCCAAATGGGAAACGACGAGTTGGGCGTCCGAGGCGAGAGTGACGTGGAGAAGATGGTGTGAGGAAGAAATGGAAGGTTACGGTCAGTCGTGGAGCCAGGTTCAAAAGACTGTAGAGAACAGAGTGAAATGTTGACGTGCTACTGAAACCGTATGTTCCACTAGGAACCCAAAGGACAAATAATAATAACAATAAACACAGGTATTTAGTAATGAATGATTGAGCTTGTATGGACTGTTTGGTGGAACGGTTCCCTTTGGTACACATACAATAATAACAATAATTTTCATATTTCATCCTGAATTACTACATTTTAGCGACTACTAAGAGTGGATAATTTAGTTCATAATTCAATTCCCCCGAAACAGTACAGTTTTTGAGGTACACAACTCAACAACAAGGAGACAAGAGATTTCGACGAAGTAGACAGTTCGAGTGATCCACTTTTCGTTAGGAAAGATACAACTGAACAATAGTGTTTCAATAAAAGTGCCCAGTTTAAAATAACTATGCTTATAAGACAGATGGTGAGTGTAGTGAATACTACATGAAGTCTTATTCAGTATAAATTACCATAAGCGACAAGTTTGTGAACAAAATCCGGTTGCCAAGTCCTAAATATGCAGAAACGCATGTCCTCGATTCCATTATTAGCCACCACTCATTAAATAACCAGACATTGCATATAAGCTCAACCACACAATCTTATCTGTTTTCACAACAACATAATCACAGTAGCATAGATTCAGTCGCATTTACAAGATAACCAAACATATTAAACAAGTAGCAGAGATTAGCAGCAATAGGCAACGAAAAAAACATTGCAGATGGAAATACTACTCATGGCTTGATCAGATATCACACATGCGTGCATCATATAACTATGTGAACAATCAGAAATCATCACAATAACTGCAGGATATGATAAGGAATCTATCGAAACGAATATTCTTTATTCATCCAAATGTCTTTACGTTTCACTGTCAATATATGGATGATAAGTTCATCCTGTGCAAAAGCAACATAGAGAGGTCAAGGGTGCACACTCAGCAATGAAATCTACATGTGAGGTACAGCTAGAAGAGCGCAAAAAAAGATTTCATGAATATTCTTCTCTCAAGACGAAAGGATGGGTCGATAGCGGGGAAGTTGTTTGGGAAAAGAACGTGGATGAGACAATGCACACATTTTCTAAGCTTCATCTCCCTTCAGTACAAACGAAGTTTGATAAAGACTTCAAGTTACATAAAAAGGCTATATGTTCAGAAGATACAGTTGAGGAGGAACCTATAACCTTAAGAAACACACAAACCGAGAATTGTCATCCGAGGAAATTCATAAGGAAACATATGATTACAAAGATAGCAAGAAAAGATATTGCAACTGTTATGACCGGTAGTATACATGCGGTTGACTATTCCTAACTGCGTGTGAATACCGTCGTTTTCGTTCCATACCAGCTTCATACATTGGTAACGTATGTTAAAAAACGACCTGTGGTCACCAAACTGATGACGAAGCGTCTGTATGGTCCCCTCAAATTTCTTATCACTAGTTTTCTGTAGCAGGATCAAATCACAATATTTATCTAATTCGTCCACTCCCAACTTCCGAAGCAACAGTCTGACCTTCTATGCGTCATCTCTGTTAGCGAAGCCTTCTTTGAACAAGTTTTCATATCTGAGAAACCATGTATCGAACGTTATGTTTGCATTTGGGTTATAAATGAATTCAGATACGCTGCTACCGACGTTGTCATTGGCTGATTATGAATTGACTGGGGAAGATATCTGCAAACCAGCCAGCAATTCCGTCATCTTAAGCTGATGCTCCATCAATTTCTCCGAGTGTGATGGGTCGATTGCAAAATACACCCATCGCCAATTTGTTATGACCGGAGGTACGACGTAATAGTCTACGAGCGATACCAGCATAGCAGACTTCGAACGATACGAACCTAACGCACAAACGAATCGACTCTAACGCAAATCAGAACGTCAGTCACCACCATAACAATACCACCAACGCACGAAAACAAGAAGAGAAGAGAGACCGTAGTTTACAGAGAGCTTTTTACTGTCTCAACAAAAGTCGATGCAGTTGACAGCGATGCTGAATATATACATTTCTAGATTACCTCGACAAACACTAAATCCACGCATAGGTAAAAATAGTTAACAAACAAGGTCATGGTAAAACAGCAGGTAAAACACATGCAAAATTAGGGGTACATAGAATCAACGGTCAGCAGAAAATCCCTGTATATTCAGGTATAACTTAGAGGCGATGTGTATAGCGAGATATTAATTTATAATTTATTCATAAAACTTTCAATGCTGGTAAATTAAAAATTATATTTTTCAAACACTCAGTGATGAGACCGAGAATAAAAGATGAATTGCCTAGCCTGGCCACTTTCTGTTGTGTTTATCAGCTTTTTTGCTCCTGTGGGGCCAGTGTATTTCTGCCACTGCTCTACGAATTTAATTCTCCAAGCTCGCGAACATCTCAAGGCGTGGTCAAGCAAAGGTGTTCGTAAGGTGGATATGTATAGGTCATTTTCTATTATTTACCGGGTTACCATCAACTTGCCAGAAGGCGCCCGGCCGAGAATCTGTTAAACTGCAGAAGCGGTGGCAATCACGATCAAACAAACTGAGTTATGTGTTCAGAAAAAAACAAGTGATGTCTCCAGGACTACCATAGGTCAATTCGACAGGCACAAATTTCTTCGCATCCTAACCCAGGTAATCCGATTTTCTAATTCCATACTGTGGACATTACTAACATGAGTAAAATTCCATCAAACTATTATTCCTCAAATCATCCTTCTCAATTTACTTTATCCAAATCTCAGAAACACCTTCCTATTATTTTATTAAACAATCACTATATAGCATCACTTATACCATGTGTATAATCGTTTAGGTAATCAACGATTTCGCTGAAGTGAATTCCAGTAACAACTGATTCTATCACTAGCGTTCACATACGACTTTTCTCAATTGACTTCCTCAACTGTACAATATTGTTAGCAAACTGATAAGGGGAATCTCCATATTACTGATGCGTAATTTCTCAATATGTACGTATGACTGCTGGACCTGAAGAACAAGAGTATTATCCATTCAGTCAGATGGCTTTCCAGTTGTAATGGGAATGTTTAATGATTTCGCAAATGTATTGAAGTGTTTATTTATTGGGTGTTACAATGCGTCCACCTGGTTACATCACTTCCATACCAGGACTATATGGTGGCTAATGTTCTTAACTGCTAATGTACTCATAGAATGCTTCGAATCCCTTTTAGCAGAAATATGGTGACATTCAAAAAGTTTTAATTCATACTTTCTTTCAATTGTATTGAAGTTGAGGTTTTTGTTGAGTTAAGAAGTTTCTTATTATTAAGCATTAATGTTTGAATACACGGAGGGAGAATTGAACTCTTTGAAGGCTAGTTTAATGAGTTTGATTGTTATGCTTAGTATTTTGACATTGAGATAATTCAGTTGTACAAAAGGAGTCCTTTATAAACGTATCTCTGATCACTATCCTGTATGGTTGTTCAGGGGAGAATGTAAATCAATTAACAATTCAGTTGGTGATTAGAGTCATCCTTCAGTGTCATTCACGGAATCAAAGGGAATAATTTAAAAAGCACACGCTTTGGAAAGTTGTGCACAGCACAAGCACTGGTAGCTAACTAGTTGAAGGCTGATCTTTGCGTAGAGAAGAAGTATGTTCAGTCGCTTACCTTGCTGTGATCTGAACACTTTCATATTCTTTTTGATCTCATTATAATTAGTTAGTTTACTACTATTATCACCTTCATTATAACCCTTATTTCTTTCTTCACCTTCTTTGCATCTATTAAGTGGATACTCAGACATTGTATTTCACATCTACCATTAGTGTTCACCTTGTCAAACTCCATACATTTCTCAATATTTCCATAATTTAAGAGCTTATTACCCAACTAATCTCTGTTTCTGATTTCAGTTTTTTAACAGTTGCTTAATGATGCGGTTATACCCTACTGCTCAATAATAGACTTGTATATGTTTGTGATATGTGTAAATACAATTATCCAGCTTTAGGAAATGATAACATCGAAAGAGTAAATTTTTTGAACCAAGTATGCCAATACGGAGCTGATAATGGTCTTTACTGCACCCCGACTTAACAATACTGGAAGTTGTTCACCAGAACAGAAAATTAAATTCCTAGAACAGCGGTCAAAGTAACTGGGACCACAGGAGCAGTGAAAGTGATAAACACAACAAGAAGTGGCTAAACTAGGCAATTTATTTTTCAGTCTGTCTCACCATTGGGCGTGTGAAAAATGAAATTTATAATTTACTATCATTAAAAGTTCGCCAAATTGATTTGCGCAGTTTGGGAACTAATAATACCTAACTGGGCACGTCACCTATAAATTATATCCAAGTTTCTAGTGGTTTTCTGCTAGGCGTTGGGATATCCTTTCATGCCATTTTTTTGTGATCTTAACCTATTTTGTCCTTTGTGGTTTATTTCATAAACACCTTCCTATTGTTCGATTAAACTATCACCTTATAGCATTACCTAAGCCATATACTCGGTTACCTAAGTAATTACGTTCAAGTGAATCCCAGTAATAATTGTCTCTGATATAAACCTTCACACAAGACGTTTCTGGAGGGAATTCTCCCAACTGTATAAACAAACTATTCAATGAAATCTTAATATTATTGACACAAAATTGAACAACAACTTGAACATATAACTGTAGGACCTAAAGAAAGAAGCTATCGAAAAGAATATTCTTTATCCACTCAATCAGCCTTTAGATTTTAACAGGAGTTTTTACAGTAGTAAAGGTTGAACAAGAATGGACAACCCTATCAATGTTATGATGGATTACAGGGTTCTGAAAGCTAATTGGTCAGATTTTTTAGATAGCTTAGGTTAACATATCAATTAATAAAGCATATAAATAAAATTTGTTTATTTTCTTTTAGGTTTACCTGTTTCCATTGATTTGAAACAGTCTGAGTAGAACTGTTCAGTCTACACTGTAACAGGCGCAATATATTGTCTGATGTCGCTAGAACCAAATACATATTTGAACAATTATCTTTAGTAGGCATCGATATTGCACAATATGCTGTTACAGTTACTGATGAATTCTGGAGCTTTTGAAAAAAAGAATTAGTAAAGATGACAGTATTCTTCAAGAACAAATGAAGTTTATGATTAGTTAATGAAGAAAAGTTATGCACAATAGAAGTTATTATTATTTATTGACACTTTTAATTTCCTGTTATTATACTAGACTGTAGCCTCAGTGGTTTAGTGGATAACGCCTTAGTGTTTAAAGCGACAGATGCGGGACTAAAGTCTCAGTGCGAAAACCGCTACTCATTGGGATGTAGGTGTACATCCAACTGACGAGTCCCAAGTGGGACGAAACGCGCGTCCTTGACCCCACAGTTAGCCATCACCATGCAAATTATAACAATAGAAGTTATTAGTAAAAACTAAATAACTAATGTGTGGATGAACAAATCATTAAAAAAGAATTAATCGGACTTACCGTAAAATCTGACACGAGGTCACCACTAGTGTTAAAAACAATAATTTTCCAACTATATTCCATTTTACACTCGGCTAAATAAAATCTGAATAAGAAGAAAAGAAAAGTTATACTTTTCTATTGACTCAAACACAAATTTTTTGCAGGAGGTTCACAGGGGGTTGCGTTAAATATGGTAAAATAACAGAGATATCGAGATAAAGAATAATGTGCACACAAGAAGACTTCTCTTCCTTCGTATACCCTAGAATAATCAGTGAAGTGGACCAATCTGACGCCATTACATCTGACTGCTTAGTACGTCTGTTACTGTACAGTTGAAGAACCGACATCTATGTCCCATTCAGGTTTCGGTTAGATGTTACGCAACTGAAGTATTGCTGTGGGTCAGTTGAACTGTGGTTCAAAGTGCTACACCCAAAATTACAGCCTCTTGTCCTGAAAGGTTATCAGCATCCAATCCATTTCAGTGTCGGCTTCACTCACGATCGTTTTCTTCTTTTCGGTATCTAAATAATTTGTACTGGGTGATTATTGGAGGTGAGATGGAAATCTGGACCGTAGCCGGATTCTAACCAGCAACAATCGAGTCGTTGGCTCCTCATCAATGGCTCACATTAACATTCTCAAAATATAAAAATTACAAACCAGTATAGTGGTGATAATTGTTTCATAATAGGCTATCAATCTAAAAGTATCAAAGGGGTGAAAATAAATCAAGGTAATTAAAGACAGTAGCTCAAGTATAGACTAATTATAGTAGTGGGATTTTGTGAAGTTCGAAACAGGTTTTTGCATAACTGATAGTTTGCGTAATCGTAACTAAAACAAAGAGAAGATAAAATGAATTATTTTGCCAAATAGACAACTGTTGACGGTAATTAAAGAAGAAGAACACGATGGCTAAAACGGCAGTAATAATCATTTGTGAAGTGAACAAAAGTAAGGGTAGTGGTTTCATAGATAAACCACACAGCCAAGGCAAATGTAAAGAAAGAGACCACATGAGCTTTTTATGAACACACAGACTCGGCTTATTCACGCGGATTCCGATGGCTTCTGCTTTATGTAAAAAAACGAACTCGTAGAGCAAGGAATGTGATCAACAACCTTAAATGCGTTATGAATGTTAAACTCGATGACCAGTGATGCATCGATATTGTCTGCCTTTTACTTAGCCATGACAGATAATATTTAGTGATTCGATAGTAGACTTGCTTAACTGTACATTCAATGTCATTAACTCTCACAGGACCAGTTGATTTGGTACATATACATAGAAGAGGCAAAGTCAGGTAGTCTGTCTCCACTTTAGTTACTATTGCTTACTTATCAACCTATTGATATCTGGAGATTGATAATCTGTTATCAAAATAGCTATGATTACTAGGAAAGGTTTTATATACATTAGTGTAGAGCTATCGACAAGGACCTAATTGAAAAGAAATATCTCTTCGGTTACATTGTTTACTTTCTAAATGTCCAAGTGGGAATTTTCGCATTAATGTTTCCATTATATCATTATGACTAATTTTCAAACTTCTGGAAATTCAAGTACATAACTATCTGCCTATTCTTCAGATGTACTTTTATGTATTTATATCAATCGGTAAAAAGGCGATGAAGTAAGTGTAACAATGCTCACGGTTTTGCTTAAGGTGCACCATGTAGTCGAAGAATAACATAATCAACAAAAGTTGGAGATAATCGGTAGCAAGTCTTTAACCAAGGTTTCTTGCTTGTCTATACTCATCAATAAGGGACTGATGTCCCCTCTGAGATTCGAACTCACACCAGTTGCAGCCCGAAAAGCGACATAGTAACAACTCTGACTACAAAGCTGAGTGGCGCAGGTTCAAGTCTCACAAGAGATGTCATACTTCATACTGAAGTTAGTGCTGATGATGTCGTCTAGCAAGGTGATGAAAGCTTCAAGATTAAACAACCCAGCTCAGAGAACACAATACGACCAATATGTGTATCCTTTGGTTAAATAGCTTTTCAAGCTGTGGTACTTCTACTACAGATCTACTACTACGTCTGAAGTAGGGCACTAACCCTATAATACAGATAAAAATCTTTATCAACATTCAATTTCTACCACCTAATGATTTTGCTTTGCAAGGCAGCAAAGGCTGTTACTGTATTCAATTTAGGGGTTTGTAGGGAATTGTTGATTTCAAGTTGGTGTTCATCATGGACTGACATCAGTTGGAGGAATATTGGAGACTTGGGAGCACTTGATAGCTTTTACATCCTGGTATGCCACTCAGCAGTGCGCACCCATGACTTCGCACCACCAAGAATCAAACCCAAGACCTTCAGGTTCCGTGGCCAGCACATTACCATTGAGCCACTGGACCAGAATTCAATGCTCCCTATTTGTTACTTCTGTTAGTTCACGACATAGCAGGATCCGACTCAGTGGTTCGATGGTAACATGGTGGTCATGGAACCTGAAAGTCCTGGGTTCGATCTCTAGTGGGGAGGAGTCATGGGCGCGCACTGCTGAGGAGCCCTATACTAGAACGAAACAGTTGTGCAGTGCTACCAGGTTTCCATTGTTCCTACAACTTATGTCAGTCCGTGATGAATACCAACTTGAAATCAAGAAATCCAAAAAATCCCTGAAGTGAATTAATCTACTGATCATTGGTGACTAGCTTCGAGAGATGATTCCCGAAGTTTCAATGAGAAGTCGTGATCTCAGGGGCAAACATGGTGAACTTGAGGAAAAATACTCAAAGATGACATAGGTGATCGTCTCGCTATATTGTGAAGTAACAGAAGTAGGAAATGGGGACCAACGGATTACGATCTAGTGGCTCCCGGGTAACGTGTTGACCATGCCAACCTGAAAGTCCAGGGTTCTATCCCTAGCGAGGTCATGGATGCGCACTGTTGAGAAGTTACACAACAGGACGGAAAAGGTGTGCAGTGCTACCAGGTTTCCAATGTTCTGCTAAATGATGTCAATCCGTGGTGCTACTGTATTATGAAGACTTATTGAAATTCATAAAGTATACAGTATCAGTTGGAGTTATGGCCAAATGGTTCAGACAGTTAATTTGGAGCCAGCGGCTCGCGGGTTCAAACACTGCTCCGCATATCGACATTTGAACAGCCAGGTAGAATCATCAGTAGGCGTGAATCAGTGTCTATTACATACGAAAGTGTAAAAAGTTAGTGAGTGCGTTTCGAGACTGATTCGACACTATCAGTTTAATCGAGTTTTACAGACACTAGGAAATGAGTGGAAGAAAATGTTTTCTTGAACAGATCAACACAGGATGAATAGTATAGACAAAAGACTTACGTATTATTCCCATCCAAAAGTGAACTGTTTTCCAGTTGACTAACTGAATGAATCCATACTTCTTTTTCACATGAACCAATATACCCTGGGAAAGGTTTAAACATACGACTCTAAAAACAAAGCATATTTACAATTATGGTAGAGAAACGGAGAATAAATCTGTAAGCATCACAATTAAACTGAATAAGAAGTATTATTGTGTGGTGTTCACTCTTCATATGTGGCAATAGGACATTTTTTAACTATTCAAGAAGATAGAGTAGGACTAGAGTTGAACTGTTCGCTGCTATCTTCCGAAACGTAACAGCATACGGTCAACAATAATGGTGTTTACCCCACCATTCTAATGGACAGTACCAGAAATTCAAAATCGAGTATCTCATATCACTGTTTAAAAGAACAGAGGAGTCATCTTTCAAATGATAAGAGTTTTATAACAAATGATACTGATGCTTTTGAAGAAACGGAGAATACATTCTCCGATTCACATCTACAAAAAGTGAGATTGATCACCCAACAGGATTATGTCATTTAAATGACTTAAACAGACCAATTGTACCAGAGGTGAAGAGTACATGCCTTTAAAATCTCATCTAGATTAGACGTGAGAAAGAACACAGGGTAACACGTTGCTGAAGAGTAGTTAATCCCACATTTGAAAAACAATATGGAATAACCAAATTGTTGACGTTTTCATCCTTTTAGAAGTTGTCAACTTGCGTCATCTGTGGCACCGACTGACCAGATATCAGACTACTAATCACCGAACAGGTATACTGCGCTACAGTTCGTTGTGTCCAGTTACACAGCTGTGAGACATTGCCATTAAAGGTGGAAGACATGAAGCGATTACAAGTTTTTGATCATAAGTGTCCGTGTAGCACTGTTCGCAGTTGGTAGAATTAACGTGTGACCAATCCTGAGGTCAGGTGAACGGTGCTAGACAAGACAGGTATGTGAACCTTAGTCAACTGCGCATGTCGAGCCACTACTTACTTCGACACGAAATGCTATGGGAGGTTGGATTAAGTTGGAAGAGGGTTCAGGGTGGCCAGACCACGACTTGGCACTAGTCGATGAAGTCCCTGACTGTTGGTCTGAACCAGGTGGGGAGATGTAGGCCACGAAACTGGGGTCTCTGAGACGGTATAAATGTGATTGTGTGTGAGAGGTTCTCCGTTGATTCTACCTGTCTGAGTACTGTACACATTCTACGGACTAAATTACTCAAGGCAGTAAACAAGCCCAAGGGGATAGTCATATTTATTACCAGAACACTAGATGCTTCCACAAAGGCAAACACTGGCTAGAATGACGTCAAATTTGGTGGCACAGATCCCGAGTTATTAGTATGTAAGTATTATATGTTCTAAAAATTCGTATCTACAATGAATTAGTAGGGTTTTAAACACTATCAGTGTGGAAACCTTACCCATACAAGTTGAAATATTCGCTTAAGCAAGAGTTGGTTGCTTTTACCTACAGTCTCATATTAGAGGTTAAGAATAACAGGGAACACATATACAATATCCCATCAACTTCATCGACGCAACTACAAGCGAAATGGTTATTCCTAAAAAAATTCTTATCGTATTACATAAAATATAGGTGATAAAAGGACGATTTAACGGAGAAAAACGTCTTTATCTTTAACCTTAACTAAAACTAGGTGTATATGATGAGTGAACGCACACAACAGACACATAAATAAAGGGATATTTACCTCATCGAAATATTTGCAGAGTAAGGCTATGCCTGAATGTGCAGCAAGAATCCCAGAACTGCAATTGTTTATAGATGAGCACATTAACCCACTACGACAGGAAAAACAAACACAAACAGCAAAATTAGTAGTAGAATTTAATTCCATATTAGATTTGTCTGATTGATATAGCAAATAATGATGCAATATCACCTATCAAGACACATAGGAAACACGACTTACTACTCGTAATCATATGAGTAATATAACTCAGGTGTGGACAATAAATCAAACATTACAGAATCCTATCGAATAAACAAATTGCACATAAATAAAAAGTTGAGACAAGAATCAGAAGAATCTGCACGAGTGAGACTATCGAGGATGAATAAGATGAACTATGGAAGATTCTCATGCAAATGGATACTCATTCAGATTTATTGAGAACTTGAAATGCAAACAGAAAACGAAGCAAGTACTCACAGTTCCTAAGACTTTTTTATGAACGTTGGTTTCAAAGGCGATACGGCAGCAAAAGTCCTGAAGAATCGGCTGTCCAGATCGCTGAAGAAGACATTCTTCTCTAAGAAGCTACAGATAAGCTTCTTTAGTCAGCAATGGGTTTCAGAGTGCATTTAGGACAAGTTGCCGCCTTGGGTCACCTCAATGTTTGTCTACAAATTGACTTGTTCCTGTGGAGCTAGTTATATAGGCTGCATAAAGCGTGCACTTTTCAAACGTATATCTGAGCATTATCCTGCGTCGTTGTCGAGGTGAGAATGTAGGTCTATCAACAGTTCAATCCTTGAACATTTGGTCAACTCTGGACAGATAGCCTCACCAGAGTCCTCTTTCCATGTCATTTATCGAGTCAAATAGAATAATTCAAAAGTACGCCTTCAACAGTTGTCCACAGCAGAACTACTGGCAATCCATCGATTCGAACCTGATCTATGAGTGCAAAAGAAGTATATCGGATCTCTTATCTTAACATAGTCTTAACACTTTCACAATCTTTTCGATTTCATCATAATTAGTTAGTTTATTATTATCACCTTCATTATCGCCGTTGTTTCATCCTTCCCCTTCTTTAAATCTATCTATCAAATGGACACTCAATATTCGCATTTCTCATCTGCCAACAATTATCACCTTGTCAAATTCCCTGTATTCCTGGTTATTTCCAGTGTCTAAAAGATTATTCAGCAACTATTTTCCACTTTTCGTTTCAGTTTTTTAGCATTAGCTTAATGATAAAATTACACCCTATTGTTTAATAATAGACTGTTATATGTTTATGATAGATATAAATATGGGTGATGATTGAAGGTGAAGTGAAAATGTGCGCCGCGGCCAGATTTCGACCAGCGATCATTGGGTTTCTGGTCCGGTGCTCTACCAACTGAGCTATGAGGTCCAACTGCTGACTAGATTTTTATTTCACTTTAATCACCAAGGGTTTCGCCCGACTATCATGTGAGTTCGTGATGCGTAACTACCGCTTGACCGTATTCACACTGGCTACCTATTCAGGACTTCTCATCTCAATCCAAATCTAACTGAATTAGAGAGGAGGGGGAACATCATATTGATTATCATTTCGACTATGTGGTACAGCCATGGTTTAGTAGACTACTTTTATACTGAATGGTCGCTGGTTCGAATCCAGCCGCGGTTCAAATTTTCACTTCACCTTCACCCAGTATAAATACTAGTCTGCCAAACTACAGCTATCTTAGATATTCGAAATGATGATACATAAATACGATTATACAGCTTAAGAAAATGATATCGTCAAGAAAGAAAATTTTCGCTGAATTATCTCGTTTTCTCTATGACTCGAAAGGCATGTTTCCACGTCTACAGTTGAGAAAAATATCAACGGTTTTCAAAGTGAACTGTAGAATATTTTTATAAACACATCTTGCATCTCATACAACAGAACAATGAGACTTAGTATATATTGAAGAATGCTTATTCTAAGAAAGAATAAGTATATCTCAGAATTACGATGATAATTAATGTCCTCTAAGTGGTGATAATCGACTATCAACTTTTCATGATCGCAAAAGGTGAATGTATGAATACTAATTACAATTTCAATTGCATTTACGGCATAATTTGTTTAGTGATGGCTGTTAGGGGAATGTAGAACGAGCATTTGATCCTTGTTAGGACTTATCATTTGAAAGTACCTGCATACCAAGCAGTGATAGTATTCCCCCTGAGACATGAATCCAACACGCATCGCTTCAAATACCACAGCGTTATCCAGTAGGCTACTGAGTTATAAGATAAAACTTGGAGCAATAATGAGGCATCCATTTCAGGAACTTAAATACCAAGTGAGACAAATCACTTCAAGCCAGTATAATAGTCAACAGTAAAATACAAGCCATGTTGTGCGATGTAGGCTAGCCGGTTAGGGTCAGCGGGCCAAGAGAAACCAGTGGTTGGAGACTGTAGGTGAGATGACTCATAATCGATGTCAGTGGAGCAGATGTATACACACATTATTCTCATCTTAACCGCTATACTGAGTCACATCATCTCATTCTTCCTTCCTCACTTTTACTAGTACGTAATCCTGCTTCCTTTGATCGGTTTTTGTTGTCTTCTTCATCTTCCATTCTATTACCTCGTTACTTGATGTGCTGACATCAGGTGTGGCAACTTAGGGACTGTTACGCAGTAATGCCTAGTCCCATGTTGATCTTGATGTTCGTAGTGATAATAATACAAGCACAAATAAATAGCAAGTACGGTATTCTGCATCACCCTGTTAGTCTAACGATTATTTATATCACTTTTAGTTCAATCAAGTGATGAATAAACCTTGAAAGGAAGATAAGGAAAATCTTTTTGTTGACAGATAGCAGAGCGAACATCAGTCGAATATGCCGTAAATACTTTTATGTGCCAACATCGACTTTTGATCGAAGTAGTCTATCAGCATTAATTATCAATTGAAATTATTCTATGAAATGACAAAACTTAGTGAAAACGTCACATAAGAGTCCTCCTGATCTTCTCTACCAGTCTGCAATTAAATCTTAGATTCCACCTAAGAAGAATAAGTTAACAGTTACCATAATAATCTACATGTTTGCCTATCTAATTGTACTGAAATCATGTATAGCTGCAAAGAAGAAATAAACCTCCACATACCACCATTCTAAAGAATTACTCTATCAAAACATTCCCTAGTGCAATATTTTATACACATTGGTCACCTAGGGATCTTTTTTCATATTTGATCAAATTTTAATTTCTAACAAGCAGTTTATAATTCTTGACTAGGCAGCCAATGTGAGTACGATTAAGCGATAGTAATGCGTCACGAATTCACATGGTAGTCGGGCAAAACCCCGCTTGCGATCGAAGGCAAAATAAAAATCTAGTCAGTAGTCGAACTTCATAGTTCAACTTGTAGAGCACCGGGTAGGAAATCCGGCGGTCGCTGGTTCGAATCCGGTAGCGATCCAAATTCTTACTTCACCTTCAATCATCACTCAGCATCAATACTAGTTTATCAAATCGTGACTATCTGAGACAGTGAAAATGATATTTCAGTTGAGTTTGTTACATGCAATTAACAAAGATTATCAATGACTCCATCATTGAATTTTTATTAATTTAGGTCTAGTCATTTATTCAGCAGGTAACTGTAATAATTCAACGTCATTCATTATCACGGTGACACATCTATTTAAAAAGCAAGTGATAACATATCGACAGAGCAATCTGACGTTCATGGGTTTGGTCTCTGATGGGGACGCGAGTGTACACTCTTGAGGAATCCAATGCTAGAACAGATTTTCAATGCTTCTCCAAATAATGTCAGTCAGTCAGTGATGGAAATCACGTTGAAATCTATCGATGTCTACAAACTTTTTAATGGTATTGCTGCCCAGTGTTAATTAGTGTCATACTTTGAGATGGATTTCTCAAAGTTCTAATGAAGAGAAGTTGTGACCTTTGGAGTCATCTAGGTTGGGCATGGAGGCACATACTCATTGATAGTATGATGGTCACGCCACATCGCATATCGGTAGAAGTAGGAAATGTGGACCGTAGTAGCGTGATCCCAGTAACACCTGTCAGTCTTCGATTCCAATGTCTAACCAATTACAGCTTTTTTTCAAAACAGGAAATTGTTGACAGTGTATTATACAATCGATTTAATTTGATACCAATAAAGAAAATATGAATGAATGAGTAATGGATAATGATACAGCTTTCATATAGCTTACTTTTGTACAACGCTCTGATCAAATGTAAAGCTTTCACGTTCATTACTAGTGACAATAATGACGTCTCCATTGACAAGTGCAGCTACAACTTGACATTGTTCCAGTTTATTAGGTTTATTATCACAAGAGCATATTCTTGCAATGGGATGACTTGCGGTGAAGCTACATTATTCAGATAAATAAACAAACACACACAAAATAACTTCAAAAAAGTGAAAAACAATAGAGGTTGAATAAACCGAAGTTCCTTAAGACAGTTAGGGAAACCGACTACTTAATGGAAGCCAACGTAAGGAAAGTCGTACAAGCAAAAGCGTTTCTTTCAACTAAGAAACTTGGATACATGTTAGCAAAACTGGAGGGAATCAGATTAAGTATCACTACATGTTGACAGTAATGCGATGGATTTCAGGTTGGTACTTATCATGGACTCCTCAACAGTGCGTACCTATGGCCCCGTCAGGGGTCGAACCCAGGACCTTGGGGCCCCACAGCCAGTATGTTATCATGGAGCCAAAGGGTGAGTTTGCACTGCTTAGGAGTCCCATATTATAACAAAACAGCTGTCCAGTGCTCCTAGGTTCCCAATGTTTCTCTAACTGATGTCAATCCATAATAAATACCAACCTGAAATCAATAAATAAATCCCCCACAAACCTCTTAATCAAAGTAATATAGTTATTGAGATATGTCAAAGATACTGGATGGCGATTGAAGATGAAGTGAATAGTTGGGTCACTGCACGAATCGAACCAGTGGCCTTCAAGCAACCAGTCTAGTGCTAAATTGACTGAAGTGCAAGATCAGGTCTTCAATCACTAAAATAATCAAATATATTGAAATTAATGTGAAATAACCGCTATCAACTCAATATCTAATCTACATGGAATGTGGCGATGCCTTTCAGAAACTGCTTACTTGTTACTATGAACAACATACCTAAATACCTTCTTACTAAGTCACTCAGTCTTCCACGAGAAGATACATAAATTCTATATTTTATAAAGAGAGCACTACTTCCATTGAATGACACTCTATTTCAAACAGATTTAATCATCTGTTATTAAATCCTATTTAGGGAATAGGATGATAGAGATTGGCGTAAAATCATAAGACGTTATATGCTAGGAAATATCAGGAATCTATGATAACAAACTATGCAAGTGGAAAAGGATCCAAGCATTGTATATCTCAAATATTACACCACAATCTGTTAGTATGTAAAATATCTACTTATCATTAACCACATTAACAAGTCAAAAGCTTTTATAAAGTCAAATAATCATCTATATAACTGCCCGAATGGGTAATTCCGTACAAATTATTAATTTCAAGGTTCTGAATGAAGCTATTCTCATTACGCTAACGACATCTGTGAAAATATTGACAAATAGTTAAATACTTTTGTAGATAGTTGACCTTTGAGAAAAGTTTCTTTCGTTCAACTACTTCTTCTAACTCAAATAAATTGAAGAATTATCAAAAAGTGAGATATGAAGGCTGTTGTACAAATATTTATCAGTGTATATTAGCACTACAAAGTTATCAAAAGAATCTTCAGTGTAAACTATAAAACTTTTACAATTGTAAAGGTGAATTATTGAAATTGTGATCTTATATAAGCCGGTTGTTATATGATCATCAAAAAGTATGAAAACTGATAATAAACATTTTCAAATCAAACATTTACCATATTCTTATTACATACATATGGAAATCAGAAAAAGTTTAGAATCTCATATATTAATGTATATTATGAAGTCCTTAAGAGAAACTATTTAATCGATCTATAGAAACTTTAAAGTTTTATAACATCGTTTTAATTGACCATTAATGAGATAGTCCAAAAATCAATGATACAGTTTATAGTAGCAGCAACAAGATATTAGAAATAAAACTTGTCAATGATTATGGATATCTTCAAAAATGATTTACAGTTATAACTATTACTATCTATTCGTATAATTATAAGTCTCCGTTGTTTTATTGAATTGAATTGTTGAACCTGGATTCTTCTGCTAGCCACAATCAAATAAATTACCACAATTAACATTCAGGCAATATCGAGGAATTCGCATAGGATCCCATATGTCAATAGAGATTGAACAATTCAATCCAATTAAACAACGGAGACTTACAAGTATACAAATAAGTAGTAATAACTAGTACCCGTTGTACAAGAAGTGGCTATCGTGTTGCTGTCTTATAGTAGGAAACGCCTTAGCGTTTGAAGCGATGAGTAGGAGGTTTGAGTCCCAGTGGGGACAACATCACTCACTGAGGTACAGGTATATCCAGTTGACGAGTCCCAAGTGGGACGAAACGTGCGTCCTGGATTCTTCTGCTAGCCACTACGAAACAAATTACAGTTTTAACTGTTAAAAATATTGTATAGCTCAACTCAAGAGCTTTCGATTCACTCCTCATCCATTCCCGTAAGACTTATAGTTTGTAAATAATTATCTATTGAGTAAATTCAACTCACTTTCTGTACATGAAAATGGTTGTTTCATTTCTGCCGATTGCTTTCAACCAACTGACAATGCAGAACCTTGCACAGAAATGCATCGTTTCACATTGCAACACTTCATAGCAGTATACGAAGAACAGATCGATAAAAAAAGACTGATATCAAAGTAGACAAAATGAAAGTTAGTGAAAATGTCCAAGTTGTTGAAGACATCAAAGAATGAATGCATCTGCATCTTCTTCACAGATTTTCAATCACATCAAAAAGGGTTCCAAAACATTGGTTCCTACTATCCTGAAGACTTCAAGTCAGGCAGTCAATACCTCCGTACACGACTCAAACCGACAGTTAGAAACTTTATGGACTGCTGCCACGTCTTGACCTGACCACCCTTAATCGTCTTCTAACCTAGTTTAACTTCTGCTAGCAATCAAAACTTGAGGCGGGCTGTGGCTTGGGTTCCGCGACACATTTCCAAGTCACCTCAGTCGTTGAGGGTTCACAACCTGATCGACCAACTTGCCTTGTCTTGTCTAGTACTCTTTACCTAACCTCGAGACACTGCTCACATGAGCAAGCCTGTTACAATGACACGGATGAATATCGTATTATCCCCTCAGTATTTTTCTCAACTTTTTGTTTGTGTTTTCTGTGCACTATGGATATGTTTGGTAGCATCAAGTAATGCAGTTCTACTCAATTTTCACATCTTCCTTTTCTGGCACACAAAAACAGGTCAATAGAAAATTTCAATTCACAACAAGCATACATACACACACAAGACTAAAGAACAATTAATTACCTGCCGATTTCACAACGAATAATAGTAGTAGTATCTGTTGTAGATGACCAAAACACATCCAATTCTATTAGAGGTAAACCATTTCTACCTTTAGTAGACAGTAATTGTTCAAAAGTATTCTCTATGCTTTCTGTAGACTGATTCAAATGATTCAGTACAATATGCATTCGCCATAATTTTGTCCCATAAGCAATAAAAATAAAGTAATGCACTATTGACTGATTTAATTCATTTTCGGCATAAATTTGTGTCATAATATCAGAGATAGGATATTTTGGTCGTATTGCTGAACAGAATAAATGTGCTAATGGTTTACATTGAAAAGGGACATTATGCAAGAATACAGCAGGTGATATCATTTCAGTATTCGATTTTTTGATAGACCAAAACATTAAACTTCCATCTATACAACCAGATATACAAATACTGTAATCAGGTGTAATTCTTAGCTGACTTAAACAAGTGATTCGTCCAGAATGCTCATTTGGTTGACCTAGATAATTAATTAATAAATGTTGAAAAGAAAGTGTAAACAGTAAAACAGCATAAACAAATATTGTAAAATATAGAACAATTAATTCATTGAATAACCATATACTACTTACTAATTAATAAGTAAATGATTCCTGATAGGTGAATAGTGGAACTTCTCAGGTGACAATAGCTGGTTATTCCAACATCAGTCAACATAGGGATGGTCAGAGGAACGGTGTGGAAGCTAATTCCTTCATAAATAATCAGACGAATTTATAATATGATTGCTGATGGGACTAAGTATGTATATTTTATAATCTAAGAGAGAGGACAAAATATGTTTATTGACGTCAGGTGAAGGGTCTAGACAAAACACCCAAGTCAGTTGATAAGGTTGTGAACCTCGGTCAACTGAAATGGCTTGGATATGTATTGCGTATGCCAAGCCACCGCCTACCTTGACTCATCAGAGGAGAAAGCTGGATTAGGTTTAAAGCAGGTTTAGGGTGATCAGACCAAGACGTGGCACCAGTCCATGAAATCCCTGACGGTTGGCCTGAATCGTGTAGGGAGATGTTGAATACCTGACTAGGGTCCCCAATACGATATCAGTGGTTGAGGACTCTTAGTGACAACTGTGAAGATAAATTTACTCTTTGACGTCTCCTAAGGCTTGAATATTTGCATCAACCGTTATCTTCAGATTGTTTATTCTCTAATACACCTCGGTCTATTTTGATATAGCTCTTATTGTATCTAGGTGTTATTTGTATTCTACTGTGAAGTGTGGCAACTTGAGCCGATGCAGTTATGTGCAAGGTTCTATGTTGATTTTGTCTGTGTGTTCTTTAAGACACTAGACTTTCAACTGATGGACTCTAAAAAATTCGAATCCTATCCCACCGATTGAGATCCTGAAAATTAGATAGTAACATTAGCCTTCACAAAAGAGATGTAGCTTATTGTCTACTGCACGAATGTGCGTGTGGTTACTGAGTGTATTTTGACTTCTTTTCCCCTCTAGGGTGATGACAACCCACTCTCTAATAACATTTCACTCAATGAAAATATTTTTGACAAGAAGATATTCTGTAGTTATCGTTTGTTTCGACAATGTGTTAAGACTGGTTACGACACATGTCCATATCAATGTGTGTCTGCAAATTCATATGCTCTTGTGGAGCTGACTATATTCGCTTGAGAAATGCGTTGCAGAAAGCACCCAGTTTGGTCAATTAAAAGCAAACGAAGAACAACAACTTCATCCATATGTGAACAATTAATGGTGTTAGGTCATTTATCTCTTCGACATCCATCCTTCAAGGTAATTTACAAAGTTATACTGAACTACACTAAAAGTTTACATTTCCACCATTTATGCATAGCTAGAAGCATCAGTTATACAAGATCAAAAGCCGAAATTAGGCATTTAAAGGAATTTTGTGAAACCGCTTTCTCTACTTTGGGTTTGACAATTCATTTTAATTCCACTTCACTCTATATACTTCAGTTTTATTACCTTTCATTACTTTAACAGCACTTGACCCTTATTTAACAGCTGGGAATCAATTCGTTCCTTATTTGGTGATTCCTTTTCTTCCATTTTTGAACCAATGTCCTTCATGTATCTGTCTTATTATTCTTATTCTGATTAGTCTGCCTAGACTCTAAGGCTTTGTAAACTTCTCACATATCTTGCTGAATATAAATAATTGTACATTGTATGGCTTAATTATCTAGATTCGTCTTCTCTCTGAGTTAGGTGATGTGACGTTAAAGGTTATCGGATCAACTCGAACATAGCAATTTGGAGATGATAACAAATAGGGCTTGAATTTCCCTCAATTCGTTTATCATACGATCTAGTAGAAAACATCTCAAAGCGAGGACAGAATCAGAACATCGGTCAAACTGTGAAGATAGAGAGAGAACAAAAGCCGAAACGCTGTGAGTGAATTTACACTATTCAGTATTATTAAACCAGATCGACGAATGGTGTCCATCAAGAGTGTTCACTCTCTCCAATCCTATTCAACTTTATCATAGATATTCTTATGGAGGTCTCCCTCTCGTTACCTGATTACACAGAGGTTGACCTAATCGCAGGAGAATTTTCGTTAGACCTGGAATATGCAGATGAAATAGTCCTGTTAAGTGAAGACCCTGACAAGATCTAGGGCCTTCCGTACACTCTCAGTGGCAGTTTGAGAATGTTTGGGATGCGTTTCTCACCACCCAAATGCAAATTGTTGTTCCAGGATTCGTCTTCAACGATGCCTCGGCTAACAATAGAGAGTGTAGTGCTTGAGTGTGTTGACCACTTCACCAACGTGGGAAGCGGGATCAACCTTGGTGGCTCGGTGGCTGATGAAATCTCTGCACAAATACAAAAGGCTCGGTTGGCCTTTGCCAACTGTGGCACTGCCATGATGTCCGATTGTCTATTAACGGTCGCGTGTACTGCATCTGCACAACAGTCCGCTCTGTTCTACTGTATGGCCGTGAATCATGGCTAGTGAAGGTGAAAGACATGAGAAGGCTTCAAGTGTTTGACCACCATTGCCTTCGTAGTACGGCCCGCGTGTCGTGGTGTCACCATATGAGTAACGCATAAGTCAGATGTAGAGTTTTAGAGAGAAGAGGTAAATCAGTTGACACGGTTGTGAACCTTCATCGATTGAGATGGTTGTGTGGAACACGTGTTATGTATGCCTAGTCGCCATCTGCCTTGTTACACACTGTTGGCCGAAGTAGGTTCCGGGTGGAAAAAGACTTGGGTCGGCCAGACTAAAACATGGCATCAATGTATGAAGTCTTTGACTGTTGGTTTGAGAACCGACGTCAGTGGTGCAGATGTACACATACATTATCCTCACCTTAACGACGCTGTACCAAATCTCACCATTTTCTCATTCTTCCTTTCTCTCTTTTAGCATTTTATATTTCTTTTGACTGAATTTTCTTATCTTCATCTCCCACTTCACTGCCTTTTTACTTGATGTACTGAAATGAGGTGTGGCAACTTGGACTATTACACAGTAATGACTGGTCGTATGTTGATTTGGATGGATGGATGGATAGCAGATCTTTGAATGACAATAGTGTGTAGATGATCGTTAGGACAATTGTTTAATTCAAAGATTCACAACAACTTTAAAGTATAATTTCTGAAACAGTGATATTTCCTGACGCACTAGGCCTTTTATAAACTAACAAACAGACAAAATCAATGTTAAACCTCACACAACTGCATCGATTCAATTTACCACAATTCACAGTAGCATACAAAGAACAAATGAATACAAAAGTAGTGGTGTCAGAGTGGAAAAAGTTGTGTGAAAGAATGCACAATCTACAGATAGTGCAAATACTCAAGCTTCAGAAGACGTCATTGTGACCGATTTTCACCCATGTCACTATGAGACCTCAATCATTGATTTTTATCATTTCGGGAACCCTAGTCAGGTACTCGACACCTTCCTGCACAGCACAGACCAACACGCAGAGAGTAGCTTTCATTGTGGTAGTAAACAACTCACAACTGAATCCAAAAGTCTTATGAAAACTATCCTCTTATTAGAACTGACAAGTACAGAAACTAATTCCTGCCCATTTTCTCTAGGCAGATCAAAACAACTCAATATAGCGTTCAGTTGGTAACACTGTGTTACAGAGCACATGGAGAATCTTAACAGAAATAGACGAAAATGTAACCTTATAGCCGTGTTAGGGTTTGTAGGCTGATTAGGCAATGATCTACACATGTTTTGCGAGAACCTATTACATTACAATTGGAAGTTAGTGAAAGTTGATTGATTTCAAGGTAGTGTTCATCGCGAAATGACATTAGTCGAAGAAACACTAAGAACCTGAGAGCTCTGGGCAACTGTTTCGTCCTAGTATGAAACCATTCAGCAGTGCCCGGGCATGACCACGCCAGGGATCGAAGATCAATGAATCACCTTTCATACTGTAGTGGGGTTGCTGATAAGAATGGATATAAGTAGTAAATGTTGAGAGAGTGGCAGAAATCATAGGGAATTACCAGCAATGGGTAAGGATTCCGCCAAGAGAAACGCAAGAGACAAGGCAGTTGTATGAAGAGCAAATCAAGAAAGAAGCAGAAGAGGAAATGAAGCATATTTTGCGAATGACGGTTTTAGTATAAGGTGTACCATATTTAACGACTACTGTTCCACGTTTTGACAATAAACATTCGTTCCTGCATACCTGTCTCTTGCTTCTCTCAACACTTCTGTCAATTCGCAGTATCGTGCAGTCACCTTCTGATGCCACCATCGAGTATTTTTCCTAGCCGTTATTCCTCAGAGGCATACTTGGAACCTGGTAGTGTACAGTGTTTTAAAGACCAATACGGTCGAACATTTGTCAAGATCTTGTATTTTCAGAACACCAAGAAGATAGGGTAATGATTTGTGGAAGGCTTACCCTTTGCATGGTAGTCGGATACTACTTCCCTCCAAATATTTGAGACTTAGTACAGCCCATAGTCACTCCAATTTTGGGACAGTAAATATAACTGAGGTCCTCAGTTACAATTCAGTAACTAACCTTCATAAGATGTAAACGCTTTAAAACGAGGGAACAAAGCAGAAATTTATCAAGAAGAAACGAAATAATCTTTTCAATACATATTCATATCCTATCAATGCTTAATCGTTGTAAATACTGTTGAACAGATAGTAATTCAACAGCTATGTAAGATAATACTTACAGTTTAAGCATTGATTCTTCAAAGGTATACTCCAAAGCTTAATATCACATCCTACATCATTAACTGTTTGACCGGCAGCAGTGACAAGTACACAGTCCTCATCATTATTAGATGAACATTCAGATGTCAACGCGCACGGAATCAATCCTGAATGTCCACTCAGTGAACCACGGTATTGTAACATAAACGGTGCAAAAATTCGGTAGCGGAAATCTTGCACTTCATTAGATGATGATACATTTATTCCATACAATAATCGTGTTATTGCGTTGCTTGAATTATCACGCCAAACTAAATCTCCTTTCCTAGATGAATTGAGTACATGAAAGCATTTATCATTATCCAGATTATGTATCTCATCCATTTCTCCAATACTGGTAGTTAGAGTATATCCACACTCGAAAATCTCTTGCTCAGAACCAGTTACATAAGTACTCGGTGTAGCATCAGCCTCACTGGGTGTAGTAATTTCAGCGTCTGGATCCAACGCAGTGTCATCACCGTCTTCACCTTGTGATTCCGGTTTATCCAACACTTCAGACGATGCAGGATACAGCTTTGTGCCGACTAAAAAAGTTTTAAATAACCGCAGAATGAAAAATGCGAAACCAAAATACATCTGGTTGAACAATTATATTTATATCGAAGGATACTGTTTAGACGATATACAGATTAAAACATCTTCATTTAGCTTTACTGAGAAGTTTGTCCTGAAATAATGATCTATTGCCGTACTTTCGGTAATCGAAGAAAAAATATCTATTAATCAAGTTAACACCACTTCTCTCTATCACAACAAAATAACAGATTTCCGATTCCCATATCACTAAACACTGATATTGATTACACGTGTTTCTAACCGTATGCGTAGGTAATCATGGATAGACATAAGTAGTAAAATTCAGAAACGAAATTTCGTTCTAGGTGGGACTTATCATTTGGATGTATCTGCCTCTCGTTATTAATACTGTTCCCAGTATCACTCAAACTCAGAATCCATCACTCCAAACGCTAAAACGTCATCTACTAGGCGACTGAGACATGATAGTTAGTAGGAATTTTAATTATCACATCCATAGAGTACCACTTTCTTATGCTCTGTCGTGGGCACATTAAGTGGTGGAGCCAGTGACTAACACTTTATTTCAGTTATGGATAGGTGAAAAACAGAGTTTAATTATGAATCTGGTCACCTGCGAACGCAAGTGAAGAGGAAACTAGATTATGATTGTTTAAAAGTTTTACTGAATTCGCTTTACTTATACAAGTGTGAACTATAGTTGGCAAATAATATGCGGGATATTGGATGTTTTTGAAATGATGGAGAATATTTGTAGCTCAGGTGGATGGTCTTGGTTGTATTGTGGTCTCTGAGCTGAGTTGTTTAATCGTGGAGCTTTCATCGTCTAGCTAGACAGCGACATCATCAGTACTAACTTCAGTATGAAGTGACCTGTCATTATTTCTCCATGAGTGATTTAGTAGCTTGCCCTGACGAACTGGTTTGTGATTGGTTGCTTTCTTTGATTGTTGTGCCGTTGATTGACTGCATGGATTTTCCTGTTGGCTGTTCTTCTGCTTGATCTCTGAACTTTCTGTTGTTTCTCATTTTTGTTATTGGTTGATAGACTGGGTCTGTGTCTGTACATCTATTGAGTGCTGACTGACTGGCATGAATGCCAAGCATCTATGAATTTTCTGGTATTTTTTGTGTTTCCTCCCTTCGTCCAAGATTTCTACATTGTCGAAGTTGAATACATTTCCATGATTATCCGCATGCATTGAAATGAGTGATGAAATGTCGTGACATTTAGTAGGCGATTGGTGTTCATGTAGACGAAGGTGAACAGGGTGACCACTTTGTCCAATGTAGTGTTGACTACAGTTATTGCACCAATTCCGAATGGTCTCAGTAATTTTGTCGTGATTTCCAACATATCCTTTATGTACGGTAGGATGATGCGTTTACTGATTTCTGTCGATGACTTTGTAGTTGATGATGTACAAGATAGGCATCTTCTGATAAAATTTTGAGGGTATCTCCGTTCTTCTTCAGGATAGACATCAAGTAATTTTCTTCGTTTCTCCGTTTCACAGAGAAAGTTTCATGAGCCCGAACGGGCTGACAACGAAACACACGTCAAATATACTCAGATTCCCGCTCAAAGGGTTCACAAGACCCTGAACTGCATCGCCACCTTAACCTAGCAAGGGAATATCATCTGCATACTCCAAGTCAACCAGATGACCTCCAGGGAGTGGATCGATCCTTATGAACTGAGAAGTACTTAAAGTTAGTCCATTAGTACGTCTGATGACAACTGTCTATAAACACTTACACAACTGCGTGAGTTCGAGTAGAACGGCTTGAAGTGCAATTCCATACCACTTCAATCTCATCAATGTTTTTGTGTTTTCTCATTCTTTTATCTATATTGTTGAATCGATCTGGTTATATTTCTTATCAGTGAAAGCAAATGAATAAAATGAATCATTAATGGTGTGTATGGTGTTCTATATATCATCCAACCTCTTAGGTAATTCAATGTACTTAAATCCTGAGGCGAGTATTAAGAATAAGTTATCACAATCAAGGAGATAGTTAAAATCAGTTTTGATTATCTGGCGCAAAAGTTTATCATACCCACACAATAAAAACCTTTCCACTGTGGCATTGAAAATTCTTGAATTCACGATAAAAGAATAAGGATTACATTCCAAGCAAAAATTGGCATTATTTTATTTCGCAGGTATTCATCAATCGAATACAAACTACCCGACGTATGGATATTAAAATAAAATTTTTAAGATCGCATAATTTGAAGCGACTGAGAAAAGCGGATCTATTAGCTTTTCTAAAACATTCGTGAGAATTTATGTACATCGAGAAAAGTAGATTTCTGAGCAGTACATACTGCAGATAATACAAGATATCAAGAGGATACTTCTAGTGCAATCAGAATGCTTGAAATAACACACTTCAAAGAAGGAACAATGATGATAAAGAAACGTTTCAGTCGGATCTGTGCATACAGAATGAGAGCATGGTTAATCTCCTCTACGTCATCCTCGCCTCGGACACACAATTCGTCGTTTCCCATTTGAGTCCCACTCGACGGCCTAGCCTAGCATGATGTGTGATGTCTCCAAATGGTCTTCTCAGTATATCTCCAATCCAATCCATCTCCACTTTCTTCTTGTGCACATTTGTTGGAAAATGGGTTGTTGGTTGGTTCATTGCTGTCAGCCAGCCAGCCAGCCAGCCAGCCAGCCAGCCAGCCAGCCAGCCAGCCAGCCAGCCAGCCAGCCAGCCAGCCAGCCAGCCAGCCAGCCAGCCAGCCAGCCAGCCAGCCAGCCAGCCAGCCAGCCAGCCAGCCAGCCAGCCAGCCAGCCAGCCAGCCAGCCAGCCAGCCAGCCAGCCAGCCAGCCAGCCAGCCAGCCAGCCAGCCAGCCAGCCAGCCAGCCAGCCAGCCAGCCAGCCAGCCAGCCAGCCAGCCAGCCAGCCAGCCAGCCAGCCAGCCAGCCAGACAGCCAGCCAGCCAGCCAGCCAGCCAGTCAACCAGCCAGTCAGATTTCCTTGTTGCTTATTCTTATTATTCTGGCCATCCACCTGATCTCCATCTTCAGTATCGAGTGAGTATAGGCGGAAGTTGTTCATCACGTATGTCTGTAGTTCGTTGAAAATGCTTCTCGTAACACGCCAACTTTCTCAACCATCACACAGAAGCACTGACTTACTTGACTGACATTAGTGCCGAAAATCCGGATCTTGTTCACGCTTTATGCTGAGTGGAGTGGAGTAGATCTCCACAATGATTTCAGATTAGAGAAGGAAGACCTGTCCTACTGTCTTTTCGATCCTGGCTTTGATGTCCTCATCTGTACCTGTGCCACCTGTAGTTGAAACGGTGCTGCCTACACAGGTAGGTGAAAGAGACAACTTGCTTTAGATTTCTCCCGTTGGGGCTGATCGGTGCCCGTTGTTGTTGTCGTTGCTTAGGTATCTTCATCACTTCTATCTTCTCTACGTTCATCTGAAGGAAGTTCCGTCTTCCTTCGCTGTCTCGCCTCACCTCTTCTGCCAACTTGTTAGTTTGCACCTGCCGATCTTCGAGCTTGCGTGACAACACATTCGACATGAATCATCATCGGTGAAGTCTAGATCTTCTAGGATCTTTTCATCAGTCAAACAGCGTATGCCCATCTTCTTGCTCCTCACAGTTTCTTGCATGATCCAGTTCAGTCCAGTCCAACCGACCACAATTAGGAAGATCATCGGTGATGATAGCAGGCAACTTTGTCTTACTCCTTCCTGTCTTTACTTCAAAGACATCTCTGATATTTCCATTGTCAATCACTTGGCATGTAGCATCATATAGGATAGCATGTAGCTGTTGAATGAGGTTGATACAGGTTTTTGGCACTGAAACCGTAGTGTTGAAGCAGCAAGCAAATTACTTCTCAGTCGACGCCTCGATCGAAGGCCTTTTCAAAGTCGATGAAGTTGAGGCAAGGAGAGTTGAGTGCCATTCTATGCTTTGTTGTATGATGATGCGTAGCGTAGCGTTGCAATTCCATCCGCACATGATTTGTTTTTCCTGAAGGCAGCCTGTTCTGGTTATAATTTTTAGTCTCTCCAGGAGTTATGTGTTAGTACCTGAAGCTAATTGTTCCTTTCCTTCTATGAACTGTCTAGTTCGTGAACAAACAAATAGACAATGATGTTGATCAACAGTTTATGATCTGTCAATCTGGAGGTCACTGAATCGAATTCTATAGTGACTTGGGTTTTTCAACCCAGCCTCAATCACCACTCAGTAATAAATAAAATAGTTAATAAAAAATTACTTACATTCCCAAGATCGATCAAAATCAGAAAATATTTCTATATTAACTAATTTAACCACTTTTTCACTGAGAACGCTATTCACAGGCTCCAAATCAACTTGAACATTTAGACGATAAGATAGTGTTAAAGCTCCATATTTACCAAATTTCCATACACTAACTTCACCGTCATCTGATGCAGCAATCAGTTGTCTTGTCTATATAAAAAAGAGGAATAAAATAAAAGGGTGTTCATGACTCAGAGATTTATACATAAAATTTTGTAGCAATTTATCATAATCATTAGTTATCTAAGCATACTACAAATTAGTTACAATAACTTCTGTCGTACATTGGTTGGTGCCTGGAAGGTAACCAGCTTCATATAACCAAAATCTACCCATCATTTTGTAATGTGGCGACCAGACTAGATGGCTCAAAATCGTAATGCACTTCGAAAGGGGTTAATTGGATAGGAACAATCGAATGGAGTTTCATCCTTTTTCGTACTCTTCAGCAAGGTGTTGATTACCCTTCAGCAACTAATCAATATGCCTGGTCTAGTTCTACAGGAAGACAATGAGAACCTGAACGCCTGAATGGTAACATCTCTGACTGCAGCACTGAGCAATGAGAATTCGGATCTCAGGCGGGACATCAGTTCCGCTGAGGTTGCAGATAAGCATTGCTGTCGATTGCCTCCATCCTACTGAAAACTTCTGTTGTACTTATTTACGAATAAAGAACGCTGCACAGGAACTACATGTACAGTCGCCTCAGTATAAGGTAATGTATTCATAAAATCGATTTGCATCATCAATGTTCCATCCAAAATCAGCAAGTAAACACAAATTTATGTTCTAGGCTTAATGATGATGAAAAGTATTCGTGGAGTAACATTAAAGTATGATACTTTTTTCTCAGAATTCCGTGTTGTCTTTAATTACACATTAGGTCAAAGTCAAACTCATGCCACTTATATATCTTGAACAAAAATATACACCATGAAATAACGTTGACAGCTTATTCACAGACGGATAATTCAACTTTTAAAAATTATCTATAAGTGAAGAATTGAGGTGGAAGACTTGAAACTAAAAGGAAATCATTTTGGTGACTTTTGAACGTTACTACTGACCACCTAAAACTGCAGGTATCACCCTCCTGGTTTAGTATATACGTGCTGCATACTGACTGATCACAGGTGAGTAACGAATTTCCTGTTATCCAGTCCTAAGCAATGATAAACGCCCATCAATAGTTCTACAACGACGTTACCAAGCTAGAAGACTCAATATAGCAGTCCACTTTAATTTAAGAGTTGGTAGATGTATGCAATAAATGGAAAGCCTGAAAACCTCAACGGTAAAAACACCGAAAAACAAACCAAATCAACAAAGAACCTCATACACACACAACAGCATTGGTTCAAGTTGTCCCACTTCACAGTAGCATACGAAAAACAAGTGAATAAAAAAGAGTGATATCAAAGTAGATGAAGATTTGTGAGAAAAATGAACGACTTCAGGTTAAAAATCAGTGCAAATATTCAACGCTTAGGAGACGTCAAACAGTGAATACATCTGCACGGTTGTCACCAAGGGTCCTCAACCGGTGATTTCCATAGTCTTGAGGATCTTAACCAGGTAATATCTCAGCATACAGTTCAGAGCAAGAGTCAAAGGTCTCATCGCCTCGTACCATGTCATGATCTGGTCACCATGAGCCCTCTTCCAAACTAATCGAGTTTTAATCTTAGCTGTAAACTCGCTGACTGCAGCACTGGATGACACGGGTGCGGATCTTTGAGAGTACATGAGCTGTCTGGAGGCTAAAAAAAACGTCTTACGGACAAGTGACAACAAATATAAAGTCTAGATTCAGGATTTCCTGTTGTTTATACTCAACCACTTACCATACATTTTTTATCACCCACCAGAAGAATCACAAGTACAGACTAAGCTTCTGAATAGTATTGTTCAAATCTGAATTCAGTAGCAAATGCATGTGGTTTGTATGTTAAATCTAAAAGTTCTGTAAAGACGAGTCAACATGCCATGGCTATAAAGTTGACTACTAATGTAATACATTCACGTACGCATGCCGAATTGCAACGCTACGCTACGCATCATCATACAACAAAGCATAGAATGGCACTCAACTCTCCTTGCCTCAACTTCATCGACTTTGAAAAGGCCTTCGATCGAGGCGTCGACTGAGAAGTAATTTGCTTGCTGCTTCAACACTACGGTTTCAGTGCCAAAAACCTGTATCAACCTCATTCAACAGCTACATGCTATCCTATATGATGCTACATGCCAAGTGATTGACAATGGAAATATCAGAGATGTCTTTGAAGTAAAGACAGGAAGGAGTAAGACAAGTTGCCTGCTATCATCACCGATGATCTTCCTAATTGTGGTCGGTTGGACTGGACTGAACTGGATCATGCAAGAAACTGTGAGGAGCAAGAAGATGGGCATACGCTGTTTGACTGATGAAAAGATCCTAGAAGATCTAGACTTCACCGATGATGATTCATGTCGAATGTGTTGTCACGCAAGCTCGAAGATCGGCAGGTGCAAACTAACAAGTTGGCAGAAGAGGTGAGGCGAGACAGCGAAGGAAGACGGAACTTCCTTCAGATGAACGTAGAGAAGATAGAAGTGATGAAGATACCTAAGCAACGACAACAACAACGGGCACCGATCAGCCCAACGGGAGAAATCTAAAGCAAGTTGTCTCTTTCACCTACCTGTGTAGGCAGCACCGTTTCAACTACAGGTGGCACAGGTACAGATGAGGACATCAAAGCCAGGATCGAAAAGACAGTAGGACAGGTCTTCCTTCTCTAATCTGAAATCATTGTGGAGATCTACTCCACTCCACTCAGCATAAAGCGTGAACAAGATCCGGATTTTCGGCACTAATGTCAGTCAAGTAAGTCAGTGCTTCTGTGTGATGGTTGAGAAAGTTGGCGTGTTACGAGAAGCATTTTCAACGAACTACAGACATACGTGATGAACAACTTCCGCCTATACTCACTCGATACTGAAGATGGAGATCAGGTGGATGGCCAGAATAATAAGAATAAGCAACAAGGAAATCTGACTGGCTGGTTGACTGGCTGGCTGGCTGGCTGGCTGGCAACGAACCGACCAACCAAGAAGTTATCGCAGAACAAATATGCAGAGGAGGAAAGTGGAGATGGATTGGATTGGAGATATACTGAGAAGACCATTTGGAGACATCACACGTCATGCTAGGCTAGGCCGTCGAGTGGGACTCAAATGGGAAACGACGAATTGTGTGTCCGAGGCGAGGATGACATGGAGGAGATGGTGTGAGGAGGGAATTGATTATTATAGGCAGTCAGAGCGAGGTGAAAAGACTGCAGAGAGGAGAGTGAAGTGGGGAGGTGTTACTGAATCCGTGTGTTCTACTATGAATTTAAGGCATAAATAATGGTAATAATACTTCTTGCCATAATGGGGATTTACAAGGATGATCTGATATAATTCTCATCTCTATAAGTGTTGGATTATAAGGATACTGTTATAGTTATCACTTCATTAAATAAATTTGCACATATAAAAATTAATGCCTTATAATACAGAAATGTACACATTTTAGTTAGATAATTTACAGCTTACTGCAAGGTCCATAGATGTAATTGGGGACTTATTCGCAATAAGTGTTTGTTTCAATTGATATGCATCATCTTTTATTGTATAATTATGCAGCAGATTGTCATTATCACTGATATACACAGATACGCTGATTGTTTTTATACCTATGAATACACGTGATAACGATAAACAAGTGATAGGAGATTTACAAGCATCACTGATTAGATGCATCAAGGCCACAGTTCGCTCTCTTTGATCATATTTAAACACTGCCAGCTGCTACATTTTAAAAGAGAAAAAAAAGAAATTCATATATGTATATATATAGGTACATTATGAAGATCAGTTCGTCGCGAGAGAGGAACTAATATATCTATTAAGTCTTCAATGTTCATGAAAGTTAAATAAGTTAATTGACGTGATACTCTGGTACATTAGGCTTTTTCCAAGCGGGATATCCTTTAGTCTTGGATTAAGCATTGACCAACTGCTGTAAAGACGACCTGAATAAAACATTCTATTGACTACTCTAACTGGACATTCTGATAAGATATCACTTGGAGTGTCTCACATAAGTTGTAATCGGAAAAACAAAAGCTTCTCCTCCAGTGTCATCAATACTGCCTCGAGATTATAGTAAGCGATATCAACTTTGATGAACTTTTCAGGATATCCATTTTCACTTAGAGTATATCACTGATACACAATAATATACAATATAACTTCAAAGGTTAATTTTTTCAAGTTTATCTACTAAACGAAAACACTGTAGGAAATAAGTAAGGTCGAGAAGTTAACAAAAAAATGAATGATAAGATAATCATATTGCTTATACAGTATAGCTTACTCTGTTTTGAGAAACTGTTGCAAAATGTTTTGTTTCCAAACTAATTGCAGTCACTGGAGCATTGTGCTCTGTTAAACAAACTGATTTCACAATTTTACTTCCAGTTCGACGACCAATAAAATGTAACCATACTTGAGAATTTTCACCACCAGAAACAGCTACACAGAAATCAGCTGCTACGCATAAAGTACCAGTGAGATGAGTCTCAGTAATACAATTTATATTACGATCAGTAGTAGAATGTGACAATAAAGTTTCAATTAGGGTAAAATGTATTTCAGATACTGCAGAAGGTGATATGTAAACGTAATGATTTTGATTGGGTTTAATTTTTGGCTTCAGTGTACATACATATATCTACAAAGAAGTAGTGTTCAATAAAGGACGATAACAAGTTATTATTACAATTGTTGAAACTTATACGTTCATTATGCTGAAGGATTCAGAAGATTTATTTTACAGACACACCAGAAAGTGAGCTACGATATCAGGAAACGATTATTCATCCAAACTAATCGACTTTCACATGAACCTGGAATTCAAAGATGACATTGGAGCTGAAATCCTCTAAAAACTGGCTTTGGCGAGTTTTGGAGAAGATATTTCACGCAGTTAGTTTGAGAATCATATTTTCAAGTAGACAATTACTCCATCAATAATGCATTAAGAACAGAATAGTGCTTCAATCAGTTTACTTGTTCATTTCGAACAACGTACAATGACCGTATACAGCGTCAAGTCTGTAAACGAATTTCGGGACATTTTCCAACTGGACTGTCCAGAGAAGAGAGAAAAAACATCAATAAATCTTTTCTTAAACACTTCACCAACTCCGGACATCTGAACCCTCATAGTCATTCTCCATTTGTGCCCCCCCTCCCGCAATACAAAATGCCTTCAAGTACATAATCTATGCACAACAGAATCAGTGGTAATTCATATCCATAAATCTGATGTTTTTATTCAGAAACATTACGAGCGTTGATTAACCTTAGCATAGATGAGGTGGAAATTTTCAACTATCCTTAGAAACTCCTGATTCTACTCATCTTTGAACTCTATAGTATTCATATGTCTCTATTGATTATCAATAGACTGTTATTTGTTCCCAATGATGCTAAATACTATTGTCTACAACTTTAGGAAATGAAATTGTTGGCAGGAAAAATATTCTTCGCTGTTACGTCTTTCGTTTACTACTTAATTAATCATCTGCCGTGGCTTGGCAGACTAGTATTTACACTGGGTGATGATTAAAGGTGAAGTGAAATTTGGATCGTGGCTTGATTCGGACCACCAAACACTGGGTTCCCAGGCAGGTGCTCTACTAACTGGCTACGAGGTCCGACTGCTGGCCACATTTTTATTTCACTTCCAGTGTGAATATGATCAAGCAGTAGAAATGCGTCATGAATTCACATGGTAACCTGGTAAAAAACTTGGTAATTGAAAGCGAAATAGAAATCTGATCAGCAAACGGGCTTCCTAGCTCAGTTGGTAGAGCATCGGACCGGAATCTCGGCGGTGACTGTTGGAATCCGCAATGGTGCGAATTTTCATTTCACCTTCAATCACCACACAGTATAAAATATTGGTCTGACAAACTACGGCTATCTCAGATAGTCAAACTGATGTTCCCCCTCTCTAATTCAGTTAGATTGGGATTGGAATGAGAAGTCCTGAATAGGCAGCCAGGGTGAATACGATCAAGCGATAGTAACGCATCACGAATTCACATGGTAGTCGGGCAAAACCCTGTGATTGAAGTGAAGTAAAATTTTGGCCGGGATTCTGACCTCGTAGTTCAGTTGGTAGAGCATCGGGCCGAAAACCAGGTGGTCGCCGGTTCGAGTTCGGCTGCGGTCCAAGGATTTACTCTAGTTGACAGCTGGATTTGATAGCCCAGTTACTTTAATACCCTAGTAGATCACATTTTTCATCAAAATTAAACCATCAACTCTTTATATTATTATATATTATTATCAAAATTTACTGGTAAATCCATGCATGTAAGTTAGCTAACCAAATTCAAGTGATTTGAACTGATTCGTCTGTATAAGCTGAATTTTCCTGGGCACAACGTCGACGAGCTGGTTCGACCCCGAACTAGTGAAACAGCTGTTCGGCATTCCTATCAATCTGATGTGGCTAGTGAAGCCTATCCAGCAGCCTGAGTAGTTTCTTACTACTTAAGTTGTTCAGTAGCATATTTATAAAGTCAAGTTCATCATAAGGGATATTCAAATTTCTGAAACAGTGACTGCAAACTTAGCCTTTCGCCTGAATAACAACCCTACATTCAATCATATATTCGAACTAATCGCCTAATATTTAACACTACGAGCTCCACATAATTCCAGAGGCGTGTTTACCGATTCACCTGCTCTTGTAAAGATGGTTATGTAGACTGCACAAAGCGTGTTCTATCCAAACGCATCTCTGAATACTATCCTGTATGGCTGTCTAAAGGACAGTGAAAGCCATCAAAAGCTTGATTCTTGAACATTCGGTTAGTTCTGGTCACTGTACTCTATAGAAGTCTCGTTCCAAAGTCATTTATAAAGTGAAGTCAAACATTCCGAAGAGAGTGCTTATTCGCCACTTCAACACAGCAGCAGAGGCTTTGGGAATCGAGCCGTACAAGCCTGATCAGTGAGTTCAAAAGAGATACATTCAATCTCTAATTTTGCCTTGGTCGTGATCTCCTTAAGACAGTTTATTCATTTCTTGGTTTATTCACTATAATCCTATAAGCGATTTCCGATGACCTTGAGTTGACCTTCAACACGTTATCAGTTTGCGACTTCATTGACCCTTTTTTGATAATCATATTTTCCTGTAACCATGATTACGATGCCCAGCTATTAAAAATGACTCGTCGGAAATAAAATTCTCTTTGCTAAATTGTCTGTTATTAATTTTTTTTATTATAAAGCAGCTGGATTACGTGACATTTCTGAAGTACGTGAAGCTGTTATTACATTGATTAGTCGCTAAAGAGTCACAAATTTTTTGATCCCAATCAGCGTGTGTAAATCAATTCTACAAAAGACAATAACAGCCCGAATATCTCAGTGATAACATCTCTGACTACAGTACTGCATGATGTGCATCGAACACATCGTTCTTCTAAGCTAGTGGGATAGGAATGACCAAAAAGGTCAACGGTTATTCATTTAAATGAGATACTTTAAAGGCCACCCTAGCAACAATAGAAATAACCAATTAGGTTTCTTCATTTTGGCTTCAAAGTTGGATTTTCATAAAATCTTGAAACCTGATCGGTTATTACAATTGTTGCAAGGTGGTCTTCAAAGTTACTTCACAACAATCGATAACTATTGCGAAACAAAGAACTGATCATCATTTCAATAAGTAAGTAGATTGTCAGGTCGGTAACACAAAGGTCAAATCATTAGAATTCTGCCAAAACCTATTCAGATTTTTTTCCACTGCAAATAATATCCAAATAAGCAAAATAGGTAGGTAGGAGGGACATAACGAAACTTTCACTTTGGTGATATACAGTGATTCAAAGAATATCTATCTATCAGACAATCTCTATGAAGAAAGATTTACTATCTGAAGCCTGCCATTTTATCACTAGAGTCCATTTTTAGTCATAATGCCTATGGAATGCAAAACAGGTATGTTTGAAAGCTTAATCATGGAGTTGATGGGTTTGAGTTTGGTTTTCCACGGTGCTGTGGGTGAGTACTATTGACGAGTCCCTTCCAAAGTAGACACATCTATTCAGTGTCCTTTGGTTTTGAGTGATTTCCAACCTGAAGTTAACTTGTAAAGTAATCTACCGTGAAGTTGGTCAGTTTTCCACAAAACACAAAAATACATCTCACCTTCAGAGTCAGCAAAGTGTGTGTGCGCGCATTAATAAAAAACTTATCGGGACGTTACACTGGAATCCAGTTCAGGGATAAACCATTCACAGAGGAAAAGTCAACTATTTATTATACAACAATTTATCAGTAGAAAAGACATTACTTTAACAAGAAGTGGAAAGGATCTGTGTCAATGCTGAAATATTGAGTTTCCGGTGCAGAAGACCAATACCATTCATAAAAGGGTTGAAAGTTTATCAAATCAAACGGAGTGAGGAGAAAATTAGTTCAAAGACAGTTCAACTAATTTTTCTTCATCAGAGAAATAAAGGACTTAAAAACACCAAAGTGAACATACGCATCTTCTTGAGCTGGTACCAGCGCCATAAATTACAATTCAATGGAGACCCTGAACTCTCTTCGTACCCAAGGCACATCGGGGTGGATGGTAGATAGGCATGAGCACCATATGTCCACACCACGTCAGTCGACCAAGGTTCACAACTTCACCAACCAACTTGCTTGTCTTGCCCAGTACCCATCACCTGACCTCAGTATTGCTCACACAAAAATTCCACCACACGAGCAACGCTACAAAGACAAATGTGATCAAACGCCTATAACCGCTCCATGTCTTCTACTTTAAACGGTTGTACAGCAGGACAGAAAAGATTGCCGAACGGTATACTCATCGTTTGATAGATAATATCTCGCCGGCCCGCACAACAGGTGATACAAGTTGGCAAATGTCAAACGGGTCTTCTATATCCGAGCTGAGATTTTGTCAGCAACCAACCCGTTCCAGCTGACACAACTAGGCAAGTAAGTGAAGTGGTCGATACATTCCACCACTTCACTCCCCATTATCAAACTAGAAGTACTTCCAATAAAACAGTCCTGGAGCATCATCATACATTTGAGAGGTGACAGCAAAACGCATGCCAAACATACTCAGATTTCCACTCATTGCATTCAGAACACCCTGCATTTTGTCAGCGTCTTCATGCATCAGGATAATATCATCTGCTTAAACCAAGTCAAACAGATGACTTCCATGGAGTAGATCAATCAATCTGAAGTAAGATATGCCTAGGGTTGTGTTTATAAGAACATCTTTGACGAAGTTAAATAGCAACAGTGACAATGGATGTCTATCGCGAACACTACTAGATGCCGTCAGTTCAAATGAAAACTCCCCATAAGCCCTGAAATGGCTGCGAGAGCTTTGATTAGCATTAAATACTTACTCGATACTCCCTTCAAAGTCAGACACTGACACAATACCTCATGGTCGACAGAGTTAAATCCTGCACTCGCCTCAACAAATATCACAAGTGCCGTCCACTCGTCAATAGGCATGCCTGTCTTCCTGTCGGAGAGTAACAATATGGTCGACGCACCCTCAGCCAGATCTATCTCAAACCTCAGTGGTTTCCTCGAAATTATTGTTCTCAAGTGGAGCTCCAGTTAGGCATAGGGTAACTATAATCCCTTGAATCTTGGACACAATATTAGATAAAACAATTTCCCTATGGTTGTCACAAGGTTTCTCACTATTCTCATAGACGGGGATGATCAGTGAAGTACACCAGTATGACAGCACTAACTCTAATCCACACATACTACCTAGTACATCCGTCAATCTAATCACCGATTTCCTACTTAGATCCTTCAATACTTCGGGTGGCAACCTGTCAAGTCCTGATACTTTGCGTCGTTTCAGCCTCAACTCAGCCATCTCAACTTCAAAGAGAGTCGAAGGACCAAGATTTACGCATCCCATCGACGGTCAGGTCAGATGTTAGGCAACCGAAGCGTTGCTGAAAGCCAGTTGAACACTGCTTCAAAGTGTTCCAATCAACCTTCTAGCCGCCTGTCCAATAAGGTTATCAGCGTTCCATCTTCTTCCTGATGATTTCATTCACCACCATCTTCTTACCGGTATCATTAATAAGCCGAAATAGTTGACAAGTCTTACCTAACACGGACGCCATATCTATCTTTCTCTCTCTTTTCTTCGTCATCCATCATTGCTCACGATCAACGCAAAGACTCTTATTCAATTTATGTTTGAGTTGCTTTCAGTCTTCATCGTGGTTGCAGATACAGACAGCTGGAATCAGTCTTCTAACATCAATCGCTTTGGATGACGTCGCGGAAATTCAACAGCCTTTGCTATCCTTGGAGTGTAGGTTGCCAGTTGTCTTTAAAGTTAATATCACGCCACGCCAGGCTTCCTCAGGGTGAGCATTGGTGTTATGTCCAGATAACTGTTTAGCTAAACCCTCAATAAATGCGTATTTAGGGACCTCGTCTTCTAATCGACCATAGAAAGGCTTTACTGTAGCCTACTTTCGGCGGCACCGGTGAATATAGGAGCCCGCACTAACACCTGATCGGAGTTCAAATAGGTACTGCCGAAAGAGTGACAATCCTCCAATGATCTTCTCAGACCGTGACTTTTAGCAATAAGTTCTATCCATGTTCATTGTTGGTTTAAGGTCAGCGGACACTATTTCTTCTTATGCCTTAAGCTATTGTGGACCAGAAACAATTGATTGTCGGATGCAAATTGCAACAGACGATCACTATTGTCAATTCGTTGGCATGGGATTCTGTAATTACTCCCAAGATGCCTTTCCGATTGGCCAAGTTTCCCTACTTAAGCGCTACAGTCACCTACCATTATGACTTCATCTGAACATTTTGCTTCCTGGAGCACAGTTGACAGCTTCTCATACAATTTCTCATTTGCATCATATGAACTCCAATGGGTCAGTGCGTAGGCGGAATTTGTGAATAACCATCGCCTAATTTCACGATCCTTCCTACTCCTCACAGATCAATTTAGTCGAACAGAACATAGACAGCTGTTTACTGGTACAGTCGAGAAGCGCACTTTTTGCTCTACAACTCAATGCTATGCTTACACTAGTGAGTCCATAAGAGCCAGTCATCTGGTCTCTGCATAGTCGTAAGGTGAATTTTCAAGATTCACTACTATGGCCAGGTGAGGTCAATTTAACAACCACATTCGGGTCCTGTATGCGTGTCTCACACACACAGAATACATCCATGGCTAAAGATTCCGGAGCTTTGGCAAGTGATGCTTGCTGTCCGATCTGGCACACACTTTGCAAGTTACAACCTCCTACATGAAATCGATGGTGAGATCACAGGCGACTAGCAATCAAGTTCCGATGGCTTTGATCGTTGACAATGGTCGGAGAGTCAGAGGTTGTGTAAGACGTAAGACGCCTAGTATTAGTATGAGGAAGTGAAGGTAAAGAAGGAGACAAAGTTAGGGAGGACAGGTTTTGTGTGCTACGGAAAGCGTATGAACGGTTGACACTTCCCGAATGCCCACACTCAAGAACGCTATTTCTTCTCAAGGTATCTGAACGAGAAAAACATGTGTAACTGCAGAACCTATTCAAACTCTGCTTGAGGCCTGTCACACATGGCCGTTTTGCAGGATATTGTTTTCAGGTTTGCTTGTTCTAACCCCGGATAAGGAAAAGTCATACAACCGGCACCCGAAGACCAATGGACAGAGTGAGTAGGCTGCTTTTGGATCTGACCTTTTTTAACCATCCATTGCCAAAGGGAAGGCAGCGTCAGTGTATCACTGCTGGCCATCAAAGGGAAATACCTTGTTGTTGTCAAACACCATCCAGCTAGCAGTAGTACGACTTCACCCTCAGACCTAGAATCATAGTGTAGAAATCTACACTACAACGGTAATCGCTTTTAGTTCTACCATTCATTTTCCAGCAAAATTTTCTGGCATGGTAGGAGCTGCAGGGAAGAAGCGTTCCACCGGTATAGCTCGTTGGGTCATTGTGATATGCATGTTCGACCACCATAATACCTATATAGTAGCTGTCGGTCTCAAGTCCTTATAATTTAAGTATACTTTCTTTTATAACTTCTGTTAAATGTGTGAAGTACGTTATTTAAAGCAATTCACTTGAAAGGAATAAGCATGTCACTACCTTTAGGTAAGAAAGCAAGAGATGAACGAAAAAAGGGTTATGGAGAAGTTTAGCCCCTTATATATACACATACAATGAAGTGAAAATATGGCGAATATGCGTATTTTTTTCATTAGTTTTCCAACAAAATTTACATGATGCTGCTCGACTTACCCTAACAGCACCGGATGAATAACCAGCAATAATAAGATAACCAGAGTATTCTGACTGAAGTACTACACTGTTAGATGCAATGCATTGGACAGAAGAATTATCCTCTTCAGGCGAATTCAATCTGTACACTATCTGACCATCATAAATGTGAACAACAGTTAAATCACCATTACTCCAACCCAAGATCAAATGATAATGTGAAAGAAGTATTGTCGAACATGTAACGAATGCTGGGTTTTTTGTGTTATTACTTTCGCAAGGTTTAATATCAATCCATGGAACTAGAATTGAAAAATTGGCATACAAAAAAGTAGGAAATAAGAGCATAAAATTATGGCTGGAGGTTTCTAATTGATACATATATAACCTGTTAAACATGAAATGTTTTATGATGTATAGACAAACACAGAATCGTGAATCCATATTCTTGTAGAAATAATATATGCCATAATAATTTCATGCGAAAATCTATGTGTAAGAACACAGCTTGCCTTTTCCAATCTTCAGTTAGTCAATCAGCCCAACAACAGCATCTATTTCACATTCACTTACATAACTATAAACCATGAAGTGTTTCTCAACTATTACCTAAAAATTCTTTTAATCAGTCAAATAATATTCATTGTGTTTCTCCTGTTCATGAAGTTTCGTAAGAGCTAAGCAATATTATATATTATTATTTGTCCTATGAGTTTCTGTTGGAACCTAATGCTTCAGTAGCTTCTCTGCAGTCTTTTCAGCCTCGCTCTGACTGCCTATAATAATCAATTCCCTCCTCACACCATCTCCTCCATGTCATCCTCGCCTCGGACACACAATTCGTCGTTTCCCATTTGAGTCCCACTCGACGGCCTAGCCTAGCATGACGTGTGATGTCTCCAAATGGTCTTCTCAGTATATCTCCAATCCAATCCATCTCCACTTTCCTCCTCTGCATATTTGTTCTGCGATAACTTCTTGGTTGGTCGGTTCGTTGCCAGCCAGCCAGCCAGCCAGCCAGCCAGCCAGCCAGCCAGCCAGCCAGCCAGCCAGCCAGCCAGCCAGCCAGCCAGCCAGCCAGCCAGCCAGCCAGCCAGCCAGCCAGCCAGCCAGCCAGCCAGCCAGCCAGCCAGCCAGCCAGCCAGCCAGCCAGCCAGCCAGCCAGCCAGCCAGCCAGCCAGCCAGCCAGCCAGCCAGACAGCCAGCCAGCCAGCCAGCCAGCCAGCCAGTCAACCAGCCAGTCAGATTTCCTTGTTGCTTATTCTTATTATTCTGGCCATCCACCTGATCTCCATCTTCAGTATCGAGTGAGTATAGGCGGAAGTTGTTCATCACGTATGTCTGTAGTTCGTTGAAAATGCTTCTCGTAACACGCCAACTTTCTCAACCATCACACAGAAGCACTGACTTACTTGACTGACATTAGTGCCGAAAATCCGGATCTTGTTCACGCTTTATGCTGAGTGGAGTGGAGTAGATCTCCACAATGATTTCAGATTAGAGAAGGAAGACCTGTCCTACTGTCTTTTCGATCCTGGCTTTGATGTCCTCATCTGTACCTGTGCCACCTGTAGTTGAAACGGTGTTGCCTACACAGGTAGGTGAAAGAGACAACTTGCTTTAGATTTCTCCCGTTGGGGCTGATCGGTGCCCGTTGTTGTTGTCGTTGCTTAGGTATCTTCATCACCTCTATCTTCTCTACGTTCATCTGAAGGAAGTTCCGTCTTCTTTCGCTGTCTCGCCTCACCTCTTCTGCCAACTTGTTAGTTTGCACCTGCCGATCTTCGAGCTTGCGCGACAACAAATTCGACATGAATGAATGAATGTCTTAGATCAATAAACATTAACATGGTTAGTCTGCTAAATGCTAAACAGTGCATATGCTAATCCAACAGGCAATTAGTTTTAGACGGGTATAACTTCTAAGTCAGAATAAAAGCTAATTGTTGGTCATCATCATTCTTTGCAGGTTGTGTCAGTAGCTGGATTGTAGGTCTGTAACTCTACATATTTGTCCAACTGTAGATCGTGTGAGATTTTCACATCAATCAACATCGCACGAGCCTTTAACTCTCTTATATTATTCGAATCCCTGAAGTCAATACATCAGATTTTTTCACTAAGACGACTGGCGAACTGTACACAGACTTATGCTGTTTATACTCTTCAGTTGCCACTGTAATTAACTTTTGAAGATTTAATAATTATCACAGTTATACAGTGGTATGAGATTTCATTGAAAAATTCATATCAGAACACTTTCTGGAGTAGTAAGTAGTAATGCGATCCAACAACGCTGCACACAATTTTATGCGAGGTTGTAAACGGCACTTAAAATTCAAGGGTTAAAAGTAGTAACCAATTTTTTGAGATAACTTAGGCGAAATGCATTTGAACCTATCATCCAATAGTTATCAGTCGAGTATGTTTTCCTCTAGAATCAAACTCAGGACTTTTGAGTCTCTTAAAGAGCATTACCATTGAGTTACTTGGAGTATGACATAACTCTTACATGAAATGGATGTAGATTTCTATAACTTTACACTTTATATTGGATACCACTCTACTTATAAGTAATAAAACAAACTTCAGGATAACATTCTATCTAGAGATACCCACAAAGCGATGCTAAGTGGTCAACAAGAAGCATAACTCAAAGACCCGCTAAATGATTCATGAAACGTTTAGCACATATTTATTGATACTTGTAATTTTCCGTTGTTACAGTGGATTGAGTCGCTCGATCTCTGTTGGCAGATGGGGGCTGATGCAGATGTCTGGACACTGCCTGAATATTCATTATTGTTTAGTTTACTTGGTGTCTGGGAGTGAAATCCAAGACGCAATTCTCGTCCTATTTGGGACTCATCAGCTGGATATATACAGATTCGCACAAAGTGAAAAGTAAATATTAACAAACCAAGCAGAAATTACCAAACTCCGCCCAAAGCCCAGTATCCCAGATGTTGATATAATTATCCAAGAATTGGCCACCACCAGTTTGAAAAATAAACCGGCCATGCGGTTTTGAGAAGCATATCTTCCCCGACTGAGTTGGAATTAGAGCAGGCGACTCATTATATTTCGGAAAATATTCATCCAAATTCAATGTATATTCTTGTAGTAAACCAGCTTGATACCAAAGTATGTCATCATTCCAAAGCATTAGCTGACCATCTCTGTTCATTGTAGCTAAGATATTTCCACCATTTGGAGAATATGCAAGTGAAGAGATGGAGGAAGATGATACAGACAAAGACTATGCAAAAAAGGAATAAACAAGATGAAATATGGATTACCAGAGAGAAACGCGTTCATACCGGCAAACATTTGAACAGAAAATAAAAGAAATAAACCCACCTTAACAACAGACAGGTAGTGTAAACTATAGAAGTGAACCATCCCATCCCAACATCCAACAGCCAAAACATCCCGAGAGCGTTTCACATCGACTTGATCATCGTTTGTAATATCAGGCAACCGAAACGCGATTGAACTAATTGGATAAATGAAAATATCCAATGACTTGAATGGATGCAGCTTTACAGAATCACGCTGTATCGATATGGAAGAAGATCCGAATCCAAGTTGACCAATATCCCATAGATAGACCATACAGTCTAAATCACCAGTAGCAATTATTTGACGCCCAGGATGCCAAGCAGATGTAGTGACACACCGACGATGATATCCACATAAATCGGCTACTTGTAAACTAGTTACTGTACACACCTTAGATTCGATAGAATGACTGAAGTGAGACACATCCCAGATAAAAACACTACCATCTTCTGATGCAGATACTAACCAAAGTTGTAAAGTTGACATTTGAGACAACTCGATGCTTTCAAATTGACTAGAAGGATGTTGTAGGAAACATAGACTTTGTACACTTGAATGATGTCCAGTAAATGAACATATTTCCTTTGAAACATAAGTCAAAACAAAAAAAGATAATCAAGAAAACACAAAAAACAGTTTAGCATAATAAGTTAATAACAAATTAGCAGAAAGAAAGAAGATTACTCATGGTGACTGAACTGAAACTAAGATCTAGTCACCATTAAGTCTTGTACCTTAGTTGGTAAAACGTCAGATTGTTAACCAAGAGGTCATTGGTTCGTGAACCCATATGTTTGTATCATCTCCAATAATAAGATTTTTTCACGAAGACAGGTTTTTGATAGATCACTTTGAAGTCATAGTCTAAAAAGGTGACGGAAAATGTTTCTTTCTAAAACATTAATGAAAATTCAAAGCTATAGGCTGGGATGGAGTTTATGTTTTAAGTCTCGTTTTATGAATAATTTGACCTGACGTTGAATGAAATTTTTTAAACAAGAAGTTAGATATTTTGAGCTTATGAAATGTTGAGCAACCGAGCTATCTATCCTTCGAAGCAGTTTCATGAGGCGGTTGTGACTGAGTTTTTTCGAGGTGGACATTTTTCATTATAGTACCTTACTTGTCTGAAAAACATGCTTCTTCTTCTCTCTCTTCATCTGGAAAGAAAATAATGAATTGACTCAACTGTTAGCGGCTCAAAGCAAAAAGGCAAACGAAGCATACTACTGAAATAGAATAGCAGTAGATTACTTGTCGATGAGATGTTTTCTACTGATATATATATATGTACAATTTGGAAGGAACTGGGGAGTGAATTTTGTCTAAAATACGGGAAATAAGTTTCACTCCAGTCACATCCCTAGCCGTTTTTATTTAAACAGCTTATACTTCAACTGTATGACAGACCGAAAACTAGTGAATTGTAGAATAAGAGGATTTAAGCGGGTAGTGGCGTTCAAATCCTATCCGAACTATCTCGATTTGAGCGATCCGGTGGTGTCACAAACCCTTATACATTAAATCTGGTCAAAAGTCTAGTAGAAGATTCCGTACTGAGTTCAGTAACACTATTATTATACAATGATATCACTGTCTTGGTCTGGTAACACTATTTTTTTCCTACTAAGTGCTTACTCTAATCAAAATTCACACTGAAATAGGCTATATTTCAATGTTCAGTGTGTGAAATATAACCATCAAGATATGAAGAAGATCAAGTATTTCAGCGGAGTCTCTTCTCGGTGATTTCATTTTTAAAGCTGTACAATAGCAAATTTATACATTTTCTCAAGAACCTCTTCGTTCAAAGTCATCAATAAAGTGAAAAGAAATCTTGCAAAGGCGGTATGTCTTCGTATTCTCTGCATCACCGAAGCTCTTGCTATCCGTACATGGGGAAACCTGAATTGTGTACGCAAACGAAGATTGTTTAACTCTTTCTCCTTTCATAGTCTTAGTTTTCAGTCTCTTCTATCTCCTTTTTTCTTTTCATTTTTCTATTTTGACACAAAACACTACTTAAGTAATTTGCTACTCATTCTTGTTGCTATGCTCTGCTTGATCACAATTCAGTTTCCAATTACGTCATCATATTATGAAATTTCTTGTTCAGACTTATTTTGATTAATATTCACCACCCATCGCCGTTGTTTTGGTTTTATGATTTTAGTGACAGATCACATGATTGACAATGTTTGTGCTGTCATGCTTGACTAACCGTTTTTAACTGTCGAATCTTTGCACTAGAAATATGTATAAATTTGCGATTGTACAGTTTTGAAAAGGAAATCGCCGAAAAGAGACTCTTCGCTGAAATACTTGTTTTACTTTCACTTCAACACTCATCATATACACATTCAATTTAATTAAGCTTTTCAACCTAACAGACTGATTGGACTCCGCTGCCTAACACTACCTTGTGACTAACTTCTAAATCGACTACTCACAGCTGCTTTCATAAAAAAATGTTGTCAGGATGAAACTTTACCATTGAATTTACATATTTTTTGCAAAGATCACAAGGTAACTAGATTAGTAGACACCAAAAGAGTGATTTATCTGTGTATTCCTGTTTAGATATTCATGATGTGTCATGCTTTGGATAAAACAAATAGGTTGATTTCGTTAGTTGGTTGGAGGCAATCGTCAGGAAGCTCTGGACCTAGGTTACGTGCTTGTTGGCACTCGTCAGCAAGGCAACCTCAACGGAACTGATGTCCCGCCTGGAATTCGAACCAGTGTCACACAGCATGGTAGTCAGCGACTTCACAATTGAGCTAAGTGTGAATTAAGCTGCCTTGTTAATTGAGCACAAGTAGGGAAAGCTATTTCGTCCTAGTTTGTGACTCCTCAGAAGGCTGGGGGTCGGATATACGACCCCTGCGTTTGGCGGGCGAGTGCACTGCCGTTGAGCCGCTGTATCGGAATCCAGTGGTCCACATTTTCCTACCTCTGTCAATTCGCTAAATAGCGTGACTTTCATCTTATGTCATCGCTGAATATTTTTCCACACGTCCGACTTGCCCCACTGGCCATTGATGACAAGCTTCAATATAGATTTCCCAAAGCTTTAATCAGAAGCCATGATCTGTGGAGTAAACAAGATCGGACGTGAGGACAAATACTTGCTGACGGCATCGGATGACAGTGGCACTACGTCAGGTAAATGACCACCGGATTCCGACCCAGTAGCTCAATGGTGGTGTGCTCAAGCCAAAACCTGAAGATCCTGGGTTTGACATCTGATAGGGTCATGAGTGCGCTCTGCTTAGGAGTCCCATACAAGAAAAAAACAATTTTTCAGTGATCCCAGATGTTTTGTGGTTCTCTAACTGATGTCAGTACGTTGTAAATACTACCTTGAGATCAATGAAACCCCCACACAAACTTTCAAATAGAATTGAAGGCTTCCGTTCAACAATAGCACATGAAGTTTATACTAATTTATCCATTTTAAAAACTTACGTGCTTAGTTGAGGCATCAGTAAAAATAATTGTACCACACCTGGTGCCATACACTAATAAATTCGAAGTTAGATTTATCTCAACACATGTAGGCACATCCATAAAGCCATTTAAAGTTGAAATTGGCTTATATAACATATTTGGTTTAGCGGGGTTAATTAATGCACGATCCAATGAATTGATGCGGTAAAACATGTGAGTTTTGTTATTGTTTATTGAACTATTCGATTGCAAAACATCAGTAAGCGATAAGAGAGTTAGGCCTAAAGTATGAATCCAATCATTAGAATTTTGATTGATAGCTAGTTCACCAAATGAAGTTGGATATCTATAAAAGTAAAATACAATTAGTTCAGAAACATTTTCTTTCTTTAATCAAAACAAGCTTCAATGGTAAAATCCATCTTTCCAAATCGGTCTGATTTGTCACAGTTCATATCAGTACATCAAGTAAAAAGGCAGTGAAGTGGGAGATGAAGATAAGAAAATTCAGTCAAAAGAAATATAAAATGCTAAAAGAGAGAAAGGAAGAATGAGAAAATGGTGAGATTTGGTACAGCGTCGTTAAGGTGAGGATAATGTATGTGTACATCTGCACCACTGACGTCGGTTCTCAAACCAACAGTCAAAGACTTCATACATTGATGCCATGTTTTAGTCTGGCCGACCCAAGTCTTTTTCCACCCGGAACCTACTTCGGCCAACAGTGTGTAACAAGGCAGACGGCGACTAGGCATACATAACACGTGTTCCACACAACCATCTCAATCGATGAAGGTTCACAACCGTGTCAACTGATTTACCTCTTCTCTCTAAAACTCTACATCTGACTTATGCGTTACTCATATGGTGACACCACGACACGCGGGCCGTACTACGAAGGCAATGGTGGTCAAACACTTGAAGCCTTCTCATGTCTTTCACCTTCACTAGCCATGATTCACAGCCATACAGTAGAACAGAGCGGACTGTTGTGCAGATGCAGTACACGCGACCGTTAATAGACAATCGGACATCATGGCAGTGCCACAGTTGGCAAAGGCCAACCGAGCCTTTTGTATTTGTGCAGAGATTTCATCAGCCACTGAGCCACCAAGGTTGATCCCGCTTCCCACGTTAGTGAAGTGGTCAACACTCAATGGTGAAATAAGAGAACTGGTTGGCATTTTAGAATATACTAGTGATATTTTACACTATTGATGGATGGTGGCTAGTAGTTGAATCCAGGATACGCGTTTTGTCGCACTTGGACTCGTCAGCAGGAGGCATGAGCCTCCAAGAGATGGGTACAGTTCTTATGTTGTTACTTGTATTATCGTGTTAGTTGATTAGACTGAACTGATCGTTCAGGAGCGCATATTTCAATAGAGATCGATCAATTCGGTTTTGATAGACCAGTTAAAGTCGTTTCGACGGTAACCAGCCTGTTTAATCAGACTTGTTGATTCTAGTAGAGTGCATATATATATATATATATATATATATATTATATATATCATACGATGAAAACTAGATCCGTATATTCTAAGCAGCTTAAACCATTGAAGCAGTACTGTGCACATATTTTACTGTGAAAAGCTGAGTGTAGAGTTCAATTTTGTGCATAGCTGACTATTAAAAGGTTCTGTGTGTTCCACCACACGTCTGCTCAGGTTCATTTTACCTGTTCGACATTAAAATGGTCACATAATAGAGGAAATTCAGTGATTAGTATACGGTAATGGCGCAGACGAAAATCGGATTCAATCATGACTTGGAATACTCCAATTTCATTATCTCATGGAAAAAATTTTATACTGGAGTTGTAGCTCATTGGTTCAGAGAGTTGACTTTCACCCAGTAGGTCGAGGATTCAAACACTGTTCTACATATTGAAGTTTAGGCAGTCAGGTAGTATCATCACTAGCCTAGACATACAATATGAATATGCACAAGGCTAGTGAGTGAATTTGGATTCTTCTGATAACTGGGTTTATACTATGGGCGACTGAAAAAAAGAAGAGAGTAGATGTATCAATGCCCTATTGATGAAATATGAGTTTTATGCAGCTTAGTATAATGAGATAAAATATCACAGATTAGGTAGGCATCAGTCTTTTTTGTCTTGCATATGACTACCACTAAAAAGTCCAAATCTAGTTTCCTATCACTGTTTCCATACTAAGGTCTAAAGTTTCAAAGGTTCTTAAAGTTCTAAGCTATATTTAGTGAAAATGATGACGGTCACATAATTATAAAGAAGAATACTAGTTAGAAAGGGTGGTTGTGGACGCTGACGTTGGAACTAATACCTACCACAATCATGATATTTTCCAGTGATGCTAAAATTATTGTACAAACAATGTCAGATCGAACATTATCTTAACTGAGATGATTAATCAAATGTCATAACTTTGGTCTGAAAGATAGCTCCCTCATAAAGTTCATATCTTATACAACAACCAGCTGGTATCTAATTAACACAAATGCATTACATGCTACCTAATTAATCTGTCCAGCGCTGAGAAGCAAGCAACGTGGTTGAGCGACCACCGGTAGATGAAGCATCATTCAATTGACAATGAGTGTTTGTTTCATAAGTTTGAAAATGTCTTCAACTTTACCAACAAACAGAGAAATATCACTGAGATAGACAAACAGACAGACAAATCGATTTAGAACCTTGCACACAAGTGCATTACCTTAAGTGGCCACACTTCACAGTAGTATACAAAGAACAAGAGGATAGAAAAAGCGTGATATTAAAGTATATAAATATGTATAAGAGAATAAAACAATCTCAAGATTAATGTGAGTCCAAATATTCAAGCATTAGAAGATGTTAAGGAATGAATACACATGAGCTGTTGTCAACGATTTTCGACCTTATCATCAAGAGTTTTCAACCCCTGATTCCTTTCGTCTCAGGCATCCCAGAAAGGTAGTCTATACCTCCCTACATAGCTCAGATCATCAGTCAGAAGCTTCATGTACTGGTACCACGTCTATCCACCCTGAACAGTTCCAGCCGAATCTAACTACACCGAGCATGGCACATCGAGGTAGATGGTGGTTCGGCATGCACAGTACATATCTAAGCTACCTCAGTCGACTAAGGTTCACAACATCAATCGACTTGCTTATCTTGCCTAGTACGCTTCGCCTGATGTCAACACTGGGCACATGGTGATTTCACCAAACGTGAGCAATGCTACGAAGACATATGTGATCGAAAGCCTGTAATCGCTTTAGGTCCACTACTTCCAAAGGCAAAGTCTCACAGACGTATAACAGGACAGAACGAACTGCAGTGCAGTATACTCATTGTTTGATAGGTAGTCGGGTATCTCCCTAGTAGGCGCCACAGGTGACGCAAGTTGACAAATGTCACACAGGCACTCTGTACCCGAGCTGAGATTTCATCAGTAACCAGCCTATTCGAGTTGATGCAACTCCCTAAAAAGTAAAGTGGTTGATATCATCATTATTCAGTAGAGTACGTTGGAAGCTATAGTGTCTCTCTACCTTATCTCCATCTTTTGATTTAAGCTATTTATAAAACAATCGAACGAACATATGAAACAGGTAACAAAATTGACAACTTACTTTACTAAGAAATCATAGTTTGTTTGAATAAATCTCTGCATCATTTCAATTTTATCGTAGAAAGGACATGATTCTAATTTTGTTTTCCACTTTCTCTGTGCACATAAATCACTTGTAGCTGGCAACAACAACAACAACAACAACAAATAATTGGTAAAAATATTTTTCTATCAAACGACAAATAGTCCAAAAATCTACTGAATAACAAGAAGACATTCGCGATACAAGAAGAAGCAGAAGAAAAAGTAATACTTACGACAACGACCACTAAGCCATTCAATCACTGTAGAAGGAGATTGTTGCATAACTTCAGTAATAAAAACTGGACTTGTAAGAAGATGACAAATGACATCTAATTCATCGGCATATAGCTTGAAAAATAAAAGCAAGTTGTCAACAAATCAAATAGTGAAAGCAATAATGTAGTTGCAAGTTAAAGATACGCATCTCTAGAGAAGAAATGAGTGGGGAAATTATTCAAAAAACATGAAGTTATAAACAGCAGTGTAGTCAATTCACAACAGATACTAGTTAGAATCCACTGTCTATGTACACATATCCGCCACAACTCACTGGTTCACGGGGTTAGTTTTTAACCAGTAGGCCACGGGTTCGAACACTGCTGCATCTACAGAGGTTTGTGTAACCAGGTAGGATCATTAGCCCTGAAACAATCGGTGTGACTTATTCCCCACTGCAAGAATGTACACAAGGTTACTGAGGGGCTACTAGACGTCGATAAGGAACAAATCTGTACAGATTTTCTTGGGTTAAAGCATCCAACAAGCCACTCCTTTAGAAATGTGCAACTATGACACTGGGGATGTGATCGCCTTTCAAATAGTTCACTGATTAGTTGAAACATAAGACGGAACACTGATAAAATTAGGATTTCAGATTTTCTTCGATTCTTTGCATGGTATCAATGATTTGTTGCCATGATTATTTGGACTCAAGGATGACCTAGATGTAGAGCTTCTAGAACAGCTTCTCACTTCACAACTCTCAGTTCGCGTGTCTGTCTTCAAAAACCAAGCCATCTCAGTCAAACAAGGTTCATAACCTCAAGAATTGGCTTGGCTGTCTTCATGTCCACTACTTTCAACGACCATATCTTACAGGCGTATAACAGGAGAGGACGAACTGTAGCGTAGTATACTCGTTCTTTGATGGATCTCACCTGTTGGCACCACAGGTGATGCAAGTTGGCAAATGGCAAATCAGTCTTCTATATCTGAGATGAATTTTTGTCAGGAACCAGCCTGTTCCAGATGATGCAACTACGCAGGTAAATGAAGTAGTCGACACATTCCACCACTTCACTCCATATCATCAAACTGACCTCCAGGGAGTAGGTCAATCTCTGTGAAGTTAGAGGCACCTACGGTTTTGTCTATTATCTTATCCATAACGAAAATGACTAGGATTGGTGACGGTGAGCATCCCTGATGGACACCACTAGTTGTCCTTAATTCAGATGACAACTCTCCAAAAGCTTTTTTTAAATGTCGATAAGCACTAAAAAAATCCAGAAATCAGTGCCTTAGCAACAAATGCATAGTAATAATGCCAACTGATAAAAGTGTCAAAACTCATTCACTTAATTTGCAGGAAAATTTGAAACTGAATTGATATAATCTAAATACTGTCTTGTTGTGTTGCGAAGTAGTAATTCGATAACTGTTAATTCATTAGACCAGTGGACAAGCTATACTGAAACGCTCATAAAACAATGTATTCAATATGAAAACTTACAAAATGATGCAGTTTTTCATTCAGATCTGGTAACATTATGGCCAGTATCCTGTGAATAGCGGTACTAAAGGCATCATTTAAACTACTACACATCTTTCCAACAGCATGCGGTTCGACATATTCCTGTAAATCAGAGTTAAGTGTATCTGAAGAGTTGATTAGTGTTTTAAAGCAGACGTCAGTCACCAGTTCCTGAACAGATTGACTTATAAACGATAGATTCTCAGTTCCCAGATTCCATGCTGAAATTTTCTGAATGAGTGCCATATCTCCAGATAAGCTGAACGATGATGTATTCTTAGCGAAAGAAAGCAATGGTCGAAGTTCATCAAGAAGAAGATGAAACATCAATGAGGGTAAGTACAGTTGATGTGGTTTCTCAACGCCAAAAATAGTATCGGAATTCCGCAATACGATAAACATTTTAATATTCCTTTCAAATATGATAGCCCTATCTACGTTCATAGGTTTGTCTCTGACTGCTGAAAGCATCTTTAATGGATCATTTTCCAAAGTTGCTCCGCATTCTTCTACACGCTGAGGTGTGGATAGCCATTCATTTAGTAATAAATAAAGGTCTTTCGTTGACAATGGACGTCGACAGAAAATCAAGAAACCAAAGGCCGCGAATGTCAAACTACGTCCACATTTTAATTCAACCTGCCTGATAATTTGTTCCACAAGTTGATCTATTGTGGCAGGGAACATTCCTAAATGATGTTTCACCTAAAAAAATTTCAACGTAGTTCAGTAAAAAAATTAATAGTAAATGAAAACATAAATAGAGCGAGAACAATAGCCTTAGCAAAATAATAAAGATCCATAACTTCGAAGATTCTAATCAGATGCTTACAACCTAAAACAGTTTCCACACCAATATTACAAATGTTCGCATACATAAGTCAATTCGACAGAAAATTACCGTAACCTGAAGGTTCTGGGTTCGAACCGCGAACGGGTAATAGAGGCGCACTGTTGTGGGGTCTTAGACAAAACAGCTGCTCAATGCACCCAGGTTTCCAATGCTTCACCAGCCTATGTTACCCTATAATAAATGCCAACCTGATATGAATAAATAAATCCCAAAAATCAAGGTAATTACTAGATTTATCCATGATTCTGATCACTATGCCTAAATCAAGTGAACTGTGGATTTCATGCTTGTCTAGAATATTTTTTGATTTACACGCTTTATAGTTGATTATCTGTATAAAGTCAACACTATCTTCTAATTATTCATGTAAAACAAAACTCAATAAATTTCAGCTATCCCGCTGAGTTCATTCGTGTAAATGCAAACTGTCCGACAATTGGAAAGCTAGAGGATTTCTCAAATCAATTTCTCTCAACACTTGAATCGTCACTACTAAAGTTACATAAACAAACAGTAAGTGTTTCCTGAAACAAATTATTTATTCATTTACTTTTAAGAAAGCCCCATATGTGTTTATTGTCACAGCATTATTCATATTGACTTGTTCAACTACAAAATTCCATGTAGACTTTTCAAGATACACAAATACAATCCATATTCCTAAAACACCAGCTAATCTATCCAACTTGTAATGTGAAAAGGTGAAATCGAGTAGGATTCAGTGGAATCTGAGACTCGTGTTTCATTTTATTTGGGACTCGTCAGCTTGATGTATATGCACTCCAGTGAGTGATGTTGTTCCAACTGAGACTCAAATTCAGTGCCCATCGCTTCAAACGCCAAAATGTCATACACTGGGCAAATGGGGTACCGTACCCACCTCTTGTGCCATGGGTGTCAGTTGTTGTTTTGATACTTGTAATTTCCCGTTGCTATACAGTGCCGAATCGCTCGATCTCCATTGGTAGATAGGCTCTTATGCGAATGTTGCGATACTTCCGGATGTGCATGATATTATTATCCATCTTGATGGCTAGCAGTGGAATGAGTAAGACTTGACAATCGTAGACACCAAACAGAATAATAATTCACACTGAACAAATGAAGATAAGAATTACAAAGACTCAGAATACGAAGATAGGACAACAAATATATTTCTCTACACCACTGGTTCCTAAGTGTCCAATCATCACATGAATTAAAGTTGTCCGTTATTGATTAAAAAGGAGACAAGGTGTTTCGAAACTCTCAGAGACCTCATGAATTCATGTTATGTCTTTGTTTACCAACCGTAATACTGGCTACCCCGGTACCCCACACAATTCAACTGTTATATCGTGATGAAGTCGAAGATGACCTGGTTTGTATAACACAAATCCAGGTTAGTTAGCCAATACTCTCCTGACCAGTATGTTTTCACGCAATAAAACACTTTTAGTAAAGTAAAGTGGTACTGATACAGAGCACCCATCGGAAATTTAGGATTCACGTGATAAATATGAAATGAAGGTCAACCATTAGTAGATTTTTGCCCTAAGTATCTCTAAACGTCTTATTTGTTTTCAGTAAACAAAGCTGTTTTATTTCCATACTTCAAATGAACTGGCCAAGCTGTGGTATAAAAAGTGGTGTTTTGAGTGCTTATATTATTTCCTACAGGAATATACTACTGTCTTCGGTTTTGTGAGGTTCCGTAGGTTTATTATTAGTTAGTGCAAATAAGTCCAGTCAGTTCACATCGATTTCTTGAGGCTCATCGTTACGGTCAGTGGAAATATCAAAATTGCCTGCAAAAGTGGGAATAATAAGATAGTGACTAACTGTTGAGGATGAGTCGGAATTCTAAGTACTCAACCTGTATCTAGTGAGTTACGAGCTCAGACTCGGTTCCATCTCCACGTAGTATTGTTAGCGTACACACTACATTTGTGATGCACAAACGTGTACTTGGTTTGCGAATACCATATGATTGCGACATACCTGTACCTTACCCCACGAAAAGTGTTTTTCCGAGCACGCTATCTAATGACTGTTAATATCTTACAGCAAAATACAGGACTTCAAAGAGTCACATCACTAGGATTGAAATATATAATGAACTAACATTCATGTAAATAAAAGAATCACTGATAAGATGCCTGTCCAACGTAAGATTCATAGACAAATTATAAAGAGCTGCCATAATTTCTCAGTTATCCTTCTTGTCGACAGACTGATTAAAGTCTGATCTATAAAGTGATCTGATTACTGGTTAGCTCAGACGTTAATCCTAAAATGTACATTAAATATCCAGCTTTTATTCACTTGGTCCACTACTGTTCGACCGTCCCATGGAATCTTAAGAGTCGAGCACCTTGCAATCAACTATCCATCAGTTCTACGCGTATAAGCCGTATAAGGAGAATACCTTCACTGTTGATGGAAAAAGTGAGATAAATAAAAATTCTGCAGATCTTCAAATAATCCTCACTTTTCGATTAGTTTTACGTTTAAAGTTCAATCAGAATGCAAAGTTGCCCTTATTGATGTTCAATTGGCACGGAGCAGTAAGTTATGGATCACTTCAGAGATCGACTTACCGCAAACCTAAATTGAACGGTTTGTTTTTAAAAAAAATCTTATTTTGCACTAGTTGCGTATTTTAAAAAATCATATATCTCTGCATTGCATTTCAAGTGATTATGCATATGATTACTATTCATGGAAATGAGTACAAGTGTGTGTGTGTATGTAACACTTAGATATCAATTACTCTTAACCATTCTTTTGCAACACTGATGAATGAATATAAAACAAAACAAAGTTGTTTCAACTAACGCTTTGCTACTTAATGCGAATAGCTTTAACTTTGATAAAGGATTATAAACGAGAACTATGAATACAAATTTTCTAAAGTTAAGCATAATCTTTTGTGTAGATATTTTATACTCACCCACTCGTATGCACTATATGCTTTTATGGCAAGATCTTGGAGGGCACTATCAAACACTACTGGGTTAGAATAAGTGCTGCCTACTGAAGGACCAGAGGAAGCTGTCAACAAACACTGAGCATAACTTTTGAGTTTGTTGGCACTCGTCAACTAGACTTATTCACCCTTCAAAAAGAAATCGCATATTTCAACAGTCTAAAATCGCTCATAAAAGAAGTTACAAATGACATCACCAACCAATTCCACAGGTGAAAAGGTATCATAAATAACTGGAAGGGGTAGGTTTATTGATCACTTGTTAGTCTTAGTACCAGTTTAATCCGATGTCGAAGCCACTAAGCAAACACTCTCCAGGTAATACAACCATTCGACATTACGCCATAGACTACTTCCAAGCAATCGACTATTGTCAGCTGTTCAACACTTTTGCTTCACCGTCTCATCTCACCAGCAATCTGGATGTATGATGTAGGTTTTGAGAACTGCTTGAAAGGTAAAGAACATGGTATTCTCAGAGCTCGCATTCTCATAGGGAATTCATTTGACTCTATATTAGATTGTTTATTTGATGCAGCATACAGTATAATGTACAGGGTGACGTCATGAGCTATATTTAATAAACAATCTAACATGGAATTATACTCTGCCCCAGTGTCCAAGTTTTTCAGTCACGTAAATTCAGTTTGAAGTCGTTTTCAACTACTACCAGATACTATATTGATCTTGGTGACTAGAAGAGGAATCCAGGACGCGCGTTCCTTCTTATTTAGGACTTGGTAGCTAGGTGTAACTGGACCCCAGTGAGTGGTGTTGTTCCCACTGAAACTCAAACATAGTATCCTTCTCTTCAAGTGCTAGAGCTTAACAGAGGTCAATCAATTTGCTTTTGTATGGAAACGGGAAATTGTAACTATAGTAATAACAACTGACACCCGTTGCACAAGAGGTGCCTATCGGACACCAATGGATAGCGCTCTGGCGTTTGAAGCGTTGGGTACTGGGTTTGAGCTTAAGTGGGAATAACATCACTAACTGGGGTGCATGTACATCAGGCTGAAAAGTCCCTAACAAAACGAAATGTGCCTTCTAGATTCCTCTGCTGGTTACTAAGATTAACATAACATCATCCATATCTGGGAGTATCGAGGCATCCACATAGAAGCCCATCTATCAACAGAGGTCGAGCATGTCGGCCATGTATAGCAACGGGAAATGAAAAGTATCACTAGCAGATACCTTTGAGTTAATCTGATTCTAAATGAAAGGGAATTCGTTCAACCCTAGGAGTACTAGTTTTGGCATAGCTGTTGCTTCTATTTAGAAGCAAGCAAATTACTTGGTAGTCAGGTGGACTTGTTGACCATTCAAACGATAGGAATCATGGAAGCACTGCTGACTATTGTTTCAATAGGATATCAAAGTTATTTCTATCTTCGCATAGAGAAATATATACACTAAAGAAAATTGAAAGAAAGGGTGATTAGATGTCTTCACCTTACTTGAGATGTGTTGTGTTTTTATTTTTTTACAAGAGTATAACAGAGTGTATGTAAGTGATTAAACAAAAGATAAATATTAAGGTAGTAACTTTCACTAACCTCATCCTCAGTTCTACATAACTCCAGATATTTGAAGGCTATGTCAGAATACAATAGATTGTTCGACTCATTCCGAGCAATCAAAGAAGCAATCTAAAAGGAGAACAACAACAAAGGTAATAAAATATCTTGAAAAAAATAATCTGATCGACAACATACATATATTACTGAAGTTAAAAACATATGCTTCATCATTATACTTAACCAACCTGATTTTGTAGTTGAGAATCAATGAAAGATAATTCATCACTTTGACGCATATGATTCACTGCAACAGCATGACATTCTTCTACAGTCAACTCTTGTATGCGAAATAGTGAACAGTTATATCGAGAAGTTAACATTTCAACAATTTTGGAGTTAGAATCACAAGTTACGATAAAGTATAAATTCTAAAAAAAAGCAAACAAAATGATGAAATACTAATTTAAGAGATTGGATGGAGGTCATGCAATATCGTAAACTGACAGAAGTATGAAATGTGGACGACTTTATTCCGATACAGTGGCTAGAAGGTAACGTGCTGACCACGTAACCTTAAGGCCATCGGTTCGACCCCTGACAAGGTCATAGGTGCGCACTACTGAGGAGTCCTATACTAGGACGAAACAGCTGTCTAGTGCTCCCAGGTTTCCAATGTTCTTTCAACTGGTGTCAATCCATAATAAATTCCAATCTAAAATCAATTTAAAAAAAGTTGTGAAAAATAACATTTTCATTGTTATTCAGCCTACACATATATGTAAATACCGATACAGTTAACCATACAACTTACTTGAACAAGTCAAAACACGTATATATATGCAAGTAGGATTCTGAATGTTCTGTCTGGTTCATTGTATAAAACTGGACTGATTTGTTTACTTACCATAGTTATTGGAATTTCGACGAAAACAGAGGTGATTGGGACGTTTTCATGTAATTTATTATATTGATATCTATCTAACACAAAACATACATTATTAGTGGCAGAACTCAGATTCTTCTTAAGTATACATGGGTAGATGTAGATTAGCCAGGGCAACAAGCTATGACACATACGTGGATGGTGTGTAGGTTTATGTAAGGTAAGCAGCCGCGAAATAATCATCAAGATTTACAAAGGTCTCTTAAGCCCTGTTTCTTATAACATCTAGGTCTTCTAGATAAACACAAAACTTAACCTCAGTGATTTCAAATTGCTATTCAACGCATACTGACATCAGTTGGAGAACCACGAAAAAACTGAGGCACTTGACAGCTGTTTCATTTTAGTATGTGACTCTTCAGCAGTGCAAACCCATGACCTTCAGGTCCGACGACGAGTACGCCATCATTAAACCCCTGGGTCGAAATCCCATGGTTCATATCTTTCCTACTTCTTTCAATTTTCGATATAGCGTGACCTTCAACAAAGCTGATCAGCAAGCATTTGTCTTCACAACCGACTTGGTTGCTCCCACAAGTCAAGACTTCCACTTGAAGCTTAAGGAGACTAATCTCAAAGAGCGTCACCTTAAGGTACTGCATTCGATCCCTAGCAAAGTCATGTACGCTAACTGCTAAGAAGTCCGTGAAGTCCCAGATAACCTGCGCTACCGGGTTTTAAATGGTTCTTCAAATGATATCAGCTTGTGATGAATACCATCTTGAAAATGTTGTAAAAGAAAATCTGTACTTGGCTATAACAAACTATCTCAGTGTTTCAATTTAATTACACATAAGCAAATCTTTTGCATTCACTTATGCAATAAACATATGGTCTATCCCTAAACCTTAAAAACGTTTGCTAATCGACTATTATATGATGTGATATTGGAAAAAACTGCACTAAGTTGTAACGGATAAAGGTTCCCATTCACATCTCGTAGGTAGCATCAGATACCTATGGCTGATGTATAACACGTCACTATACTCAATACCACCACCTCGTAGACCTTAGTAATTTAAAGTCTCTGTAAAGATACCAGGGACCGTTATTGAGACAACCACAGAATTTCTTTTTTGGAGGTGATGAATGAAGATTAAGCTCTCTGAAATTCTGTCAGTAAGGGTGAAAGATAAAGGCAGATTGTACAATTTCCTCTTCTCTTTTCAGTGAGACAGAAAAGTGTCCTCACTTTCTAATGGTTGTCTAAATCCATTTTTATACAGACTTTTTTATGTGACGACAAATTTTTTCCATTATGCAGTCGCATTTCTTCCACTCAATCACCTTCCTACGAAACGCCATCTTGCTTTTTGTTAATATGCTGTACCAGTAACATTTCAGATAATGCCTAGTTTGACAGTGAAACGCTTTAATTCATTCGTATTGCGAGTATTCGGTTAAACATACCTTCATTTCGACGTCCGTGTATTGGTTTACACAGTTCTATACACAACTCAATGTCCATCTACTATCCAACTTACATGATTTTGTGCATCCTATCAAATGAGTCTTTATTCATCTTGTTCCATTCACTGTTTCCCACTCTTCGATACATACGTCATCCTCTGAATTTCATTTTTTAAATGGAATGTATAAAACTGTTTTGTTTACCTACATGTAGTATATCTTGGACTTTCATATCGAATATTTCTTCAAAAATGCGGCGAATACCTGAACAACTCATCATCTGAAATTCGAAGTGAAGTAATGACACATAATCGAAATGAATGGGAGTCTGGTACTAGCTGATACTTGCTATACTGGATTGGACTATTCAACCTCTGTTGAGGTTTGAAGCGGTGGATGCCAGGTTTGAGCCTCAGTTAGAACACCATCACTCACTGGAGTACACACACTTCCAGCTGACGAGTCCTAAAAGGGACGAAACCAACTTCCCGAGTTCCATTGTTAGTCACTAAGTAAGCTAAAACACAATGAATCTGATATATTATCGAAATATGCAATTACTGCCGAGCTCTGCCCATCGATAACCTACACTATACTTTAGGTGCCTAAGAAGTAACTAGGTAAATGATTATTACTGGATTCATTCAGTGTAACTTACTTTCGGTAGTTGTACTGGTAACCAATCCAGTATCAACGGATCAAGGTAGTCAATGTCATCAATTAGAAAAACATACTTCAAGTCGGACGTACTATTCAAGAAAGTGATTAGTTTTTTGAAGCAGAGCATTTTTAATCTACAATGTGTGAAATAGAAGAAAAAGTGATTTTATTATTATTATGATAAGTTTTTCAGTTTATTATAAGGACTAATCGAGAAACAATCCATTTCACACAAAACACTCAATAGAATAGCCATACAGTGCTAATTAATGAGATACCTTTTTTGATGTTAGATGCTAGAAGTTGATCGGCAGAAGACAGACAAGCTAACAGACAAAGTAGAAGTAGAACTTCGCATTCAAGTACATCGGTTCAAGTTGACATACTTCTCAGTAGGATGTAAACAACAAGTGGGAAGAAAAATATATAACAAAGTAGAAGAATATTTAGGGGAGGAGAAGGAATTCGAAAATGAGGGTAAGCGAAAATATTCAAACTTTAGAAGTCAAAAAGTTTGAACACATCGCCATTGTCATCGATTTTTAGCCATGTCACCAATGGTTTCCAACTATAGATTCCTATCATGTTGAGGAACCCAGCCAGACAGTTTACACACCTCCGCACATGGTCAACAGTCAGGGACTGCATGAACTAGTGCCATGTCTTGGCTCGGCCATCCTGAGCTGTCTTCCAACCTAATTTAGGTACTACTAGTATCACACTTTAAGATAGGTAGAGGCACAGCATATGTAACACATTTGCAATCAGCAGAAATCCCTGTCCCACCTAGATTTTATGCCAAGCTAATCAGGCCACAACTAAACATCAATAGGAATGGCTTTATCGGGAATCATGACTTTTGGAGAAAACAAGCTATAACAAAAACATTAAGTGATAGTCAAGCTATACTGTGAGTTGGAAGGAAATACAGAATATAAACCTTTTGCTTTCATCCCGATTTTTGAGTGGAAACATGATTTTCTGTAAGAGCTGAAACCCCTTGACGTGGTCCTTCATGAGGTGCACAAAGACCTCTGCAGTAAGTCCTCAAACTCGAGAGGAACACTTATTCCATACTCTTTTTTTCGTGGTAGTTTCACCCACTTATTTCAAACCCATGATGAAAAATGCCTGAAATTCAATTTATTCTCTAAAAACCACTTAGTCTAAAATCACATACAATGAATGATTCGTGAATTTCAAAAATAATAAACATTCGTATATACACTTACTTCAAGTTATGATAGTCACCTGCTTTACGAAAACATCTCAAATGCATATTTATCTTCGACACAAATGCTTTATGAATAGGAGATGAGCTGAAAATACTATGCAGTTGATCAGTAATTGATATAATCCAATTATCCAGCAGTATAGATAACTGTTGACATGCTGGTAAATTTTGATTGGGTAAGCCATTGCAAAAATGAAGTAAGATTTGATATTCTCCCAATGACTTTCGATCTAAGTTTGATTTTTGTGAACAGCTACTTATTTTTGACAGAGTTTTTGATTTCATGTCGGCGGATTGTCTATCTATTCTTGCCAATAACATGGCTAATGCAGTCAGGTGAGTAGTCTTCCCACTTCCACGACATCCAGTAATTATCAAAATCCCATCATTAGTAGAATCTTTCAGCGTTGATATTCATATCAAGAAAAGGCGGGGTTAGATGATCATTGTAAATGCAAAGTGAAAAAGATATTAGCAACAAATGACGAAATATCAATAAAAATTATCATTTCTAATCTCCGACCCACCGGGGAAAGCAAACCAATTTGATCAATAAGCTAGAAGACTCAGCGACACGGTGAACTTTGATTGTTGTTATATATATCTTTCAAGGCAATCGGTAGAAAGCTCTGAAACTAGGTTGCATACTTATTGGCACCCGCCACCAAGGCGTATCTGCAGCCACGACAGAACTGATATCCCTTTAGAGATTTGAAATCGTGTCACCTTGTTCTGCTGTAAAAGACGTTCCCATTCAGCCATTCGAAACCTAGGTTTACTGCTTCTCACCGATTGCCCCCAATTCCCTTACATCGGCTAAAGTGAATCAAGTTGGTAAATCTCTTAGCTTGGTCAACACATAGCAATAATGATCATAAGAGTTAGGTCAGAACTTAGGGCTAGATAATATGTAATTGACTACTCTATAGTGGCCAGTCTGGTCCTACGGCGCCAAAATCATTAATGATGACCTTTTCGAATTAACGTACAGTAACAACTATCAACAGTTTTATAAATAAAAGTACAATAAATAACACATATTCTACAACATACACAAACACACATGCACACACATATTTTGACTATCTCATATATTCGTGGGTGCGCACTGCTGAGGAGTCCCATACTAGGACGAAACAGCTGTCCAGTGCTCCCAGATTTCCTTTGTTCCTCCAACTGATGTCAGTCCACAATGAATAAAACTTGAAATATATTATATATTCGTTGACAAGTGACAATAATAACAACCATGAACTTGTAATGACTAATCTTAACTGGAGGTAGTATTCATCATGGACTGACATCAGTTGGGGAAAAGTGAAAATCTGGGAACACTGGACAGCTGTCTCGTCCTACTATTTGACTCCTCAGCAGTACGCACACACGACCCGGTTAGAGGTGGAACTCAGGACCTTCAGGTTTCACGGCGAAAGCGTTAGCCATTCAGCCACTGGGTCGGTTTCCACTGGTTCACAATTTCCAACTTCTGTCAATTCATGATATAGCGTGACTGTCACCCAACGTCTTCCCCTTCAGTTAGCATCCACTTCACTTCCGACTGGTTGACCCCACAGGTCACGCCTTCTCATTAGAACTTGCTGACATCCATCTGGAAGCAAGTCACTAATGAGCACTATAAAGTAATGTATTTTTGAGATGAATGGGGATCTTTAATTTACAAGTAGTATTCATCATGGACTGACTGACATCAGTTGGGGAATCATTGAAAATCTGGAAGCACTGGACAGCTGTTTCGTCCAACCAATGACCTACGTTCACTAAATATATTTGATGTATGATTTGACTATATATTTTGATGTTAGTAGAAAAAATCCGTATATTCTGCTGAAGAAGCGAAACGTTCAGAAATATGTTGTTTTGATTTTCTAAACACGCTGGGATTATATTAAAATATATTCTTACAATGTCAATGATGGATCGTGGCTAGCAGTGGAATCCAGGATGCGCATTTCGTCAACTCGTCAGCTGGATGTACCTGCTTCCTAGTGAGTGATGTTGTTCCCACCGGGATTTGGACTCGGCAGCGATCGCTTCAGACGCCAGCTGACGAGTCCCAAATAAAACGGGATGCGCATCCTGGATTCCACTGCTAGCCACGATCCATCATTAACATAATTAGAGCACTGGCAATATCGAGGCATCCGCACACGAGCCCATAAGCCAATAGAGACCGATCAATTCGGTCCAATCAACGACGGTATCATATAAAGACAATTATACTATATTCTTATAATGATTCAAGGAGACTCGGTGCCCAACTTCTTCCAGGACATTCGTAACAACTATGGTCTGGATGTTTATAATACTGAAAAAAGGCTGAAAGCCAGAAATCGTTCAAAGTAATCAATAAACAGATCAACGCAAATTTGTTGCATTTCCCTTAAAGATTGAAACAGAATATATGTGTTCACAAAGAAAGTCATCAATCTGTGCCTATCATGGTAAAACCTTTTGTATTGTTGACAATCATGATGATTTTTATATCTGGTTGTCGATTCATGCATGTTTTTGTTTTCCATTTCACACCCTTGACCTAATTATCCGAATACTACTCATCTTATTTTCTTAGCTAATACATAAATCCTCTGACCTTTTTCGCGCATATTTCATGCAACCTTCCTCCCCCTTTTATCCCATTTCCGCTCTACAATATTCGTCTAATTCTCCTCTTCATTGGCAAACTTACTACTATAGTAATGATGGATAGTGGCTAGCAGTGGAATCCAGCATGCGCATTTCGTCTCATTTGGGACTATAATTAAAACACAAATAATATCGAGGCATCTGCATAGGAGTTCATATACCAATAGAGACCGGTCAATTCGGACTAATCAGCAACGGGATAATACAAGCAATAATACTAAAACTTGCTGTTAGTCCTGCATATTTATCAGTGACGTCATATCGACGGCACCAAGCCGACAATTTTGTGTAAATTGATGTTAAACTGCAGTTTGCAGGTTTGAGGGGATTTACTTATCGATTTCATGTTAGTATTCAACACGAACTGATATTTCTCCAAATGATGAATAGATCCCCACAAATCTCCAAACTTAATTACCCTCTAGTGCTGTTTAGTGACCTGCCTCAAGATGAGATTCGTGAAGTTGTAACCAGTGGGGCCAACCGAGTCGGACATGAGGACAATTACTCAATGACGGAATTGGTGACTGGAGATCACGACATATCGTAGAAAATATGGACAATTGGATCCCAACCCAGTGGTTCAATGTTAAGGTGTTGACAGTAGAATCTGAATCTGCTTGGTTCGACCTCTGTCGAGGTGGTGGGTACGCACTGGTGAAGAGTCTCACGCTAGGTCGAAACAGGTGTCCAGTGCTCCTGTATTTCCAATATTTCCCCTTCTTATGACAGTAATTGATGAATACGAAGGTGGTGTTACAATTCTATATTAAATTTATTTATTTGATTTGAATTACACTGTGATACAGTAGTATTTACTTGATGGCGTTTTCAAGCATATATTATTGCTCATAATCATACCACATATCACATTGATATGATTATGAGCAATAATATATGCCTGAAAAGGTCATCAAGTAAATTATACTGTATCATACTGTGTGTTATAAATCAAACACGGAATTAAATTCGACCACAGTGCTCAAGTTTTAGATCCATATTAATGGTGCTAGAATTGTCTTAGTTTGTAAGCAGTTGACAAAAAACCCCGAAATAAAATGAATCCTATTGAGAAGAACTGTTGTTCTTGTTCTGTTTAATTTAATTCAGTCTAACAAACAGTGTTCAGTAATAAACATAGGCTTTCATTGATTTATACATATGAAGTATTTGAACAAAACAAGAATTAATCCTGAGTGGAACGTGATTTCCACCAGCAACAATAAGAATATCTTGTTCAAGATGACACAAAGGATTCTCTTTCTAACAATTTATTCAAACAACAATAATCTGTTGATAATAATTGAGATGCACGATGAAAACAAATCTCCTAGTGATGTGTACATCCATGTCTCAACATGAAATTTTTAAACTGGTGAGAGTCTATAAAGAAGTAAACAAAACCTTAAGTGCATGTTATTACAAGAGAGCACTCAATATACTATGATATACGTGATGCATATAAACTAGGTGACGACTGAAGGTGAAGGATTCGAACAAGCGACCTCAAGATTCTCATTTCACCTTCAGTCACCACCTAATATAAATGTATATATCTACCATGTACAGTTTAACATATTGAATGCACGACCACAACAGTGTAACCTGAAATTTCTCTACTAGGTGGTAGGCTTTCACCATTTTTTAGAAATCCATGTTGACATATGGATATACATAATACCAGAAGATTCGTTCGTATCGTTCATGTTAAACAATATTAACTGATTACTGTTATTTGGTTAAGTTGTTCGAGCCATATTGAACTAACTGTTTTTACAGTGTTCAGAGTATCTGTTCGCTGAGAAAAGTAGTGACAGTAGCAGTCATCACTACCATTTTTTAGAAGAGTGAATCATACTTACAGTAAGAAAGTTGGATCATACTAGCAGCTGGAGTAGTTGGTCAACAACAATCCGATTAAGAAGATGGAGTTGCTTGCCATTGAAAGACTGAATGGAACTAGTAGATATTCCAGTGTACACAGAATCAAAGAAAGTATTTTAGCTGCAGCTGTCTTGGATATGTCAGAAGTGGATTTGGAAGGTGCTCTATTTGACTTCACATTGTATGACGGTTTCTATGGTTTGGTGATGTTTCTAGACGACATGAAAATCTGAAGGTTGCTTCTTCAAATCTTGCAGCGGCCAAGATTTTCATTTCACTTTCAATCATCACCCAGTATTGATACAAGTGTATCAAACCACTATTTAGTGCAAAGAACCTTCAAATTCAAGATGAAAGAGTTCAAAGAAGCTGGTGATAGACCACAGTTCAAGTTCAATACCCAGAACAGAAACTGAAGGACGAAACTACAAAGGACATCTGCAAGTCAGCCATCAGAACGAAATGGTAGGTATTAAGCAACATCCCCGGGGAATCCTGAGGGGAAGAACACTGGAACTCTTTGAAAGAGAAGTGGAAGGGGACCTGTATAACGTATTAAGAAGAAGAAACAAGACAAGACAAGGAATGGATCTCTATGGATACACGGAAGCTGATAAAGGAGAGGAGGATGGTAAAGCAGAAGATGAACCAGTACACTGCAGGGATGAACAATGAATAGAGCAACTGAGCACAACCTGTACAACACTACAATGGACAAACAAAGGAAGAAGAGTGTGCGCAAAGATAGAAGGCACTTCTATGACACATTGGTAAGTGAAGCAGAACAGGCTGCTGGTAGGAGAGACAGAGACCTGACAACATTATATCAAATAACCACGTTACTATCTGGGAAGAGATGAACACAGATGAAACAAATGAAAGATAGTGAAGGAAACTCAGTTTCCAAAGAGGAGAAACAAAAGAAACAAAACGATGGGCTGACCACTTCAAAAACTTTTGAGTCGATCACCATCTGCAACTTGTCCAGAAATACGACCAGCAGCCCAACCAGAGAACTGTTGGTGAACACAAACCCTCCGACAAAAGTAGGAGTGAAGCCCTGAACGCCATAAAGTTACTGAAAGCCGGGAAAGCAGCAGGACCAGATGGAATTCTGCCAGAAGCACTGAAAACCGATGCAGAGACATCAGCAGACATGCTCACACCACATCACTATTTTAGAAGGTTTGCAAGGAAGGAAGGAAAGGTACCTGCCGATTGGAAGAGCGGCTACCTTGTCAAACTTCCAACAAACTGCAGACATACATCAACAGCTTCTACCTACGCTCACTCGATACTGAAGATCAGATGGATGGCCAGAATAATAAGAATAAGCAACTAGGAAATCTAGCTGGCGGGCTGGCGACGAACCAACCGAAAGCCCATCGCCCAACAAATACGCAGAAGAAAGTGGAGATGGATTTTATTAGATTGGATACACACTGAAAAGACTATTTGGCGACATCAATCGTCAGGTCAGGCCAGGCCCTCGACTGGAACCGGAATGAGAAATGACGAGTTGGGCGTCCGAGGGTGACATGGAGGAGATGTTGTGAGGAAGAAATGTAAGCTTCTGGGCAGTCGTGGAGCCAAGTTAAAAAGACTGCAGAGAACAGAGTGAAATGGCGACGTGCTACTGAAGCCCTATGTTCCACTAGGAACCCAAGGGACAAATAACAATAATGATATGTATATAGGCGTAAAATATTGACGTATTCTAAAATACATCACTGGATATCTACAAGATGTTATCTAACTAGGTCCCCTTTCTGGTTAACAAGTTTTACAATTCAACTACTCAACTAATGATTGTGTATACTTTAACAGTGAGAAGATAAAACAACTTTTTCCCCCGTCATTTGTATTTACGCACACCAATAATTATCTCAACTTAAAACAAACAAGACACATGTTCATTAGTGGTGACCGATGTTGGTTTTATATTACTTACAATATTCAGTAGCAAATTATGTTGTCTCACTTTTGTTTTTCATTAGCCAACTCTCTTTCTATCTATGCTATTAACAAAACAAAGCTTAATTATGTATTACAGTAAATCATCAGATACATAAAATATAAACCAACCTTTATGACTTGTTCGTGTATCTAGAGTTTCCATTGTCCGATGAGAATCCCCAGAAGATTCAGCTGACTTCATACTCTTACATACCAGATGACTTTGAACAACTTGTCCAGTCAAGTTTTTAAAAGCATGCTGTATATTTAAAAGATGTCGAGGACATAAACAACTAGCCACTGAACTCATATACGTCTCAAAAAACGCTAGTCTAAATGGATCCATCACCTCGACATCATCAGTTACCACCTAGAGATTGAAAATTGAGTTCAGATGAGAAGTGTGAAAGTGGCGAGTAAGTTAGTAATGCTAGTCAGAACAGAATTTCAAGCAATACTATAAAACAACCAGTTGTTGTTCGGTTTTCTTTGAATTTGACGTTGAGAATGAAAGAGTGTGTACGTTTGGGAGGGGCGATTGATTCAACTGGAACGAAAATCTGTGGGTTTTTTTAGTTTTATTGTCAACTTGTAAAATGATAAGTTGGAGACATCTAAAAAGTGCACGATAGTACACAAAACGATTTGGAGACATATTTGAATCATTAAAACAACTTCAAAAGAACAAATTCGATGTAATACATTCAGTGGGAAAATTTCGGTAGTCTAGAGTTTCTGCAGGTAGTCAAATACTCGCACTGCAATAAAACTTGATAGATTCTCCGGTTTACTTGTACAGAATTTTACTGAGTTACTTACAACACTTAACTGTTAACCACATCTCCAATTGTTTGAACGAACTATCATATGAATGAAAGACATACAACTGCTCTTTCATCACAACATGAACTATTGAATTAATTCTTTGCATACCAGTAGAAATCGAATCAACAATTCATAGGGTTATTATACTGTAGTCAGAGATAATGAATAAAGTTGTTCAAAAATACGATTGCGATAGAAAGGAATGCACTCGCTCAGCAACCTTGTAAACATTTACAAATTAGGTAATGAGCTGAATCTATTAGGTGAGTTCTAGTGTTACTTTCCGACTGTTGAAACCAGTTTTCGAACCCATAACCCATTTGTTGAAAGTCAACTACCTGAACTAATAAGCTACAAGTTCCACATTCATAACAGAATTCGAATCAGTAATCCAGCCGATGAGATTCAACTATTCATCAAGTGTCGTTTCCACTGTAATGACTAAGTTTCTACACAGTTGCATCCAGTTATACATAAATTAAAACGACAGTTTCGCATGGCAACTTGTTTAACAGTGAACGGATAATTATAGATATCCAGTTCAAGCGACATACAAGGAAAACATGAAGTTAATGAAGTGAAAATGATACGTCTTTAGCAGTGATATTTTGTACCTCAGGTGGTGACAAACTTTGAGAATATATACTAGCAGAAGAAAGGCTCTGTGAAGTAAAAACAAAAACCCGGACTCACATGACGCAGAATTAACCATAACACTGAACATAGCCCCATGAATTACTAATGATATCTCTCAGACAAAAGGAAAACCGTCTCACTCACAAAGATATAAGACGGTGGGGAAGACTTGTACCTCAAAAGAATCTTTCTTGTGTTATGTAAATCATAATAATTCAAGATTAACTCAACAGTTAACTAAATCATCCGTGAATAAATTCTTGTAGCTCACTACCTTAGTGATTTTGTGATACAGATTTTCTCTAGTAATTAAGAAAGTAAACCTTTACAATTAGCCTATTCAACTAACAAAACATCATATGAGTAAAAATGTAGATTTTTTCGCGTGAAATGTAGAAACAATTACGCCATCTATGCCGAAGAATCAACACATTAGCCAGAATCATATTATCAAGCGTTTGGTGTTACACAATGGTGTTAGATGTTAAGAATCAATTGGGAAGAGGCTGTTGAAAATTCATCCATAATATGTATTTGCAATTATAAAGAAACTGGTGCGAATCGCAGCCATTTCACTCAGAACTGAAGTTAGGGACTCCAGCACTAATTTAGCTGTTCACAGCATGACAGACTCAAGTGCAAAAATTAGTCATCTGTCGGTAACTAGCGTAAGTTTCTAGTCCTTAGACCTCAGACAATTGAATGAAATCTGTTCAAAATCTTAACAATATGGTTACCAATCTTAGTAGTGTGACTCTTTGAAGTCCTGTATTTTGCTGTAAGATATTAACAGTCATTAGATAGCGTACTCGGAAAAACACTTTTCGTGGGGTAAGGTACAGGTATGTCGCAATCATATGGTATTCGCAAACCAAGTACACGTTTGTGCATCACAAATGTAGTGTGTACGCTAACAATACTACGTGGAGATGGAACCGAGTCTGAGCTCGTAACTCACTAGATACAGGTTGAGTACTTAGAATTCCGACTCATCCTCAACAGTTAGTCACTATCTTATTATTCCCACTTTTGCAGGCAATTTTGATATTTCCACTGACCGTAACGATGAGCCTCAAGAAATCGATGTGAACTGACTGGACTTATTTGCACTAACTAATAATAAACCTACGGAACCTCACAAAACCGAAGACAGTAGTATATTCCTGTAGGAAATAATATAAGCACTCAAAACACCACTTTTTATACCACAGCTTGGCCAGTTCATTTGAAGTATGGAAATAAAACAGCTTTGTTTACTGAAAACAAATAAGACGTTTAGAGATACTTAGGGCAAAAATCTACTAATGGTTGACCTTCATTTCATATTTATCACGTGAATCCTAAATTTCCGATGGGTGCTCTGTATCAGTACCACTTTACTTTACTAAAAGTGTTTTATTGCGTGAAAACATACTGGTCAGGAGAGTATTGGCTAACTAACCTGGATTTGTGTTATACAAACCAGGTCATCTTCGACTTCATCACGATATAACAGTTGAATTGTGTGGGGTACCGGGGTAGCCAGTATTACGGTTGGTAAACAAAGACATAACATGAATTCATGAGGTCTCTGAGAGTTTCGAAACACCTTGTCTCCTTTTTAATCAATAACGGACAACTTTAATTCATGTGATGATTGGACACTTAGGAACCAGTGGTGTAGAGAAATATATTTGTTGTCCTATCTTCGTATTCTGAGTCTTTGTAATTCTTATCTTCATTTGTTCAGTGTGAATTATTATTCTGTTTGGTGTCTACGATTGTCAAGTCTTACTCATTCCACTGCTAGCCATCAAGATGGATAATAATATCATGCACATCCGGAAGTATCGCAACATTCGCATAAGAGCCTATCTACCAATGGAGATCGAGCGATTCGGCACTGTATAGCAACGGGAAATTACAAGTATCAAAACAACAACTGACACCCATGGCACAAGAGGTGGGTACGGTACCCCATTTGCCCAGTGTATGACATTTTGGCGTTTGAAGCGATGGGCACTGAATTTGAGTCTCAGTTGGAACAACATCACTCACTGGAGTGCATATACATCAAGCTGACGAGTCCCAAATAAAATGAAACACGAGTCTCAGATTCCACTGAATCCTACTCGATTTCACCTTTTCACATTACAAGTTGGATAGATTAGCTGGTGTTTTAGGAATATGGATTGTATTTGTGTATCTTGAAAAGTCTACATGGAATTTTGTAGTTGAACAAGTCAATATGAATAATGCTGTGACAATAAACACATATGGGGCTTTCTTAAAAGTAAATGAATAAATAATTTGTTTCAGGAAACACTTACTGTTTGTTTATGTAACTTTAGTAGTGACGATTCAAGTGTTGAGAGAAATTGATTTGAGAAATCCTCTAGCTTTCCAATTGTCGGACAGTTTGCATTTACACGAATGAACTCAGCGGGATAGCTGAAATTTATTGAGTTTTGTTTTACATGAATAATTAGAAGATAGTGTTGACTTTATACAGATAATCAACTATAAAGCGTGTAAATCAAAAAATATTCTAGACAAGCATGAAATCCACAGTTCACTTGATTTAGGCATAGTGATCAGAATCATGGATAGATCTATTATTACGTTGGTGTTGGAGTTAAACCCGATGTTTACTTGCTGCCTTGATAGTGTGGTCAGGCTTGCATATCAGAGTGACCTGACAAGCTACACTGGCTGGAAGGCCTGTTGGTTTAAGTTACTATTACACTGGAAAAGTAAGTTTGATATGGGTACGACAAAATGCAGCTACCATTACACCGTAAATTGCGACCGCATAGTTCTACTGCTGGCTAAACGAGGTGTAAAAGCTATAGATGATATCCAGGGAGGACCAGTAGTTCCATGATGATACTAGCTTTCTGATGAAAAGGATGATTCAAAAAGGTCGACCCAAAAAGCAGCACTCAATAAACTGCGATCTTCCGTAGCAGGCGGTTCGAGTTTAAAGCTGGGTCTGAACCAAACTGAACTTCTAGAATGGGGGTATGTAGCCGATCTTAAACAGATGTTCTGTAGGCTATCCAGTTAAGCACCACAGTTACTAACCAAAATTCTTGTTTAATTATCGCAAGAGAAAGTTACCTTCCACGTTGTTGGTAGGCAGGAAGAGTCAACCGCCATCACAACTGCATCTACACTCAAGTTGCAGTTGAAGAACAACCCCTAAGGTATGCATAGTGTTTCTGTTGAAGATCAGTTAGAATGTGATCTTCGACAAAGGTGCCATGCTATAAGAAAATGTATTATTAACGGACGATTCTGATCATGGACACTGGTGACATATTAGGTACGTCTCAGGCAAAATAAAACGGTCACCTTGACTAATAAATCGAATGGGTAAGACATAGAAGAACACTGAAATTTATAAGCCCCTGTGATAAAAAAAACGACCGTAAATCCTTAAATCAAAGGAAACCTAGAAAACATTCATAAGGAAACTGGCTTCGATTTTTTGATAAAGTCAATTCTAGCGACTGACACCCCACTTCTAAGAACAAAGTGCGTGGACATCTGTAAATCAGAAAACCGAACTTCACTAATTTCATGCATTAATTATTGAATTTAAATAGTGCAATAAGAACATCATTTGAAGGATTAGATGAAGTCATTTTATTTTATACGATTTTCATCAGCTGCATACGAACCTTGTATGGGGCGTTTCAAGATATTAGTTAATGGTTTAAAGATCAGAGAAAAAATTACAGTTGAGAACACAACAGAGGTTCAGGTTATTAACCCAGTGAAACTAGATATACGTTATATAAGCTAAGGTGAGGAGAGTTTAGGAATGAGACAAGTTTGTAAATAAGTAGAAGCGGCACGCGATCACATGGAAATATTATCTTAACCGAATGATGAGAAGATGAGATAAAACTATGGGTAGATAACTATCTAGTGCAGATTAGCAACATGTTTCGGGGAAGCTTTCCTGAGGTTCTAGCACGAAGTCACGACCTATGAGGTCAAACTACTTGGAAGTGAAGCGGTTGGCAACTGATAACCTTTGATGATAGTCGTGCTATACCGCGAACCGACAGAAGTAAAGAAATGTCAACCACTTGACAAAATCCATTGGCTGGTTCGTAATGCGCTGGCCGCGAGACGTGGAGACTTTGACGTAGATTTGTGATAGGATTATGAGTTTCCACTACTGAGGGGTCCCAGACTACGACGAAACGCCTGTCCAGTGCTTTCAGGTTTTTTAATGGTTCCCCAGTTGTTGTCAGCCGGTGATGAATACTCTCTCTTAATAACAATAAATGCGGTAATAATGAAAAGAGAGTCAATATGAATATATATAAATGGGAATAGTGATAAGATGAAGGCATCATGTTATTCTGCGAAGGGTCTTTCATCGCGTTATTCGAATTTCACTGATAATGAATTTGAGAACCACTTAAAAAAATATTTTCTTAATTTATGAAGATTAAAAAAACCGCTTAATTATCTACGAAAATAAAACGCTAACAATTGATGAAATGGAAGAAAATACAAGGATAAATCAGTGGAAATATACTACCTGACCTACCTGTGAGAAGTAACTCCATCTTTCAGGATGAGTTGTTTAAATGTATTCAGATTCTGAAGATTCGTGGGATCATAGTCATGAAATATATGCTGATATTCATTCGGTATACATCTGAAATTTAGAAGATGATATTCATTATTAGCGTTTACCATCGAAGATATAAATGGAATAATAATTATAATATAATTTGCATGAAAGAAAATCCTCATGATGATGAATAGTCCACATCTATAACTGATTTTTACGATGCTGGTATCAGTGACTTATGCATAAAATAGCATGTAAATATATAATTCAATTTAACCAGATATAGGTTTATATACTACGTCACTATGAGCCACAGATAATGTGTGGAGGCTTATGACAGTAACCAGTTTTCCATGTTAAAGTACATGAGACAGGCTTTAAACCCAAGACCAATTGCCTAAAAGTTGAATGTACCTCAATCCAATGAGCCATATTGCTACATTTATACAAGTAGACACAAATTCAAGCAGTGCATATATATATATATATATATATATATATATATATATATGACTAGTACTAAACAAAGATATTTTCATATTCTTTCGTTATCCAACTAGTAAATCAATGAATAGAATGAGTAACAAATTTCTAGAGCGCAAACCCTACAGAAACCATATCTGTTGGAAGCAAACAGAAAACTGCCTTCAGTAAAAAAAACTTCAATAATACCACTTAACAAGCATGTGATGTATTGCTTTCGAAACTCAATAAATGGAACTAATTTTGACTTTTTCTTTTCAAGAAAATGCTCTCGTCAAGTGAAGACAGTGAACAATATGATGGAAATAATTCACTTTCAAAACCTCGCCTGGTTAACTAGTTTACTAGTTACTAGCCGGTCCTAAGCCCCCATAAAGAGGGAAGGTTGGGCATAGGGCTAGCAACCCTACCCCGTAAAACAAATCTAACCGCTAAACAAACTTCAAAGCACAAACGACATATAAAAAATAAAAACAAACTTATTCCTCGCTGGAATCGGAGAGGCGAAATGACGCATGTTGGTGAAAGCCTTCGGGAAGCCAATTGGCCGATGTGTCTCCTCTCCTCTCGATGAAAGCGAAAGTAAACGTGGGGACATGGAATGTCCGCACGATGTTTGAACCCAGTAAGGCAGCCCAGATTGCAAAGGAGATGAGAAGGTATAACATCGAAGTGCTTGGGATTTGCGAAAGCAGATGGAATGGGAGTGGACTCTCCAAACTGTCAACTGGAGAATCAATCATCTACTCCGACACTGTCACCTAGACGACAACCACGAGCACACTGAGGGAGTGGCTATTATGATGTCCTCAAGAGCATCGAAGGCTCTCATGCAGTGGGAACCAATCTCCTCCTGCAGGATCATGACAGCAAGATTCAACTCAAAAGGAAGAAAGGTCACAATCATACAATGTTATGCACCTACAAATAATGCAGAGCAAGAGAAAAAGGAGGATTTCTACAGACAACTTCAATCAACACTGGACAAGACGTCAGTTGGCGATATCAAAATTCTAATGGGCGACATGAATGCCAAACTGGGAGGGGACAACACGGGGAGAGAACTAACCATGGGTCGAGAGGCGCTAGGTGAAATGAATGAGAATGGAGAATTGTTTGCAGAATTCTGTGCATTCAACGATTTGGTGATTGGAGACAGTGTGTTCAGGCACAAAGATATCCACAAAGCGACATGGATTTCACCAGATACAAGGACACACTCAAAATCAAATCGACTTTATCTCAATCTCAAGAAAATGGAGACGCAGTCTACTTAACACAAGGTCAAGAAGAGGAGCAGATGTAGGTTCACATCACTCACTGTCTAGTGCAAGGAACCTTCCAAATCAAGTTAAAAGCCTTCAAGGAAGCTGGTGATAGACCTCAATTCAAGTACAACACTCGGAAACTGAAGGACGAAACTACAAAGGAGATCTTCACGGCAGCCAGCCATCAAGACAAAATGGGAGATATCGAGCAACATCCCTGAAGAAACCTGTGTGGAAGAACACTGGAAGGATTTGAAAGCTATGTGGAAAGAAACCTGCACAACAGTATTAGGAAGGAAGAAGAAAGAAGACAAGGAATGGATCTCGACGGATACCTGGAAGCTGATAGAGCAGGGAGAGAAGGATGGTGAAGCAGAAGATAAACCAGTGCAAGGATGCTCAACGACAAGAGGAACTGAGCACAATGTACAAAACACTGAACAAAGAAGTAAAGAAGAGTGCACGGAAAGACAAAAGACACTTCTACGAAACACTGGCAAGTGAAGCAGAACAGGCTGCAGGTAAGAGAGACCTGACGACATTGTATCAAATAACCAGGTTGCTATCAGGGAAGAGATCAACACAGATGAAACCAATAAAAGATGAAGAAGGAAATTTAATTATGAAAGAAGAGAAACAAAGGAAACAATGAGCCGACCACTTCAAGAAGCTCTTGAATCGACCACCACCTGCACTTCGTCCAGAAATACCACCTGCAGCCGCTGAATTACAAGTGAACATAAATCCCCCAACGAAAATGGAAGTCCTGAACGCCATAAAGCTACTGAAATGCGGGAAAGCATCAGGACCAGATGGGATCCCGCCAGAAGCACTGAAAACAGATGCAGAGACAACAGCGGACATGCTCACATCACTATTGCAGAAGGTGTGGAAGGAAGAGAAGGTACCTGCCTATTGATTGGAAGAAGGGTTACCTTGTCAAACTCGTGAAGAAGGGAGACCTCAGTGTTTGCAAGAACTGGCGAGGAATCACTCTCCTGTCCACCCCAAGTAAAACATTAAGCCGCATCATCCTGGAGAGGCTTAAAGATGCGCTGGATTCAAAACTACGACCGGAACAGGCAGTCTGGATTCAGGAAGTACAAATCATGTGTGGATCAAATTACAACGCTTCGCATCATCATGCAACAGAGCATAGAATGGCAATCAGCTCTATACCTCAACTTCATCGACTTTGAGAAGGCCTTTGACAGCGTCGACCGAGAAGTAATTTGGAAACTGCTTCAATACTACGGAGCACCGCAAGCCTTTATCAGCCTCATTCAACAACTATATGAAGATGCCACATGCCAAGTAATTCACAATGGGAAGCTCAGTGATACTTTTGAAGTGAAGACAGGAGTGAAACAAGGTTGCCTACTATCCCCCATGATATTCCTTATTGTGGTGGACTGGATCATGCAGCAAACAGTGGGCAGCGAGAAGAAGGGATACACTGGACTGCGGAAAAGAACCTAGAAGACTTGGATTTCGCCAGTGATGACTTGTGCCTGATGTCACATAAACTTGAAGATCTGCAGGCAAAAACTAACAAGTTGATAGAAGAGGCAGCGAAGACGGGACTTCAGGTAAATATAGAGAACACAGAGGTGATGAAGATACCGCACCACCACCATCAACAACAACAACAAACTCCAATCACCTCCAACGGGAGAAACTTAAAGGAAGTAACCTCCTTCACTTATCTAGGAAGCACTGTTTCAACTACAGGCGGGATGGACGAGGACGTCAAAGTCAGAATCGGAAAAGCAAGACAGGCGTTCATTAACCTGAAACCAGTGTGGAGATCTTCTGCACTCAGCATGCGGAACAAGATACGGATTTTCAACACCAACGTCAAGTCAGTGCTCCTGTATGGTTCAGAGACTTGGCGCGTAACGAAAGGCATTTCCAATAAACTACAGACATTCACCAACAACTGCTTCCGCTCGCTACTGAAGATCAGATGGATGGCCAGAAAGAATAAGCAACAAGGAACTCTGGGAACGAACCAACCAAGAACCTATCACGCAACAAATATGCAGGAGGAAGTGGAGATGGATTGGCCATGCACTGAGAAGGCCGAGGACATCACACGCCAGGCCCTCGAGTGGAATCCCCATGGGAAGCGACGAGTTGGACGTCCAAGGGTGACATGGAGGAGGACGTGCGAGGAGGAAATGAAAGCTTCTGGGCTGTCGTGGGACCAGGTTCAAAAGATCTCAGAGAACAGAGGTCACTGGAGGCGTGCAACTGAAGCCCTATGTTCCACTAGGAACCCAAGGGACTAATAATAAATAAAAATTCACTTTCAAGCATATAAAACAAACTAACGATCTTAAAGGGATAAACTTCTGAAAACTAAATGAATTAACTGAGATAGAAACATCAACCGTTTCACATACTTCTGATATTTTGAAGTTTAAAGCACTCGCTAAAAGGTTTACAAGTTTTGAAGTTAACTTCTCATTTGAGAAATAAGAAACCTGCTTCGCATTTTTCAACTTGCGTCATTTATGGCATCGATTGGCAAGATATCCGACTATCTATCAAAGGAAAGGTATATTGCCCTGCAGTCCGTTCCGTTCCGTTTTATATGGCTGTGAAAAATGGTCGTGAAAAGTAGAAGACATGAAGCGACTACAGGGTTTTCGTAGCGTCTGCTGGAATCACCGTGTTAGTAATGTTGAAATCAAAATAAGGAACTCAATTGGTGAAATTGCAGCCCTTCATCGGTTGAGATGGCCACCACCTACCTCGATATGCCATGCTGCGGGTTAGCTCGATCAGGTTGAAACAAGACCTCAGGATGGCCAGATAGATCAGGATGTAACACTAGTCCATCAAGTCCATAACTGTTAGTTTCAGTCATGTAGGGAGATGGAAACTGCTTGATTGGATGTGTCTGAGAGGAAAGCAATCATCGGTTGAGGATTCTTGGTAACATGACTAAAAAGCGGTCACAATGGTGCAGACGTGTTCACTCTTTGGTATCTACTAAAGCTTGAATATTCACGACAACCCTAATCTTCAGATTGTTTGTTCTCTCACACAACTTTGTCTACTTTGATATCATGCCTTTTCTATCCACTTGTTCTTTGTATACTACTGTGAAGTGTGGTGACTTCGGCCGATGCACCTATGTGTGATGTTCTACGTTGATTTACTCTATATGTCTGTCTGTGTGAAAGATCTATAGTGAGCTTTTATATACAATCAAGCGTAAAACCCAGTACGTTCTCAATATTAGCAGGAAATAAAGAAAATAAACAGTCCTACAAGATGATTATCCAGGAAAAATTGTCAACAACTATTCAGAAACACAAACTGCTATACCAACATACCGAAGGTTCAAATTTCGAGTGAATACCAAAATCCTTGATAGGAACATCTCATAATCCGGCTTAGAATTGTCTTCCTTATTGTGTTTAATTATTTTGTATGGAGCGGTAAGTTTCGCCATATGATATTCCATCTCTGTGACAGACATTCCGGGTTTATAAAATTTTTTAACTTCAGTCAAAAGTGAGTGAGGTAACGCTTTGATCATCGTTTCATTCGGAACCCAACTACAACTATACAAAAATATTTAAAAAAAACATTATTCTCCGTCATTCCACCCGATAGAAGAAAAATATTAGTTTCTTTTAGATAAGTGTGAACAATTGTATTACTTTATTTACTTCAAAGTATCTTGGTTGTATTGTGTTCTCTGAGCTGAGTTGTTTAATCGTGGACCTTTCATCTTCTAGCTAGACAGCGACATCATCAGCACCTAATTCAGTATGAAGTGACCTGTCAGTATTTCTCCATGAGTGTGGTTTTGCTCTCAATCCCGGGAACTCCAACATACAACATATCAAGAGAACTTTCAAGAAAACTGAAACACCCGGTTCAATCATGTGGACACTCCATCAAATCACCAACAGAATTCTTAGAAAACATCAAAAGCATTAATATGGAAAACGACGAATTAATGATATCCTTAGATGTCACGGCACCCTACACTTCAATCGAACCCCAATTGGCGAACGAAACGATGTCCCTCCAGCTCACTGAAGACACAACCCTTTCAGAAAGCATAAAACTTAAATGTTCAAGTCTGATGGAACTCACCGACCTTTGTCTGACAACATACTTCCAATTCAATGCCAAGATATACAAACAGATGAAAGAAACTCCCATGGGGTCACCGAAATCCGGACTAATTGCAAAACCAGTGATGTAGAGACTGGAAACCATCATTCTACCTGTGATTAAATCAGCATTGTGGATTCACTATATACATGATACTTTTGTCATCATTAAAAAAGATGGTATAGGAAACACTCACAGTTTCATCAACAACGTTTTCAGTGACATTAAATTCACAATGGAAACGGCGTCAAACAACCAACTACCATTCCTAGATGTTTCTGTTAATAGGACAAATGCCAGAAGGCTGGAAACCTAAGTGTACATAGAGGAAGCCAACACACACTGATCAAATACTCAACTACTGTAGCAACAACTCAACAACACTCAAAATCAGTTGCATGCAGACTCTATTAAAAAGATCGAGAACACACCACAGTACAGAAATGAAGAACATTACTGATGTTCATCATAAAGAAGAACGGCTACCCACGAAACTTTATCACAAGATGCCTATCCCATACATCATCAACTACAGAGTCATCGACAGAAATAAACAAAATACATCATACTACCATACATAAAGGATATATCAGAAATCACGACAAGATTACTGAGACCACCTGGAATTGGTGTGGCCACTCATCAACAAACAAATTCCATCCAAACCACATTATGCAGACCAAGGGACGCAAAGAAAACAAACCGAATATCATTTACAAAATCAACTGCAACAACTGTAGTCAACACTACATTGGACAAAGTGGTCACCCTGTTCGCCTTCGTCTACATGAACACCAATCGCCTACTAAATGTCACGACATTTCATCACTCATTTCAATGCATGCGGATAATCATGGAAATGTATTCAACCTCGACAATGCAGAAATCTTGGACGAAGGGAGGAAACACAAAAAATACCAGAAAATTCATAGAAGCTTGGCATTCATGCCAGTCAGTCAGCACTCAATAGATGTATAGACACAGACCCAGTCTATCAACCAATAACAAAAATGAGAAACAACAGAAAGTTCAGAGATCAAGCAGAAGAACGGCCAACAGGAAAATCTATGCAGTCAGTCAATGGCACAACAATCAAAGGAAACAACCAATCACAAACCAGTTCGTCAGGGCAAGCTACTAAATCACTCATGGAGAAATAATGACAGGTCACTTCATACTGAAGTTAGTACTGATGATGTCGCTGTCTAGCTAGACGATGAAAGCTCCACGATTAAACAACTCAGCTCAGAGACCACAATAAAACCAGGACCATCCACCTGAGCTACAAATATTCTCCACCACTTCAGTTAATCGTCTCTAAGAAATATGCTATTTTATAGTATTGTAGTATAATGCACAGATCAAGAGGTCTTTATCGACCTTTCATTCATTTCAATGCGGTTCGTGACTGCGAAATGATTGCATGTCAATTGAAATCAGTTACAGTGCACTATTCCACAGTCTATGAGGCAAACGACTACTAACTTCGTTTTTATGAATTATGATGGCTTTGTAGATGTGTGGATTTAAAAGCCATCCCAAACGAGTCTGAAATAACCAATTACTTTTGCTGAGATTTCGAATGGAGAGGCAGCTTCTTCCATAAAATAAAGGACCCCAATTGGTTACTTAAATAGTTGTTGGGGTGCACTTGAAAGTCAATCAAATCGAGTGACTTTAAAGGCTACCCTAGCAACTGCTAAGACAACCAATTACTTTTCTCTGCTCTAAGAAAAGTCACCGTCTCAGTCAAAATTCCGAAATCTGATGGCATATTTTAGGAGTTGTTAGGTTGGTTCTTAAAGTCACTTCTAATTAAGCATGTGAGATAGGACTTTATTTATTCAAATATATAGTCATAGTCATAAATTTGACAAGTGAGTTTAAAGGCCATACAACCGGCTGCTTGTATAACTAATCAGATTTTGGAATTTCGGCTGAGAAGGTAGTTTTTCATAGAGCATAGAGAAGTAATTGGATGTCTAAATAGTTGTTTCCGTGGACTATAAAATCACTCCTCACTCGTTTGTAACGTATTCATTACATCTAGGGAACAGATTTGATACATGAAAAGTAGCCTCATGCTTAATGATATTCCCCACTAACTAGTTATGTTTTATGGTAAAAATGACTGATACCGTAATCTAATTGACATTTCCTATTCAGTGCTACCAGGTCTATACCAATGGGAAGACGGATATTTAACATTGTGTTACTCAGTTTGACGTGACTGCTTTGATGAACACCTTGTGAACTAAACTGGCTTAACTTTTGGGACAGGTTGGAATACACGAATTCCTCTGTCATTCTAAATTAATAATTCTAGTGACTTCTAAGTATATGATGATATTAGATCCTAATTCAATCTTAAAAACAATAATCTAGTAAAAGTATATGATTAAATAACTCTGGATTATCGGTGTAACATACCAGATAAAAAGAACTACTTGTAACTTGATGAGAATTTCTTTCTAAATAAGCACACTTACCGATTACCCAGTAGTAAAACAAATATATCACACGCTGCTGTTTGTTTCAAACATATTTCTAAAGCTTTCGCATTACAAATAAATGCTTCATCAACAGCACCAAGACGTAAATCAACGTGATCAAGGCAAATCTTCAAAGGTGATGAGATTTTACAGCGTAAAGTTGGAACTAAAACACCATAAATCAAATCTCGTTCTGTACGCATATCTTCGTATGAAGAAGATATGTATAAGCGACAAAATGTCCCGCTAAATCGACATATAAAGAAAAAAAACAAATAAAGAGGTAATCTCCTCATAAAAACACTGGTTCTTGAGTGGTAAATGAAGAGATTTAGGTTAACGGTAGCACAAACTCTGTTCACAGCAGTTTACATGTCACATCATAACAAACTATCTCAGAAGAAAGAAAACTTGTCTTGAAGAAAGGCTATCTTCTTACACATGGCAGAATATGAGACTTACTGATGTCATACTTTGGCTTATTGTAACGCACTCATAGACATTTATAGGTATATTATTAGGAATAGCAGCAATGCCTGGCAATGGAGAAAAGTTGTCGTAAATTAAACAAACCTAGAGATAAGTATTTAGAATAAGAATAATCTGACCGAATAACTATTTTCAATAACTTCCCCTTCAGGTTCTAGAGTTATATTTCTTTAAAAACAAATGAAGTACAATAGCCGATGTAAGGTATACACAGTAAAATTATTTCAATATTGAAACAGTCAATGTTATCGGTAAACGGAGGTCAAATCAAGTGGATGTAGTTATCTTCCCAAGTGAAATAGTAATCAATCTGGTATGAGGGTACGAAATCTATATCCCTGGGGTATGGAATGTGGGTGTAATCCTTTACTCAGGAACGAATTATCATTAGGTAGGGATGAGCTACATTCAAATAGGAAGAAAAATCTTGAGAATGATACAATAATGACATAACAGATATGAAGGATTCCGTAAGAGACGAAAAACAATGGAACAGGGGGGAGTAAATTGAAATAATAAAATTGAAGGTTAAAATATGGCGAACAGGTTCATAAAAAACATCTTTACCCTACGGTAGACAAAGTACGTGAACATATCTCTTTCTCCTATTAATGCTTACAGCTTTTGCTATAGATAAAAGACGTGGTCGTGTTCCTTTGTGCATAATCCAAAGAAGTGATATATGCTAGAAAAGGGTTAATTTAACTTAATTTCATGTCCACTGTCTAGTAAATGAGAGGAAAACTGCATTATTTATGCCATTCTTACTTCCAACCCCCAACTAAGCTGATATATACTTTCGAGTGCGGGTGCATAAAACCCTCCACAAGAACAGTTGAACTCACAAATACACACTGAAGCGGCCATCGTCGGTCACCTGTCTTTCGTTCGCTGAGTCAGCATTTCAGTGACCTTATTTGTAAGTACTATTATTAGTAGTTGTTTTAAACCTTCATGTAACAATTCACATGGTCTTTACTCTACTGAAATATAACTCGTGGGTACATAATAATAATTTGCTCATTATTTTACTACATAACTAACATTAAACTGATTATATTCCACCTTCAAAAGCTGTATATTAATTCAATTTGACCTCCATTTACTCAATACTCAACTTGTTCAATGCTGTTAGGTCGAATTCTGATCCCGAAGTCCACAATAACACCGAGTGATTCGATAATGGGTGATGATTGAAGGTGAAGTGAAAATCTGGATTGGGGAGGGATTCGAACCAACAACTACCGGGTTTCCTGCTCAGTGCTGTCCCAACTGAGTCACGAGACCCAACTGCTCACCAGATTTATATTTCGATTCAAAAGTTTTGCCCGAATACAATGTGAGTTCTTGATGCGTTACCATCGCTTGATCGTACTCACACTGTCTGCTGAGTCAGGACTTCTCATCTCAATCCGATTATATATGAATTAGACAGAGGGAGCATCATATTGATGATTATTAGTTTGACTACCTGAGATAGCCGTAGTTAATACTGGGGGATGATTAAAGGTGAAGTAAAAATTTGATCAGCAGTTGGGTCTCGTAGCTTACTTGGTAGGACATCGGTCCGAAACCCGGTGGTCGTTGGTTCAAGTCCTGTCGTGGTCAATATTTTCATTTAACCTTCAGTCATCAACAAGTATCAATACAAATCTGCAAAACCACGGCAATCTCAGTTAGTCAAACTGATAACTGATCACTTAAATATTGAAACATTTCCACTGTATGGCTTTTGTAGCTCTGCTGTTTAAGAACTATAAATGCAGAGCATGAAGAGGAAGTTACTGAAAACAGCTGTTCAGGTGAAGGCTTTAGCTCCCTATTTAGTTGACACTACGAATCTTATTTGATGTACATGTTTCAGTGTTTATCGTTGTTAAATTAAAAAGGCAGTTACTATGTAGACGTTTGTTTTTCTTTAGTAGTCATGAGTACACTTTCCAGTGTTAGCTCCTGAACAACATTCACCACGCGACTGTTACAGTGACGTGGCAGCTAAGCAATTTCACCACGTCACACACCAAATCGACCAACAGTGTTCAGAATATCTGTTCGATGAGAAAAGTAGTGACAACGGAAGTCACCCCTACCATTTTTTTGGGAAAGTGAAAGTTGTGTCGTACTATCAGCTGGATTAGTTGGCTAATAACAATCCGTTTAAGAAGTTGTTTGCCACCGAAAGACTAAATGGAACTAGTAAATACTGCAGCGTACACAGAATCAAAAAAAATATTTTAGCAGCAAAAGTAATGAATATGTTGGAAGTGGATTTGGAAGGTGCTCCTATTTGAGTTCACTTTTTTATGACAGTTTCCTAGAGAATTGAAGCTTAGCATAGGTGACGCTTAGACTGACGTCAAGACCTTTAAGCATGAAAACTGCTGTAGCTGGCCTGGTGATAAAGTTATGGTCAGAAAATACCAGGATTAAAATCTGTTGGAAATTGGAGTACTTTGCAAAGTACACGTTGGTACAGAAATCTAGAGGAGACATGCAAATTAGCTAGGACTGAAACATCATAACCACACCAGAAATGATATTCTCTTCAGCTTACTACTAGATCAGAAATCGAATCATGATTTCCAAGCTAGCAAGAAGAATTGTCCCAAATTCATGACAGAGTTGAACGATTCGTTTCAGGAACCCATCAAAGAGATCTAAGTGAATACCAAGTAACATTTCTACATACAATTCTTTTTAAAGAGAGGGGTGTCATGGAGTGAGACAATATCCCCTAGATTTCTCAAAGAAGCCTGGAATTCCCTGGAAAGTCTTCACAACCAATAATAGCATGCCAAACACTCGCTAAAAATCACGTGGTCATACGTGAGGTTTCTAGAAAAGTATAAAACACAACAAAACCACCGAAAGAATGTATAAACCGCTACTAATTGTACATATTCGACTTGACAATAAGCCTTTTATCATTTTTGCCAATTTTTCTATTTCTGAGGAACCAAACTACTTCCAAAGGTTGAGCTTGTAAAGCGATAAAACTACTAGAATAGTATTTTGTCCCTAATTAGACATCCGCAGACGTTTTTCTAGTCATTTTCGTTACAACTTCTATCCCATTCACATTAGAATGAAAGATCAGATGAACCTGCGTAGTCATAATCTGTGTGACATGCTTAAGGTGGTCATTGATGAGACGAATAAAGATATGCTAAAGTAAACAGGTTGATTAAAACTTACTGAGATTTCACTTGTAAACACTTTGGCTGTCTTTTTAAATCTCCAAGAGTAGCAGGTTGACGAGGTAAGTTTAGTGAAATATTCATACCGTAAGTTTCATCTATTCTGTCAATCTGTTCGACTAAATTCTTCTCTTCTGAAAATGTTAAATATTCAAAAACACCATTTGCCAACCCTTTTGACTCTATCCATCCCGTCATTGGGAGTGAAGAACACCTGAAACGAAAGATATTCCTTGGCATGAAATAAAAATTGATGATATGCGCTGTTCTAAAACCACATGGGATAACATCTGAATTTTAGCCTACTTCAAAGGTATCCTTTCACTAGAACTTCAGTAATTACGGTAACAAGAACAATTGTGAACTTTATAATGGTGTGAAAAAAACTTGTCTAAAAACTGTTAATATCGAATACAGTTAATTAAAGATCCATAATATAGTTACTTGTTCAACTGTCACAAGAAGAGGACATTACTGGACTGAAGAGAGTTTAATCTAATCGAAAGTATGAATCTACGAAGACAATCCTTGTGTTTATTTACAATGTATGCACCCTTGGGGCAAGCAGACAAAACAGTATATTACATGTGAAAGATTAATCAATCGCCAAACAAGGTTCTTAAAAGTGGTAAAATTGAGTGATATACGTCGAGCGGAAAAAGGCGCGAAAAACAGTTTGAATTTTCTATAAAGGAAATTTGCAATAATCAGGCAGAAACGTTCATTTTCGGGAATACAACATCCCTCTACATATCCTTGTTCAGAAAAGTACATTTCCAACATAACTCTGTTCTTTCTACTTTTATCACAGAGTAATTTGTCGCACATATTTATGTCCTACTTTCAATATACAAGAGTATGAGTAAGTCATAGTTTCGAAGTGATACTGAAATAGTTGGCAGTAATATGATAATATATTTAACTGAGCATAACAAAAATGGAATTATTTAAAAATGGAACGTAGAGCAATTCCTTAGAACACACCATTTAATTATGATAATGAGAATCAATAGTTGAAGACTGTAGGTGATATGTCTAAAAATCCGTATCATTGACGTAGACATATTATTTTCAACGTTTTGTGTAGCTTCATTTTTCAAATCCTTTCTCTTCCTATACATCGTTTTTGACATCAATATCAATCTTCTTCTTAAGCTGTTGCCGGGATTTATGGCAACTTGAACCGATGCACCTCTGTGCAAGATTCTACGTTAACTATGTCTGTCTGTCTAACTACTTAGTCGAACTCACCACGTCACTGAATTGATGAAGGTGAATATAGGGCCCAAACTAAAAAAATCACCTATATAAAGTGAACGCAGGGAATCCCTAGAAAGGATCAACAAAAGACATGACTAGAGTGCTATCTCCTTTAGTAAAAGCCAACAAGGGATTAGGAAAATAAATATAATCGAGTAATTTAGGATTCATTTAGAAGCCAAGGCTTAAAGATGGAACATAGCGTTGGTTTGAATTTCCGAACGGCTAGTGTATCAGCTATAACCAAATGCCTTGATCTCACCCCCACCAAGCGGTGTGATTGAACCCTATAGAGGATTTCGAAAGAGTCTTCAAAAGAAGCTGAGTGGTCTCAACTCACAAGGTGTTCTGTTATTGAGTTGAAGATGCATTTCGGTTCTTCCCTTGGCTAGCCGGGTAGTGTTTTCGAACAAGTTTTACAGGCGCTCACATAGTACAGCCGATGTACTTAGCTCTGTATGAACAAGTAAAGTGATGTAAACACAGTGATATGGCCCAGTGGGTCAGTTTGTCTTTCACACATTGACCAAAAGGTTTCCTGCAGGAGAAAATGATTGGAAGATAGGCGGCGAAGTGTGTTTGAGGATGGCTGCAGCAATGTCATTTTGAGTTCAAGACTTAGCAAAAGAATGTTTCTCGGTCCTAAATATGTTTGCTCAGTTGTGGTCTTTGGCTTAAATTTCCTATCTATAAATCTACGTGAGAAACCGTTTATAACTAGAGTTCCTGGAAGATTTTGCATTTCTCCACCAACCAGGGCTATGTGCCCAAAAAAAGTACGTTCAATCTTAATCTCTACCATAGCCATCATAAAGCCTTTACTGTTCAAGATAAATCCTCCGTTATGTAATTTTATTGATTTATTCCCTTAATCCACTATATATATATATATATATATATATATATATATATATATATATATATATATATATATATATATATATATATATATATATCTTACCACTTATCATTTTCACTAACATTATTCCAAATGGCTTTGATAGGGCCGATATTTGTCCGATGATATAGAACGAATTGGGCAATATCCTCATGACAGTCACCGAATACAACAATTTTATCGAACTACAATCAAAAAAGGAAGAATTCATAAGTTTAAAATCAAACAAAAACATTGAGAAAACGGAGTTGAAATTTAAAAGCCATTATCCCTAAGTTAAACAGAACAAAAGGGAGAGCGTAACCACGATGAAAAGAAATACAAGTTAATAGACATTAGAGAAAAGAATAAGAAATACACTAACGACATAATTATTCTACCAAAAAAACGCATCTTAGTAAATGGATTGTTATCACTAGACACTAATAGTCGCATTCGTGAGAATATCACTACTACGATCAAGCAGTTCCTTCATCTTTTGATATATATATTCGAAAACTCATAGTTACTGACTGCGTTTTCAAATACGATAACAGAAATTTAAGTTAACACTGGTCTACATAATGTAAACTAATGTTTGAGAGAAAGGAGATAAGATATATATAAAGAAAACAACCTAACCGTACCCACTGACAGATAAAACCTACCCTTATCCCCACTTTCAATCATGAAATTTTACCCACGTTACTTACTTGGGAAGTTACATCAGCTCAAACGGGTTGGTTGCTGACGAAACCTCAGACTAGATACAGAGAGACCGTTGGGTATTTGCCAACTTGCATCATTTATGGCATCGATTGGCAAGATATCCGACTATCTATCAAAGGAAAGGTATATTGCCCTGCAGTCCGTTCCGTTCCGTTTTATATGGCTGTGAAAAATGGTCGTGAAAAGTAGAAGACATGAAGCGACTACAGGGTTTTCGTAGCGTCTGCTGGAATCACCGTGTTAGTAATGTTGAAATCAAAATAAGGAACTCAATTGGTGAAATTGCAGCCCTTCATCGGTTGAGATGGCCACCACCTACCTCGATATGCCATGCTGCGGGTTAGCTCGATCAGGTTGAAACAAGACCTCAGGATGGCCAGATAGATCAGGATGTAACACTAGTCCATCAAGTCCATAACTGTTAGTTTCAGTCATGTAGGGAGATGGAAACTGCTTGATTGGATGTGTCTGAGAGGAAAGCAATCATCGGTTGAGGATTCTTGGTAACATGACTAAAAAGCGGTCACAATGGTGCAGACGTGTTCACTCTTTGGTATCTACTAAAGCTTGAATATTCACGACAACCCTAATCTTCAGATTGTTTGTTCTCTCACACAACTTTGTCTACTTTGATATCATGCCTTTTCTATCCACTTGTTCTTTGTATACTACTGTGAAGTGTGGTGACTTCGGCCGATGCACCTATGTGTGAGGTCCTACGTAGGATTCTGCATGTCCGTCCGAAATCTAACCTCATGAAAAATAAAATGAAGCGCCCAGAATATGTACTCAATGTTTCTAAAATGGCAGTAATCATACTCTAAAAATAACAAACCAATCTATCATAGGGGTGATAGTCAAGGTAGGATAAGGTAGCTAAAGTATAGAGTAATTACATTGTAAAATCTATAAAATTTTAAAAGGTTGCTGCATAATTGATAGTTTGCGCAATAGCAACTAACACCAAGGGAAAAGAAAAGGAATTGCTGCATCAACTGCGCAGTTGTTCACGTTAATTGTAGATAGGAAGCGGAAGAGAAAGATCGTTGAAACTGTAATAATAACAAATTACAAACATTTTTAGGATTAACGAATGGAAAGATGGTGTTTTTTGTAGGTAAGCAATACAGATGTCCAAGGCAAGGGAGGCTGTACAAATTTCTCCGGAACACAAACTCAGGCTGTTCAGGTGGATGATTTTCATGGCTTCTGCTGTAAGTAAAAGACGAACCAATAGAGCACTTGTGATCCTAGAGAGAATGTGATAAATAACCTTAAAGACTTTATAAATATTAACTCGGTGACTAGTGTCAACCAGGTGAGTAAGTATTGAGCTTTGCGTCGATCTTCTTTGCTCTTTACTTAACCATGGCGGATGACATTCGGTGATTTTATGATGGATATGCTTAACTGTGCGCTCAATTTGATTTGTTCTACAGGAGCAGCTGAATTGGTAAGTGTACATAAAAGAAGAGAAGTCAGGTAGTCTGTCTTCGATTAACGAAGTTATCATCAGCCAACTGTAGAGTATGTAGCACAAATTTGCTCCATCAAATGATCATCTTATGGGATTCTGTAGATAGTGTTTCGGAGTGACGTTATTAGCAAAATTGTGATACATTTATCACTTGAACTGCTCCTGTAGAGCTAATTGCATTGGGTGTACAGTTAGGCAAGTCCGTCGCTGAATCGACAAAAATCATCCGTCACGGTTAAGTAAAAGGCAAAAAAGATCGATACGAAGGTCAAACCCCCATCTGGTTGACACTGGTCACCGAGTTAATACTCATGATGCGTTTAAAGTTATTTCTCAGATTGCTTCCAGTCTCACCTATGTTCTATGAGTTCATCTTTTGTATATAAGAGAAGCCATCAAAATCATCCACTTTAAAAAGCCGTCTGTTTTCAGAATATGTATTGAGTGTCTTGAATTCAAACAGAAGACCCATTCATGATTCCTGAACTTGTTAAAATACGACTGACTGACTAAGCGAAACAAGCTGCATATCATCCTGCAGGCCCTACTGGTAGACTGGGTTCGATCACAGACTAATTAGGCAGTTCAATCTCATAACTTTACAGATGTTGAGTAGATGCCAAGCCTCAAACTTACTTGGAAAAGTCAATCTTTTCACCATATTCTTATCAAAGTAAAACATATCTTTTGTGGGTTGTAGATCATGCAAGCTGAGATAAGAACTAGTCGAATGTAAATACACTTGATTTATGCATACATGTTGACTTCGAATCTCTTCAGAACCTCGGATAAATGCAAACCCAAAAACTGTTATTAATCGTACAAAAAATATACTTCTGCTTGCAATTATGACCATTCGAAATGAGTTATTGCACACTTTGATACCAAGTACCCATCACCAACTGTTTCTTCAGAGATTCCGTTGAAAGCTATCAGAAGGATTAATGCTATTTGTGATCCAAGCGATAAACACCTCAATCGATAGACACTTGAATTCATAAAGTCACTTAGTCAGTCACTGTATCTACCTTTCAGAATCTCATTTTTTTCAACTTTATACATGCATCTCATGAAGAATAAGAAGTGATTTCACAAGGTTTAATGCTTTCGAACGGAATAAATAATAAAGTCCAACTATACATCTTGTTTGAAGAAAGATATGTTAGAAAATAACTTACTGACCACCTTTTTAAAAGTAAATAAATAGCCATTTCATTATTGCCACCATTCCTGTATCATCGTCTAGATACATTACTTTTATCCCTAACGCTATTGACTTGCTATAATGTGCTCAGTAACCTTGTAGACACTCGTTCAGTAGGGTAGTGAGACACACCTAATGTGTGAGAGCTAGTGATAGTATCTGGCTGCCCAAATCCCATGAGGTGGGGTGGTGTTTGAACCCCTAAGTTACTAATTGAAAGTCGACTCCCACTAGCAATGTTGAAAAAGGTCAGTTTGTCATAATATTACATACTAGGAATTCCATAATATATGAGAAAGATTATCTGGCATGAAATGATCACTATCATTATCAATTCCGTCCTCCCTTTCACAAAAGTGCAAAAGCTTGTACAACATAAATTCATGTATTATGAAGTTAATGGGGATTTTATTTTTTAAGGTAGGATTTATCACGAATTGACGTCAGTTGGAGAACCATTGAAAACCTTGCATGGCTGGGCAGCTGTTTCATCCCAGCATAAAACTCTTCAGCAGTACGCACCCACTAACTTCGAAATAAATAACTCTGTAGTGCTGATTAGTGACATGTTTCAGGATAAAAATTCCGAAGTCTTAATGAAAAGTGGTGACTTGTAAGGGTTAAACAGTCGGAAGTGAAGAGAATGTTAACTGAAGACTTTGGGTGATAGTCAGACTATATCGCGAAATGAAAGAAGTAAAGAAATGTGAACTACTGAGCTGAGAACCAGTAACTGAATGGTTAACGCGTTCAACATAAAACTAGAAGCTCTTGAGTCCGATCCCTGGCCGAAACATGGGTGCGTACTGCTGAGGAGTCTCATACTAAGACGAAACAGCTGCTTCATTGCCTTCGCGTTTTCAATGGTCCTCCAACTGATGTCAGTTTGAGATGATTCCTACCTTTAAAATAGAAATTCATCTTATATATGTACAGGATAGACATTAACATCTCGTAGCTCCGTTGGTACAGCATCGGGCTGGAAACCCAGTGGTCACTGGTTCGAATCCGGCTGCAGTCCAAATTTTTATTTCACCTTCAATCATCACCCAGTATAAAGACCAACAAAAAGTCGTTTTTAAATACCTAAAGCGGTTTATATCAGCACTCGGACATGCAAAATCCTAGATTACAATTCTGCAGAAATAAAATTTGCTTACAAGTCTTCGTAACTAACCTTTTTACGAAATGAGCAAAATTTGTTCAGGATTGAAGATAATGGGAAAAAGGAGCACGACTACGACGAAAAAAGAGAAGAAAAATTATACAAGAGAAGAAACAAGACTACAATTCATTAAACAATAGAAATTTCGTCGTATTAACAAAACGTTTTGTACAAACACACACACGTGATCTTTTCTCATATATCGAATATATGAGAAATGTAACTCAACTAAGTTGAACATGAGGACAGGTACTTAATGACGTGACTGGATGTAGGTGGTGCTACATATATGATCAGTGGCTCAGTGGTAACGTGCTGGCCACGGGACCTGAAGGTCCTAGGTTCGATCCCTCACGCTGTCATGGGTGCACACTGCTAAGTCCCACACTAGGACAAGACAGGTGAGCAGTGCTCCCGCGTTTGCAATGTTCCTCTAACTGGTGTCATTACACGACGAATTCCAACCTGAAATCAATCAATAAATCTCCACCAACCTCCAGATTGAAGTAAATGGTATAATTTTCTTCTAAAAAGTCTCTAACAAAACACTAAGGGTGAACAAATTATTATGAATGTAGTTTTCATCACCAATGAAAATCACAACTAGAAGATTTGTTGGAAGTCAAGTTGTGTTGAAACTATAGTTCTTTCGTAATCTATAAACATTCAAAGAGTGCACACTATTAACACAAGATCCATGACTAGCATACATGCACATACAGCTCGATGTTACCAAGTCCGTGCCTGTGGATCAGAAACCACCTAGTATTGACAATTCACCAATAATCACCTTATCAAAGTGCAAGCAGTGAAATGAAATCAATACGTAAAGACATTAAGATACACTTCATCTACACAGAGTTTCACTTGATGAGGTAACAGCAACAGCAATAAATATATCACCGTATAGTTTATGAAACACAACCCATCCATCATGTGGGAGGGGTTGATGCATGGATGTAAATAGAACGCAAACAATCAAAGTTCTAACAGTAAAAATGGTAATGGTAATAATAATTCATAAATTAAAACTACACAATATTCGCAAACACTAGAGGAAATTCAATTTGATGATGATCAATATTCATGATTTTGAATCGTTTTAATTAACTACACTAAAATCATGACAAAGAAAGAGTGAACAGCTCCTGTTTCAAATTACGAACTGCCAAGGAATTTACAATCTATATTAGATGAAGACGAAAACCTTTGTATAACCCATTCGAAACCTTACTCATTCACTTTCTAGTTTCAATTTCTAGACTGCCTCACCTCTTCGTTGTCAAGCTCTACCGTTTGTCAGTTGTCTTTTATTATTAAATGTAAGTATATCCCGTGTACTTGCTGAGACGTCGGCTCACCTTTTTCTCTTCCTCCTTTCCCTTCCAGATTCTCGCGTCATCACTAAACTCACACTGCTCTACGCGCCCCCAGTAACAACGTATCTGCCTTCCTACCTCCCTACAGGCTAGACGAAAACGTGTCAACAGCTAGTCGTTACATTTTGGTGCCGGAGGTGGGATCTCGCTCGCTCACGGTCACACCGACGTGCACTCAGCAGCAGCCATCCCATCGCCAGTTCCCTATGACCGGCAGTACGACCTACTAGCGATACAAGCCTAGCAGACTACAAACGGTATGAACGTAATGCGAAAACGAATCGACTCTAACGCAGATCAGAACACCAATGACCACTATAACAATACCACCAACAGGTGAAGACAAGAAGAGAAGATATACTGTTGTCGAGGCAGTAAAAAGCCCTCTGTCAACGGTATGTCTTCTCTTCTTATCTCCACGTGTCAGTGGTATTGTTGTGGTGGTGGTTGACGTTATGATTTGCGTTGGAGTCGATTTGTTTGCGCGTTAGCTCCATATCATTCGTAGGCTGTTAGCTCGTACTACCGGTCATAGCACTTTGCAAAGGTTTCGTGGATTTTGTAAGCGTTACCGAACCCAAGGTATTCAAAGGTGAATGAATCGTATCGACTACATGCTGCAAAACAGAATGATTGATTCATCTTCATTTCTCTTTATTAAATCATGCTAGGAGTTGTTCTTAAATGTAGCAAACAATAGGTCTTCATGAATGATCTATATATCTAGCTCCGCATGAGCAGGTTAACTGATAGGTGTACATTGAACTGGTCAGTCTTGATAAATCATCCTTCAGGCTGAGGTATGTAGGAGGGAGGCTATGATATGTTATTCTAAGGTTTTCTGTACAAAACGTCGTATGAATCCACCTTCGTAGGCTGTTTTTTTCAGAATATTGCCGCTTCCAATTCTAAATTTGGGAGTGGTATCTTCATTGAAACAGTGCTGATGATTACTTTAGTATTCTTACGCTTGTAATTTTTCTCAGTAAAACGTAATGAGTACCCTCTTTTAAATAAAGGGGTGCTTTCAAGAAACTTTCTTCTTCTATGCAGTCTAAAGAACAAACTTCAGGGTATCGCCCCGCTGAGGTAACAGTTCTGGAGCTATTCAACTGGTAGAATTACATAGATGAAATGAAGAATATGCTACAATGTAACAATAAATTTCTGAAACCTAATGATGAAACAGTAGATAAAAACTCACAGGAATTTTAGGTCGATCGAAAAGCAGCTGCCAATCACCTCTGATCAATTCAAAAAACATAAACCTTCTGCATCTATTTTTCTTAGACTACACAGTTTGCTCAAACTACCTAAACTTGGAATACTTCTACTTTCCATTTTCAATATATCATGCTTTCTCTTGCATTTAATTGTCAAATGGAAATCTAAAACTCTTGAATCATTTCGAAAACAAATCTGTAAACATTGCATCGATACATTTGAATTTTTCAAGTTGGTATTCATCGTAGACTGACATCAGTTGGAGGAACAATGGAAACCTGGGAGCACTGGACACCTGTCTCGCCCTAGTATGGGACCCCCTAGCAGTGCGCACCCACGACCCCGGAAGGAATCGGACCCGCGGCCTTCAGGTTCCGTGGCCAGCGCGTTACCGTTGTGCCACTGGGTCGGGATCCAATGGTCCATATTTCCAACTTCTGTCAGTTCACGACATAGTGCGACTGCCACCCAATGTCATCGTTGAGTATTTGTCCCCATGGCCATCAAGTTTGTCGACTCGGTGACCACGCTTAATGTTACCAGTATGACAATAATACCATAAGATGTCATTTGCCGATTCACTCCTGTGGAGCTAGAAACATGAATCCTACGCGAAGGCCTAAACATTGCTAAATTCGAGAAACGATCCACTCAGCTTGGAATGTCCCGTGTTCGATAGAACCTACAAAATCTAACGAAATTTCTGAAAAGGCTTACGCCTTCATTTACTGTATATTGTAAATGACGATTATTATTATTGTTATTTATATTATTAACCCAAATATTTTTCAGTTTTCAATTTCCGAGTGAAGCAGAATTAGCCTCGATAAAGTAGTGATATTTTGAGATTAGGGTGCAACGTCAATAAGGCATACATTTGCTGGAAATACTGGTAACATACATATACATAGAAAGTATAACAATTTATCTGAGATAGAGTGGAGAGAACAAAACTAACGCAAGTTAGTACACATTATTCATTAATAACTATTTCCACCTACTTAAAATCAGTGATTTACAGTAGATTTCTTTCGATCTAATTCAAAACATGTCTTCAGTCAAGCATTAATCAAGAAAATTGGGTTCTGGAAGAAACTATTTTGATGAACATGGGTAATTACTAGACCAATTATGTATTCGCAATCAACTTTGATTACTTTAAAGCATCAAAGTATCACATCACAATTAATGGTGAGATGAAAATAATCTTCCAGGAAGGTGAGCTGTATCGCTTTCTGACAGATTGTGGAGACTCAATAAGACGTATCCCACGAACGTCAGCTCAAAGAGAGATGAGTATGGCGAAACGATCCGATTACCCGGCGAATTCAGATGTACTGAAGCATGACCGTGGAGAGGGTTTTGGGATTCACTGGTCAGTTGACAGAGAGCGTTAGCAGAGTGATCTGGTAGGAGTATTTGTTTTCATGTGGTTGCATTCCTAAAGATGTTTCCTACTCGATTAGGGGACCGATTCACCAGATTTGGGGATAGTCCGGCCTGGGAAAGGGAGCTGAGCCGGATAATGGAGTAAAACTCTTTCTCCCTCTGAAGCTAACTCTTTGAAACACATACAACTTCCCCCTCGATGCTTAGTCATCTAACCACCAAAATTAAGGCAAAATCTTGAGTTGGCTAAAAGTTTTCACAGAGCTAGTTTTATTGATTTAAGTGTTCATTCATGTATGCATAGAAAAAGTTATATTATGCCACCCCTCTTCAGGTAATAATAAATAATAATAACAATAAATTTAACCTTGGTTGTATTGTGTTCTCTGAGCTGAGTTGTTTAATCGTGGACCTTTCATCTTCTAGCTAGACAGCGACATCATCAGCACCTAATTCAGTATGAAGTGACCTGTCAGTATTTCTCCATGAGTGTGGTTTTGCTCTCAATCCCGGGAACTCCAACATACAACATATCAAGAGAACTTTCAAGAAAACTGAAACACCCGGTTCAATCATGTGGACACTCCATCAAATCACCAACAGAATTCTTAGAAAACATCAAAAGCATTAATATGGAAAACGACGAATTAATGATATCCTTAGATGTCACGGCACCCTACACTTCAATCGAACCCCAATTGGCGAACGAAACGATGTCCCTCCAGCTCACTGAAGACACAACCCTTTCAGAAAGCATAAAACTTAAATGTTCAAGTCTGATGGAACTCACCGACCTTTGTCTGACAACATACTTCCAATTCAATGCCAAGATATACAAACAGATGAAAGAAACTCCCATGGGGTCACCGAAATCCGGACTAATTGCAAAACCAGTGATGTAGAGACTGGAAACCATCATTCTACCTGTGATTAAATCAGCATTGTGGATTCACTATATACATGATACTTTTGTCATCATTAAAAAAGATGGTATAGGAAACACTCACAGTTTCATCAACAACGTTTTCAGTGACATTAAATTCACAATGGAAACGGCGTCAAACAACCAACTACCATTCCTAGATGTTTCTGTTAATAGGACAAATGCCAGAAGGCTGGAAACCTAAGTGTACATAGAGGAAGCCAACACACACTGATCAAATACTCAACTACTGTAGCAACAACTCAACAACACTCAAAATCAGTTGCATGCAGACTCTATTAAAAAGATCGAGAACACACCACAGTACAGAAATGAAGAACATTACTGATGTTCATCATAAAGAAGAACGGCTACCCACGAAACTTTATCACAAGATGCCTATCCCATACATCATCAACTACAGAGTCATCGACAGAAATAAACAAAATACATCATACTACCATACATAAAGGATATATCAGAAATCACGACAAGATTACTGAGACCACCTGGAATTGGTGTGGCCACTCATCAACAAACAAATTCCATCCAAACCACATTATGCAGACCAAGGGACGCAAAGAAAACAAACCGAATATCATTTACAAAATCAACTGCAACAACTGTAGTCAACACTACATTGGACAAAGTGGTCACCCTGTTCGCCTTCGTCTACATGAACACCAATCGCCTACTAAATGTCACGACATTTCATCACTCATTTCAATGCATGCGGATAATCATGGAAATGTATTCAACCTCGACAATGCAGAAATCTTGGACGAAGGGAGGAAACACAAAAAATACCAGAAAATTCATAGAAGCTTGGCATTCATGCCAGTCAGTCAGCACTCAATAGATGTATAGACACAGACCCAGTCTATCAACCAATAACAAAAATGAGAAACAACAGAAAGTTCAGAGATCAAGCAGAAGAACGGCCAACAGGAAAATCTATGCAGTCAGTCAATGGCACAACAATCAAAGGAAACAACCAATCACAAACCAGTTCGTCAGGGCAAGCTACTAAATCACTCATGGAGAAATAATGACAGGTCACTTCATACTGAAGTTAGTACTGATGATGTCGCTGTCTAGCTAGACGATGAAAGCTCCACGATTAAACAACTCAGCTCAGAGACCACAATAAAACCAGGACCATCCACCTGAGCTACAAATATTCTCCACCATTTCAGAATAAACCTTCTTAAAGTACATCTCTGATAACATAAAGAAACTGGTGGTGGCTAGGAGTGAAATCCAGGAGGCGTACCCCATCCTGTTTAGGACGAGGCATCCACACGCGAGCTCGTAAGTCAACAGAGATCCATCAATTCAGTCCAATATAACAACGGGAAATTACAAGTATGTCAGTAAATAATAACAAGGAATGTGTGTTCTGAAACTAAATGTTTAACTACTAGTCTTACTAAAAGTTTTTCAGTCTGAATCTCGATGATTATTTTTCTAGTGCGTATAAGAACACCGTTGATGAATACCAATCATTGATACTTTTTCAATGATTTTGACTTGTACGAATCGTAATTGTTTATTATAACTGGATACTGGAGTTCCCAGCTTTCCTTATGACCTTTGAAGTCCATTAGAAAATATCCTGTAGTAACTAACTATCAGCTATGAAGAAAAAACAACAGACAATGTTTTTATGCACATGATTTACTATAAACAATTCAGCGGAATTTCGGTGAAGTAGACAGAATCAGCTTCTTAAAAGGAATACACCGACAGCTAGCAAGACGATTCTTTCTTTAAAAATACCTCTAAGGCTATCATTACTATATAAAGAGTGTAGATCAGCTTCTAAAATTCCTTTTTACTGAAACTATTTGTCTGAGACCAGAGCAAGAGTTGAGTTGAAGAAAGAGCTTTGATATAAACAACCCAGTGAAACGATGATTGGTATTAACATTTACTGATGTGAATCCGCCAATGATACATTTACATTCAACACTAATGAATCAAATTTTTACTGGAGCAATTGGAATCAGTATCAGTTGAACAATGGCTTTTACAAAAAAATACTTCATCGAAAGAATTCATTGGGTTAACACTTTGAACTAAAGCACACACCATTAGTCATCCTTGAGTAAGTAATCAATTCAAGCAATACAGTTGTACAAGAAGTTAAATGCGGCTTGGATAACTAGGAGATAACTTCTCTGACTGAAGCACTGAGCAATACTAATTGAAATCTCTGCAGGGAGGGGGGGGGGATCAGTTACCACCTCAAGGTTGAAAATATGTCTTGATGACCAGACAAGTACAAGCAACAACTTTCTCTCGATTACCAGCAATTGAATTTCTTTTGAATTAAAGTCCACCTGACAGCCTTGTGCACATTTGTGCAGTAGGTAATGAACCACAAATATTGTGTAGAAGTTATTGCTACTATCTAGTTACCCAAACCTCGATAGGTGGAGCAGGGTTCGTACTCGTGACTCACTGGTTACAAGTCACCTCCTTAAACTAATGAGCCACAGCTCAACAACTACATGTATACATCTAACACACTTTGAACAAGGCAAAGATAACCCCCTGAGATGATAAAGATTGACAAAATAGCTAAAATAAACAACAAATAACCATAGCGTTTACTTACTTCACGATGTTTGTACAATAATTCTGCTTTACTAAATAGTGGTAAATTCAATGATCGAAACAATAATGTTTCTTTTTCTCTTCTTGGTGTACTCCACGTTTTCTTATCAAACCATAACAACATATCTTCTATAGGAGTGACATCATATTTCTTATTCACCACAACATAAATTATCGGTTCTTCGCATAATGAATAACACATTGCACCAAGTATAAAATTTAATAGATTCATCTAGATGAAAAATGAAAAAAACAAAACAAATATTTTTGCATACAGAAAAGAAAGAATGGCGCATGAATGATAAAATTATGAAAAATTTGTATAAGTGGTCAACAGTTGGGTTTCATAGATCAGTTAGTTGAGGATCGTGAGAGGGTAACTCAGAGGCTACTGGTTCGAATTCTGTTGTTGCTTAAGTTTTCATTTCACCTTCAGTCAACACTTTATATCAATGGCATAAAAATAGAAATTTAAATCAAATCGAAAGGTACTCAGCAGTAGGCAACGAGCAATGCCTACTACCTGACCGCCTAAACCTTAGATGGTAGCCCGGGGCTCGAACCCGTGACCTAAGGGCAGAAAAGTAATTTTTCGATTAATCAGTCACAGCTTAAAAGTACCACAAAACCACTTATCTGTTGTAGTGGAATGCGATCGAAAAATACAATAAAGGTAGGACATTGCTTGTCGATTGTTACTAAAATTCAGAAAAAATGATGATCACATTGTAATTAGCTATCGATGGTGTAGGTGTAGTCAAGATTCCTGTTCCTTTTGGAACACCTGTAAAAACTCTGACTACGCTTCAGTAAGCGCTAAGTTGTTCCTGTGTTCTGGTTGTCAGTAGAACCGACATTCTAGATCGGTTGACCTGAACCAATCGATTCCTTTCCGTATTGCACATAAACCGAGGTAAACTCAAGGTCAGCTATCGAACCTTCAGAAAATATAGATGATCATACGGTGTATGTACAAGATAGTATGAATATGGTCAGTAAAACTGCTTCTGGTTTCCAAGAGAACCACACTAATAAACGGTATCTCTATAAGTCTTTTGCAAACTATCGATGGTCGTCCCCGAGGTGACTCGTTAATAAGGTGGTACGCTGACCAACAACCCTCAAAGATATGCAGAGTACTGAATACAATGATTATGCAGATGACACTGTTTTACTATGAGACTCAAACGCACTCAACCAATTAACAATCCGTATTCTTCACGCCACCAAAGTGCTTCTGTAAGTCTAGGAGAAGCCTACTTCTGTACTCTCACTTAGCAGTAAACTGTTGCATGACGCTAAATGTTTCTGTATCTTGGATGTTGTGTCGTTGATAGTGGAGGTGTGACTGATCATTCTTCCATCCATACATTGAGAAGGAGAGTGATCTACTTGGATCTACACAATCTCTCGCATGGTCCTGACGTTAAAGTCGTTATGAAAGGTGGAGTGTACAACGCGCCATTCCACTCTACCCGTGTGAAACCTAACCTCTCAGGGTAGAACATTTCTGACAATTCTACATGTCCCACAGAAGTCATCTCTCTAAGGTTTGTATCATCCGACTGAAACAGTATGCAAGCATTTCTATGGTGAGATGATAAGTGCCTCAGCTTCATAGACATCTTCATTCATTGAGTTAGGTCATTGTGAAATAATAACTATGGTGAGCTTCATGAGCTAAAAATATTGTTGCAGAAGTCCCCACACCGACCACTGTTTTGCTATCTCTGAGAGTGGTTAGACGAAGCAGATGGGTGATCAGTGCATATATAAAGTGGTACCGTCGGATGAAGGATAGTTGTGTTGGGCTAACATCTGTTGGCGCCTGACAACTCTCTGGATGAACTTCGAGAGGATAGCAGATAAGCTTTACAATCAAAACTACTAGCGATCACGCTATAGTTTTCCTGCCTCTTTGGTCATTGTAAAGTAAAACTAGTGAACATTTGAAATACTTACTAATCAAAAGCTGTCTCTGGTAAGAATATACTTCAAAATAATGTTTTATTTCTTCAGTAATTTCCTTTCATTTGGTTGTGGTCCTAAGTAGTGAATACATTGAATTGAGAGAATTGCCACTCACTAGACGGGATAATCAATCAGTCATCGAGTAATTCATTTTATTTGAGCTCGTCTCCGCCTAGATGATATAAGGCAGTCAAGTAGCAATCTTTGATAGCCTAATAAACAAACTAGTATACTGCTAGTATCGCTTAAAGGTGTTCGATTTTCTCAAATAAAATGTGACTGACTTCATTTAAAAAAGTGTCCAAAATAAACACACATTGATAGGTATTATGAGAGCAGAACATTTGTCGGTTGTGAAAATGTATTGCGCAATAATTTATGGCATTAATCAGCCAGAATGATGAGCATAACTGCTTTGTTCAAACATAATCTAAAATTATGCAACTTTCAAACACTCTTAAAATAAACTACTTCAATGCTTAGTGATCTGTTCACAGAAACTTGTAAATTTAAGCTAGTCAATACATGTATCATAAAAGGTTCTTTGCTAGATTTGTGAGAATTAGAGTCATCATAACGTATCAATAGTACCAGTTTGCTAAAGTTTAGTTATTATATACGATAATCCGATCAAAAGTCAACATAACGCTACTTCTCTTTAATTCAGCTCGTTTTAATGAGAAGTTCTAACTGGGCAAATAATAAGATTCCGCGATCCAAATCTTCATTTCACCTTCAATCATCACCCAATATCAATACTAGTCAGCCAAATCATGACTATCGCAGATAGTCAAATGATAATCAGTGTGATGCTACCCCTCCTCACTAATTCAGTTATATTTGGAGTGGGATGAGAAGTTTAAACTAGGCAGCCAGTATGAATACGATCAATTGGTAGTAATGCATCACGGATTTATATGGTAATCGCGCAAAACCCATGGTGATTGAAGTAAAACAAAAGTTTGATCAGCAGTCGGACCTCATAGCTTAGTTGGTAAAGCATTGGGCTGGAAACACAGTGGTCGCTGATTGAAATCCGGTTGAGGTCCAAATATTCATTTTACTTTCTACTATCACCCAGTATCAATACTAGTCTGCCAAACTGCCAAGACTCTCAGTGACTGAAGGGAAGTTAGAACTTGATCAGTAGCTGGGTAGAGTGTCGGGTTACTGATTCGAATCCTACAGTAACTCAGGTTTTCATTTCACTTTCCATCATTACTGTGTGTCTCATAAATACTCATTAGTAAGTCAAGTACATTGATTATTAGCCTTTGAATGCTGAAAACAAAACATCTACCATGAAGATGACTATCAATTACAAAACGATCAGTGGATTTAAAGATTTAAATGTAATCCGCATAAGGAGTAAAACTTACTTCAAAAAGGCAAAAATTAGTAAATTGAAGTAAAAATCACAAGGTGTATCCACTCTTCTAAAATCTCAAAGTACAGAATGAGTTAACGTGCAACAGAGTGATCAATCAGTCTTTTAATCACTTCCTAACTGGTCTTTTTTTCAAAGGGTGAGTAAATTAGCATAATCATACTCATACTGGGTGATGATTGAAGGTGAAACGAAAATTTGGACCGCAGCGGGATTCGGACCAGCAGCCACCAGGTTATCGGCCCGGTGGTAGCTGGTTCGAATCCCGCCGCGGTAGAAATTTTCATTTCACCTTTAATCACCACCCAGCAACAACACAAGTCTGCTAAACTACGGTTATCTCAGATTATCAAAATGATAATCGTATTCTTTGGAATGTGTTCGGTAATCCTGATAGATAACCATCTCTCTGTCCATGCTGTGTACTTCCTATTGCATGCACATGTAAACTGATAAATCCAGTTGAAGTTAACAAGTGTTGGAACTTTGTCTAATTTAGATTGTTTAATTCTATATGTTGTTTGACACAAGGAAACAAGTCTACCAGGATTGCAGAGTATATTGCTAGTGTCAACGCCTTAGAAGTCTATAATCATAATCATTAAGGACAGGTTATGGTGAGGAACTGATAAATTACCAAGTCTAAGATATCATCTACATCGGTTATCCATTGAGTGCTCTTCGGTTTACTGGCTGATTTCAGTTCACTGTGGATACTCTGAAATAATATAACTATAACTTGTTTGTTATGACTACCACCTGCAACTCGTCCAGAAATACCACCAGCGACCCAGCCACAGAACTATCAGTGAATATAGACCCTTCGACAAAAGCAGAAGTGAAGTCCTGAACGCCACAAAGTTGCTGAAAACCGGGAAGGCAGCAGGACCAGATGGAATTCTTCGAGAAGTACTGAAAACAGACACAGAGGCATAAGTGGAAACGTTCACATCACTATTACAGAAGCTTTGGAAGAAGGGCTACTTTGTCAAACTGCAAAACAAGGGCGACCTAAGACTTTCCAAGAACCGGCGCGGAACCATGCTCCACCCGTGTCCGCCCCAAGCAAAATATTAAGCCACATCATCCTGGAAATACTATAAATGCTCTGGATTCAAAATTACAAACGGCACAGGATGGCTGGCTTCAGGGAAAATCGTGTGCTCATAAAGTTGCAATGTTGCGCTACGCAACATCACTGAACAGAGCAAAGAATGGCAGTCAACTCAGCTAAACCTCAACTTCACCGACTTTCAAAAGGCCGTCGATAACGTCTATAGGGAAGTAATTTCGAAACTGCTTCAACACTACGCTTTTACTGCCACAAACCTTCATCTACCTCATTCAACAGCTATATACTAGCTATGTGACGATGCTACATACCAAGTGATTCACAATGCAAACCTCAGTCATGCCTATGAAATGAAGACAGGAGTAAGAGAAAACAAGGTCGCCTACCATCATCACCGATCACCTTCCTGATTGTAGTCGACTAGACTCGACTGCATCACGCAACAAACTGTAACGAGCGAGAAGATGGACATACGCTGCTTCACCTATGAAAACACCCCACAAGAACATTCCGATTTCGACCATCATGATTCATCTCTAATGTCTGTCGCACAAACTCGAAGATCTACACACAAAAACTAACAAGTTGCCAGAAGATGCAGGGCAGTGAAGGAAAACCACACTACACTCCAGGTGAACGTAGAGAAGACAGAGGTGATGAAGATACCCAACCAACAACAACAACAAGCACCAATCACCATCAACGGGACAAGTCTAAGGAAGTTGTCCCTTTCATCTACTTAAATACCCACCTAGGCAACATCTTCTCAACTGCTCGCGGCACAGGCACAGACCAACACGTCAAAGCCAGGATCCGAAAGAAAGCAAGACTCCCCTTCATCAATCTGAAATTAAGTCAGTGTGCAGATCTACTCCACTCCACTCCACTCCACTCCACTCCACTCCACTCCACTCCACTCCACTCAGCATAAAACGTGAACCACGTCCAGATTTTCAACACCAATTCACTCAAGTAAGTCAGTGCTTCCATGTTATAGTTCACAGACTCGGTGCGTTACGAAAAGCATTTCCAACAAACTACAGACATACATCAACAGCTGCCATCTACACTCACTCAATACTGAAGATCGGATGGTTGACCACAATAATGAGAATAAGCAACAAGGAAATCTGGCTGTCTGTCTGTCTGTCTGTCTGTCTGGCAACGAACCAACCAACAACCCATTGCCCAGCAAATATACACAAGAAGAAAGTGGAGATGGATTGGATTCGACTAGACATACACTTAAATGACCATTTCGGGACATCACGCGTCATGCCGTCGAGTGGAACTGAAATGGGAAACGACGAGTTGGGCGTCAGAGATGAGGGTGACATGGAGGAGATGGTGTGAGGAAGAAATGAACGCATCTGGGTAGTCGTGGAGCCAGGTTTGAAAGACTGCAGAGGACAGAGTGGAATGTCGACGTGCAACTGAAGTCCTATGTTCCACTAGTAACCCAAAGGACAAATAATAATAATTTGTTTGGTGTACATACACTAAACTGCTTCGATCTGTGATACACATGTAATATAAAAATCTAAAATAAGGTCATATATTCATATACTTACAAGAGATTTCATTCGATTGGACCTTCTAGGTTTTGATAGCTCATAACCTGTGCTCAAAGAACAAATGACCAAAAGTGAACAACGTATAGGTGCTAGATTATGATGAATCGACAAGTTTATAGCATTACTTAACGCCAGTAAATATTTATCCAATAGCGCTTGATTATAATTCAATGGCCTGATAGAAAACAACAAAATTCAACAAGTTATTTCACATTTTTTAAAATGAATAATTTCACTTATAAGTTGTTCTTTCAGATATTTTAACCAACAATAAATTAATCATTAATGAAACATATGACGACCTGCCTGAACCTCGAGTTACCGCGATTTTCCACCGAACATATACACTAACTTCTTTTCTTTCAGTGTTTTAATCATTTGAATATGTTCTCTGAAGGTATCATATACTCTTGTACATTTTTAAAGTGTCTTCAACGAGTCACTTCTTAGGTTCATAACAAAAAGAAGAAAAAATATCATGTTAGATGGAAATAGACTTTTTATCATATTTCTAATTCTCGGATACTTATAGCGTGAATTGCAGATTCTTGTTATGGCTGAATGAACTGCCATCGCTAAACTTACGCTCATTTTTCTATCCATTCTCCATTCCAAACTAGAGGCTAATCCAACATCAGCTGGATGTTTCACATTATTATCTCTAATACTGTTACTATTATCATTCAGATGTAATAATTAATCATTTCCTTTGAAAATATTTTTCTCGGAGTGACTTTGTTGAAATATTACGTATGGTTAGAATTCCATACTGTTTCATATATACTGTTAGGAATACATCGATTATATTGTTTATCATTTGACTATCTGAGATAGCCGTAGTTTCGCAGACTAGTATTTATACTGGGTGATGATTGAGGGTGAGGTGAAAATCTGGACCGCGGCCGGATTCGAACCAGCAACCACTTACTTAACGTTTGAGTACCACCGTTTAAGAAATAGCTTCTTTTTATGTAGCCGTTTCAATTGTACTTTACTTCTTTCTCGACGTATATCTACAAGAAAAAAGGAGCAACTGTAGTAAGATTTCATTTGACTATAATAATTGTCAATTACATGTACTTATCTTGGACAACGTTGTAAAGGTATAATTCACTCATTTACGCACTTGACTTTCAACAAGTGGGCCACACGTTTGAACCCAGCTTTGAGCACAGTTAATATCACTAGCCCTCAGACACAAAATGTGATCCATAGCCTTGTGCACGAACCCTCACAAGTTTGCTAAGTTGTCGTAGTTTACTTGATGGATAGCAGTGGAATCACAAAGGTGTGTCTCGTTCTATTTTAGACTCATCAGCTAGATGTGTCTGCAACCTAGTGAGTAATGTTATTCCCACAGAGACTCGAACCTCGTACCCATTGCTTCAAACGCCAAAGAGCTATCCATTAGACCACTAAGACAGAAAAGTCAACTCTTGTGCGATGGATATCAGTTATTACATACCGACAACTATAATTTTTCGTTGCTTTACTGTGTCGAATTTCTCGGCATTTGTGGGCAGATGGGTTCTTATCTGGATACTTAAATACTGCTTCAGCCTTTATTATACTGTAGTTTACTTGGTTGTTTGAAGTGTATTTCTTTTTTGTTATTTTATTTTTGGCATATGCAACACAACAACTACGAACAAGTTTGCTGAAAAATTCTGTCATAAGCCAAAACACTTTACCTTATAACTTAAATGCCAAATTTCTAATGCTGATTCTATCAGAAAAAAAACTAACATCGCTAGCAAAGTAAAGAGAAACAAGAAAGGTTGCTAAGCACAACTGGAAAAAAAGGACGATGAGTAGTACAGGACTTCCGAAAACATTTATCTCATCAAGTGCCGATAAAATCTTATCTAATCACCTCAACAATCCTTCATAAGTAATCACAAAGTTAGAAAATTATCTCTGACAAAAAATCACCACAAAAATGTCAAACACAAAGTTTACTTTGCAGTCACAGGTTACAATTCTTACAAGTTAGTTATTCGTTAAAAAAGTTAATGAAGTAATGAGCCCATCCCCGTCCTCCCCCCTTTCAGCTCCTATCCAAAAAACGAAATTACACAATTCACACAACATACTTACGTTTTACTCGTTGTAAGTAAGTGTTGATCGAAAGTTTCTCTTTTAGCCTTTCAATAGTCATATACGCCGTAAGGTAAGTAATGGGCAATTGTCTACCTTTTATGACCAACTCCTAAAAATTTTAAGAAAAAGAATTACATTTGAGTCGGTCAGTTAAAACAAAATCAAAAACAAACTTCCGGGTCTACCTAACGTCCAGGGTCAATGAGATACCAAGTGAAAGGAACTGCTCAAAGTGTTACTTCTCCTCAGTTATAGGCTGTAAACACATTTCGAAGAGCGTACAACTGAGGCGAAGTAACACTTTGAATAGTGCAACCACTCAGCGTCTGATTGACACTGGACACGAAGCAGACATCTTCAATCCGTTTAAGATAATAAACATTTTTGAAGCAATACAATTAAAATTAGATGCCATTTTCCTTAGTGAAGATATGCACTTTACTAGATATGTGCAGGAAATTTTGCTTCAATGAATAATAATCGATTCATTGGTCTAATCACTCGACTTTCAACCGATGGGATACGCCTTACAACCTACTCGAAGTCTAGGTAACCAGTATGTGTGGCTTATTGCCAACTGTATGATTGCGTGAGTAGTTGGCTAAATAGATTTCTAACTTCGACAAATAGAAAACAATAAGATTGTTAAAACTAGTGGATAGTAATGTAAACTGAATAAAAATGAAGGTTTTTGATTGGATAACGAATTGTTTATCATGAAAAAATACCTAAGGAGTGAACTGCTATCAAACGGAGCATAGTAAGGGGTAGTGGTTTAACAAGTTAAAAATTAGAATCATGATGTTTTTGAGTTATCACATATTGTAATGCTTCTTACCATATCTGATACGTTGAACATTTTCAATGCAATACTTCTTTGAGAATGCGTTTCTACTAAGAAACAGGCTAAACCAATAGAAAGTGTTGATGAGCCTATCTGAGACAACTATGCCTATCTATAATAGTCTTCATGGAATGCAGGGTAATGATCGGTGTTGAAACGAAGACCTGGGATTCGAACCTTCAGCCAACGGAGGATTAAACCAATGGTCTACAAACTGAGCTACGGAACACAAGCCTCGGTCACAGCAGTATCTAGAAGCTCAGTTAGTGTAATGTGTAGGTGGCAGTCTAGAAGGTGCCTCTCTAAATCCTGCTGTGACTCAATTTACTGTTTTAACTTTAATCATCACATGAGTAACAAATTATTGGAAGATAAGCTACGCTTAAATATATTTTACTCATGGCATTAAATTCAAGCTTCTGATATATTACAGAAAACAATCTCCAATGTACATTGAACGAAAATATTTGTGGTATTTTCAAGCAGGAAGATACAAAAGTGGGGACACATCAGTATTTCATAAGGACAACAGAATATCAACCTATTATTGTCTACCAGGGAAGTAGAAATAACCATTACGTTGATTGAACTAATGTACTGCAATATCTGTTGCATAAAGAGAGCAGATTGTTCCCTTTAAGAATTTCAATTCACCAATAGTAGAACGAAGGAGAAACAGGCTTACACTAACAGAAAAATCACGCGCCGAACAATCTTAGGAATAGATGATTAAATTGGAGGTGATATACATTACTCTATTAGTTGGACCTCTGAGTCCCCTTTGAGACTGAAACTCGCATCACCCAGTACTGAGCTATTCAAACTGAGTGCATCACTAAATGATGCGGGTTCGAATCCCAGAGGGTATACCACTCCTCTTGATGTTGCAGATACACCTTGTTGACGAGTGCAAACAACAGCAAAACTTGTGTCCAGAGCTATTTGGCAATTGCCTCTAACCATCTGGTATCCCATCAAAGTGCAAAGCGATGGTGAGCCTTTTCGCTTGATGACCACATTGTGAAATGACTGACGGAATCTGGTCAGCACTTAGGTATAGACAACATGAAATAAGTTGCTATTCATTGGCCAACCAATGTACACACTATTTTTTCAGAAAGTGATCAACGAAAAAGAAATTGACACAAGTCAGCAAGTACGCAACCTAGTTTCATGGTCTTCAGCTGACTGAATCCGAACAACGAAATATATTGCATCGCGTTGTTGGATTACTGAGGCTAGTCACAACAGTGTCAACTGGATTGAAAACGTCCATCAGTATTCAGCATATGACAATCAAACACCTATAGCTGTAACCATTCAACGAACGATTCGTGCATAGATTGAGGTTAGGCAGTTTATTGCCTGATCATAATTTCGTATTTGTCAGCTGGATTTACGATGGGACATGACAAGACATAATATCAAAATAAACCCGTTGCACAAGGAGTAGTTATCATGACTAATTAGCCTAACGTTTGAAACGACAAATGATAGGTTCCACCCAAAGCAGGAAAAATATCATTCACTAAGATACAGACACACATAGCTGACGAATCCAACAAAGGGTAAAACGCATGTCCCGGATTCAACTATCTCATTACTACTATAAACATATCCATCGGTCCAAGTAAACTATCACCGATCATCTATCTGATTGTAGTCGACTAGACTCGACTGCATCACGCAACAAACTGTAACGAGCGAGAAGATGGACATACGCTGCTTCACCTATGAAAACACCCCACAAGAACATTCCGATTTCGACCATCATGATTCATCTCTAATGTCTGTCGCACAAACTCGAAGATCTACACACAAAAACTAACAAGTTGCCAGAAGATGCAGGGCAGTGAAGGAAAACCACACTACACTCCAGGTGAACGTAGAGAAGACAGAGGTGATGAAGATACCCAACCAACAACAACAACAAGCACCAATCACCATCAACGGGACAAGTCTAAGGAAGTTGTCCCTTTCATCTACTTAAATACCCACCTAGGCAACATCTTCTCAACTGCTCGCGGCACAGGCACAGACCAACACGTCAAAGCCAGGATCCGAAAGAAAGCAAGACTCCCCTTCATCAATCTGAAATTAAGTCAGTGTGCAGATCTACTCCACTCCACTCCACTCCACTCCACTCCACTCCACTCCACTCCACTCCACTCCACTCCACTCCACTCCACTCAGCATAAAACGTGAACCACGTCCAGATTTTCAACACCAATTCACTCAAGTAAGTCAGTGCTTCCATGTTATAGTTCACAGACTCGGTGCGTTACGAAAAGCATTTCCAACAAACTACAGACATACATCAACAGCTGCCATCTACACTCACTCAATACTGAAGATCGGATGGTTGACCACAATAATGAGAATAAGCAACAAGGAAATCTGGCTGTCTGTCTGTCTGTCTGTCTGTCTGTCTGGCAACGAACCAACCAACAACCCATTGCCCAGCAAATATACACAAGAAGAAAGTGGAGATGGATTGGATTCGACTAGACATACACTTAAATGACCATTTCGGGACATCACGCGTCATGCCGTCGAGTGGAACTGAAATGGGAAACGACGAGTTGGGCGTCAGAGATGAGGGTGACATGGAGGAGATGGTGTGAGGAAGAAATGAACGCATCTGGGTAGTCGTGGAGCCAGGTTTGAAAGACTGCAGAGGACAGAGTGGAATGTCGACGTGCAACTGAAGTCCTATGTTCCACTAGTAACCCAAAGGACAAATAATAACAAAAAAAAGTGGTATGCATCGTAATGCTCTTGTTTTTGAATAGAATATGTTAATTTTCTTGGATAAAAACATTACTCTTTCTTATCAAGGATGCATCTAAACGTTTCTTATCATAGGGTTGACCATTATTCACGGATCAGTCTGTTTGATGAAAGTATTTCTAAAAAACGTAACCGGGAAGTCAGCTTGATAACATAATTAGCTTTCTTAAAAACTCAACAGCCACTGAAGGACTAATAAAGTGCGACAACTAGAACTATGAAACCGAAAAAACCCATTAATAACCATGATTTTTTATAAATTAAAAACTTACTAGCTTTGATAAGCTCTGTAAGATAACATCATGTTGTATTTGAGAGATGTTGGAGGTTATAATACTTTCTAGATTTTGGAGAATTGTCGAATGGGAAAGCTTCTCGCTTGCTAAATCATGATGAAAAACAGAAAAATAATTGATATTGAAAGACGAAAGTAAATCTCAGAAATTACAGTCAACGAAAGGCCTAACCGAAAAAGCAGAAAAGGACCTAGTCATATCACTAGAGAAACTGAAAGGTAACGGATACATTTCATCAACCTTATTTGAAAATTTGAAGCCTATACGCAGTACGATTCCACGAATGTCTGGTCTACCAAAAATATACAAACCTGAAGTGCCTCTTCGTCCCATCCCAGACATGACCAACTCGCCTTACCACGCTATCGGCTAAATGGTCAGTACGATTACTTCAACCTTTTCCTGACCAATTAGTAAAATATAACGTGAACGATACCTTCCAGTTTGTAGACAAAATAAAAAACTTGAATGTTTTACATAAATGCATAGGAACCCCAGATGTCATATCTTTATTTACTAACATACCTCTAATGGAAACCATCGACTTCATTTGGGAACAATTATTAGAAAGAAAATTACACATCGGCATTCTGATTATGAATCCGAAAGAACTATTGCTAAAATGTACAATGAATGTCCAGTTCATCTTCAACAGTAATCTGTACAGACAAGTTGATGGAGTGACTATGGGATCTCCATTGGGACCAATATTTGCAGACATATTTTTGGCAAAATTACAAAATGGTCCTTCGAAACATCAAATTGCTAATATATGGAATTGTACTGTCGATGCATGGATGATAATTTTTTAGTCTTTCATAAGCGCATATTCATTAATTCCATTCTGAACCATTTCAACAGTGTTCATCCATCAATTCACATTACATACGAAAATGAAATTAATGATTCCATACATTTTCCTGATATGTTAATGACAAGAAACAACAATGGCTCTATACTCAGAAGCATATATAGAAAACTAACGTCTAAGGCACAGTATACGCACTTTCTCAGCTTCCTACTAATGAAGTACAAACGCAATATAATCAGGTGTATGGCTTTCAGAGTAAGGTCGATCTTTTCCAATCAGTGTATGGAAAAGAGCTAAAGTGTATCCATGATATTCTAAGTGAAAACGGATATCCGGATAAGTTCATCTAAACTAACATCAACAACCTTGGTCCTAAACGAGAACTGATAACAGTAGAGAAGTCTTTGTTTCTACGCTTACAATTCAAGGGAGAGGTTGCAAGTGACATTCTATCACAACACCTAACTAGAGCAATCAACAGGACGTTTTATGCAGGTCGGCTTTGGATATCATCCAGTAGTCAGTCAATGCTCAATCCGAAACTAAAGAATAGTCTACCTATTCTTAGCTCTTCATCCTGCATATATCAATTTAACTGTTCCTGTGGAACACGTTACATACGACGTAGGATTTAGGCAGGTGCACCTCCGGATACGACCGTATTTACCAGCTTGGTTCGGAAATGGTGAAGTGAAAGTAGTGAAAAGTTCAGTCCTAGCGCATCTAGTCGACACACGACACCACATAGATGCTAATCAAGCTTTCAATATCAGTCATTGTGTTCCAAAAACTACACCACATGTAGCTCAATAAAGCCTGCTCAACATAGCCGAAGGCTATTGCAATAAGATTAATCAAGCCTGAACTCTGCATTCAGAAATATCTCTCCTGGACTTCAGAAAACTAAAGGCTACTCCTGCCATTTTATTCCTTATCTTTCTGTTCATCATTATATCATTCTTCTGTATATGTATCAACCCAATATTGACTCATTTGAAAAAGATGAATCAATTTTTTTACAGTCCCTAGATCTCACTCCATTTTGAAAATGTAACTGCCCGAAACATGGCTTGTTTTTTTACGCTTTACAAATGCATTTTATAATTGTGGAACCTGGAGAGAATTTATTGAAAAGAATATTTTTTGTTCAGGTTGTTGCTCCTTATAATCATGAAAAAGTTTGATTGTTGAACTACAATCGACTCAAGTTAATAGATTCAGTGTTCCGCCACTACAGAAATCAGAAATGGTGGGTAACTTCACAAAGTATTATTAAACATTCAAGATAGCAGTACTGAGGGATACACAATACTGTATTATTTGAGCTTATGAACAATATTAGAAACCAACTGGTTGAACATGGTAACGTATCAAACCGATTTAGCCTTATTTGACAGTTAGAGTTTGTCTTCAAAGACTTTTAGACGTCAATATTAGCTCTTTCTGCAACACAACCATGAATAGTCACAATGTCAGAAATCTACCTCAACATTGTGCTTCCTCCGCCTAATTGTGTACCAGCTCTGGAGTGCTATCTTTTTATGTATTGCGGACGCTTAGTTTACTGCAGAATATAACACAAAGTGTTTGGTGTTTCAAAAGTATGCACTTGAAATGATAATATCTTCAATCATAACATTTAAAGTAAGCGAATCCAGTGAATCCTTTCTAGTCTTCAATTCCTATTATTAAGTAGTACAGTGAATAAAAGACAAGCCTCTTTTCAAGTTGAGTTAAAAAGTCATTAAATTTTATAATATACAAGTCAATGAAGAGAACTCTATACAGTGAGTTTGTTTTCAAAGCTCTACGGTAGTACATCAATAACTATTACTGCTCCGACAACATTCAGTTTCAGTTCAGAAGTAAACCTGCCAAAATTACTTATGTATCCCTTGAGGCTGACAATCCTAAGAAGTTAGACAACTACACAGCAATAACGAAGCAACGATATGTTGTAACCAGACCCCAACCATTTATCTGATACACTTGAGAGTCCGTGACATCAATTAAATGCTTCCAATAAGTTAATGATTTCTTTCCACTTTCAAAACGCTATTGCATCATCAGTTGTAATCAGATATTCAGCTTTCTGTTCAATAGGTGTAGGTTAAAGTCCATTCAAAACTATAAAACAAGCCAGGCATAAAATGCTACTTTCTAGCTAGCAAAGGAATTTAGAACGCATATTTCATCTGATTTAAGACATCATCAAGCGAATAATCTCCTAAGGAAACTTGAGGCGATGTCATTTGCAACGGCCCGGTATTATAATGAACGAGAAATTACAGGTATCAACAAATGAGGTATTAAACGGTTACATTTTGCCCATATCTACCTCCTTTATTCTGAGTATATGAGTTCTGATGCGAACAAACTTAGGTCTACAGCCTCTTAGCAACTCCTTTGAGAAAGACAGACAGTCTGTGTAATATACAACAATTGAAATTTTGCAAAAACATCTGGTAGCCAAATCTTTAAGCTAAACATGATATTATCTGGACTGTATTATGTGAAACCTTTTTCACAGCCGTAGAATTATAGAAAATTAATTTAGCACTAAACAAAGAGATTTCAGTACATGTAAATAAGAACGTCAGTGGCCTATGTGCGTGAGTAATACAATGAAGTGACATCGAATTAAATAGCCTTCTATTAGAGTGACAAAAAGCATGTTGACTCAATACCTTGTTGCGTCGACCGAGAAGCAATCTGAAAACTGCTTCAACACTACGCTTTTAGTGCCACAAACCTTCATCTACCTCATTCAACAGCTATATACTAGCTATGTGACGATGCTACATACCAAGTGATTCACAATGCAAACCTCAGTCATGCCTATGAAATGAAGACAGGAGTAAGAGAAAACAAGGTCGCCTACCATCATCACCGATCACCTTCCTGATTGTAGTCGACTAGACTCGACTGCATCACGCAACAAACTGTAACGAGCGAGAAGATGGACATACGCTGCTTCACCTATGAAAACACCCCACAAGAACATTCCGATTTCGACCATCATGATTCATCTCTAATGTCTGTCGCACAAACTCGAAGATCTACACACAAAAACTAACAAGTTGCCAGAAGATGCAGGGCAGTGAAGGAAAACCACACTACACTCCAGGTGAACGTAGAGAAGACAGAGGTGATGAAGATACCCAACCAACAACAACAACAAGCACCAATCACCATCAACGGGACAAGTCTAAGGAAGTTGTCCCTTTCATCTACTTAAATACCCACCTAGGCAACATCTTCTCAACTGCTCGCGGCACAGGCACAGACCAACACGTCAAAGCCAGGATCCGAAAGAAAGCAAGACTCCCCTTCATCAATCTGAAATTAAGTCAGTGTGCAGATCTACTCCACTCCACTCCACTCCACTCCACTCCACTCCACTCCACTCCACTCCACTCCACTCCACTCCACTCCACTCCACTCCACTCAGCATAAAACGTGAACCACGTCCAGATTTTCAACACCAATTCACTCAAGTAAGTCAGTGCTTCCATGTTATAGTTCACAGACTCGGTGCGTTACGAAAAGCATTTCCAACAAACTACAGACATACATCAACAGCTGCCATCTACACTCACTCAATACTGAAGATCGGATGGTTGACCACAATAATGAGAATAAGCAACAAGGAAATCTGGCTGTCTGTCTGTCTGTCTGTCTGTCTGGCAACGAACCAACCAACAACCCATTGCCCAGCAAATATACACAAGAAGAAAGTGGAGATGGATTGGATTCGACTAGACATACACTTAAATGACCATTTCGGGACATCACGCGTCATGCCGTCGAGTGGAACTGAAATGGGAAACGACGAGTTGGGCGTCAGAGATGAGGGTGACATGGAGGAGATGGTGTGAGGAAGAAATGAACGCATCTGGGTAGTCGTGGAGCCAGGTTTGAAAGACTGCAGAGGACAGAGTGGAATGTTGACATACAACTGAAGTCCTATGTTCCATTAGGAACTCAAGGGACAAATAATAATAATAATATTATCATAGTAACATAACACAATTTAGAACTTATTAATGATGGATAGTGGCTAGGAATAGAATCCAGGACGTGCGTTCTATCCTATTTGGAATTCGTTAGCTGGATGTACCTGCCTTCCAGTGAGCAAGGTTATTTCCACTCAAAACTGAAACCCGAGCCCGATCGCTTTAAACACCGCTAGACCATTAAGTTACGATACAAGCAACATCATAAAAGTAAAAAACTATTAATCAGATGTAAAACAGAATATTATGGATGACACACGAAGCAATGACCAGTAAATAAGTGTAAGTCTGTAATTCTACGCTGAATAATGGTCACTTAATCACTTATGAACTTCACTTCTATTAAAGCCTTAAAATAGTCTTTGATAAAAAGCCGAAACTTAAGCCATTCGAGATATAAAAACATACTCCAGATAGTAAACTAACCAATAAAAAGATAGAACACTTAGATATTAGCAGGTAAATAAAAGTGACTATCGAAGTAAAAGATAGTTTAGCCTTTTACAAGCCGTCAGATTTGTGCTCTCTCTCTCTCTCCCTCTGGTATTCCTTTTAACTATAAGGAATACACTGATTCACATTATTTCCAAAAGAAACGGAGATAGTAACCATTAATAGGTGAGATTAGTCTGAATCATGTTGGACGTAGGAAAGTATTAAACCCCTTCTTACTTACAGGATGGTTACACAACCACATCCGCACGGTGTTAGACAATTTGTTTAGATGGAAATATAGTGTTACATTTCCATTAAACCGGTAGCTGCCACCTTGATGTGATGGCCGAACTTTTATATCACAATGGCCCAACGAGCTACACTGGTTGGAACACTCATCCCCTAGAGGTCCTACTATGCCAGAAAGGTCTGCTGGATGACAGTGGTAGGAAAATAAGCAGTAACTGTTATAGCGTAAACTACCACGCTATGATGGCGATCCGAGGCCGAAGTTGTACTGCTGGCTAGATTGCATGTGACAGCAGCAAGGTGGTTCGATTGGATGACCGCCAGTATCATGTTGATTCTATCTTTCCTATGGGAATAGAGGTCAAAAAGGTTGGGTTCAAAAGTAGAACACCCCTTACTGTCCTGTCGTAGTCTGGTGCCGTAGTTTTCCTATTCGTCATTAGTACGATCAAATGTGAATACAACAATCTTAAAAAGTTCGTATGTGACAGGTCTCAAGCAGATGTCTCATGAGCTCTGTAGTCACAAAAATATTTTTTTCTTTCAAGTATCTCAAGAAGAAATACTCTTGCATGGTGTGTACAGCTGGGAAGTGAAAAGCCAGCAGGATTCGAGTAATATTCAAGATTCATGTGAGAATATAAGTCAAGTAACAGCTTCTTTCTAGACCGTTCGGTCATATGACTTCGTGAAATTCTTCTTTCAGAATTCTAGACAAAGTCAACTCGAATGGGTGCACGCCTATCAATTATGGATATCAGAGGTGCTGGCAAGTCAGTAATTAAATCCTAAGATGTGACTACGGAAAAGAAATATCCAATCCTTCATGTTTCTGCTTTAATCCCTTCAATGTTCAACTTACTCGTATTGATTGTGATTTACTCTCCTTCATCTATACGAGTTAGTTTCAACTTCTCATTTCTTCGAGTTTTTCAGTTTTTTTGGAAATTAGCTGTAGTCGGTTGCATGCTTTTTCTTCCACACACGTTATCATTACGTAATCCTTTAAGAAAATTCGTTTTTGGTGAATTTGCAGCACCAAGTAATTACCCACTATCGGCTCGATGAGATTCAACATTGATGCTGACCTTAGTAGTTTTAACGGACTCACTAAGCTGAAGGCAGACCGTCAAGCATTCGCACCATTTGGTGAATTATCGTATTAGGTGGCGCTGTTCGTATGAGATCCTCTAGACAGTTTTTTGGAATGCATCGGCATTATTTCTTGGTCTTATATTCGTAGGTATATTACACGTACAAACAATTGATGATTGACCCCTGCATCCGTCGAGTTCGCATAAAATCATTCCCTAAAATCTAAAACTGATTGACTTATTAGCCAGTAATAGATTTCCACGTTTTTTATATCCGTAAATACGATCGTGGAGATAGTGAGAATGATTCTTTGCGAAGAAAATATTCTTCGCTGGAATTACTTACCATTGTATTAGATTTCTCACAACCTGAGTCGCAGCAGCTTAGTGGTTTAAGGAGATAACTATCAACTATTGGGTCACAGGTTCGAGCCTCACGGCGTCTACCGACTTTCAGGCAGCTTAGTAGTAAAACTAGATCTCACACGATGGGTGTGGCTCATTGCCTACTGTACGGATGTGTACAAGGTGGCTGAGTGTACTAAAGATATTACGCGTCACTTGGTCGCTTAAAGATTCTGGTAGATGGCTAGTTATATCATGGTAAATACGGATGGATAGACAGGCATTTATCCTATGCCTCAAACACGAAATAGGAAGCTAGTGTTAGTAAAAAGTAAGCTTCCAGTGAACAACCTCTAAAACTTATTGCTAGTAGTACTTATTACATGGCCATCTTCAGTGAGTATATGGCGTAAACTGACGCTTGATTAAGATTTTCTAAATCATCTTACATTAACCTCCTGACGTCTGTTCAAGATGTATAACTTTTGATTACGACATACTAAGTTATATACATTGCAGTATGATTACGGCACCAGTTTCTAACTAAAACTGTTTGCTTACACTAAGATATAATTGAAATACGCAAAGGTTGAAGCTTATACCTCATTCATAATAATAATAGAAATTACAGGTTTCCTCTAATCATCAGAACTCTTACAAATAGATAACTCCTTTTTCCATGTTGAATTGCCAGGAAGTCTCATACGTAATCCAGCCTTTGAAGCATCCCATTCGCCCTCCAAACTCATCTGAATAAATTCAGCAGAATCGGATGGATACAGCTTTCCAAGAATGCACATAACAGTATTAACAGGTTTGGATATATGCAATTTACGAACAAGATATTTCAATGAGAAAAATATTGACGGAGTCTCTGTCAATTCTAATGAGGAGTCTTCACCACTGATATCTCCTTCTAGGTCATCACCTGAACTCTTCACATTCATCTAATGAAAATAAAGCCTAAAAGACTAAATATTACCTTTGATTTAGATGCATTGTTGGTTGTAACTTTGCGTTTGCATTGAGCTAAAAACAAAATTGTTAAATAGAAGCCAGTAGACTTACCAAGTTGATACTGATCAAATTCAGGGAACTTTGAAATCATACATTTTTTCAATGCTTTCGGTAATCGTTTAAGTTTGGAATCACCACTTAAAGACTTTAAAAATAAGCTTATATATGTATTGGAAGCTTACTGCATAAAATTCAGCAACTTCTATCCAGTCCAAAGGTGAACAAATACATGCATCAAAATACTTGCTTAGAAAAGCACAACATTGTGCATAAAAGCAAGCACTTGATATTAACAAGTTGGCTGTCTTTTGAATGCCTAAATGTTTGTGACAATAAAAAGCAACCTAAAAAGTTATGAATTATGTTATAATAGATTAACTTTGAGGATAAATTCTGGATCCTTTTCAGCACATGTACATATTAACAGCCCTAAACGTTTTGTATCTTCTCTTTCAAGTTTGTTGATAACTGATGCCAACACTGCACTAACTATATCACACTAAAATGATATGTACCATAATCTGTACTGAAATTTCAAACCTTCAGTGTGTAGTGGTTGTCTTCAGCTATCGATACCAGGTTGAACAGATCACTATCCTGATATTCAATATATGACTCATGTACTTGGGTATCCCCTGAAAGTATCATAGTTTCTTCTGTATTCATCAGGTAGGTTTAGAAACAATTCCAAAGTATTTAAGATCTCTACTACACAACCGGTTATAATGTAGCCTATCCGACGATTGTGTTGGAAAAATAGCTTAACCTGATAGTGTTTACAATAAAATACACTATAAAACTCAGGAGATTAAGAACAGATTATGTCTCCTAAATCAGTAATGAACGATATAAAGACGTGTAAACAATACTTTGTAGTTCACAATGTGTATAATATGAAAGTTCTTCAAATGAATGAATTGGTAAGAAATTTCAGAAAACGGCTTATCCAGGCACCATCAGATTCTATAAAAAAGATATAAAAAAGAAAACTAATAACGAAATGAAAACATGAAGTGAAAAACACAGTACTCTTATCGATCAGAAGGTACGATGTAAATTATTTTTCGCCTAAAAGCTTCATAGAGCCACAGAGCGACCAGGAGAAAGTCTATTGAAAGACTAAAAGAAATAGACTGCTTGTTACAACTTGTCCAAATTGTCAAGGAAGGCGTACTAGAATAAAGTGTCTTATTATTGGTCTGAATCGTGTGCGGAGATGCAGACTGCCTGGTTGGGGTCCTCGAGGTGAAAGGAATCAGTGGTTGAGGATACTTGGTGACATGGCTAGAAATTTGTCACAGTGATGTAGATGTATTCACTCGTTGACACCTAAAGCTCGAATATTCGCAATAACCGTTATCTTCAGATTGTTTATGGTTCACACAACTTTGTCTACTTTGATATATCACTCTTTTTCTATCGACCTGTTCTTTTAGTACTATGAAGTTTGGCAACTTTAGCCAATGCACCTGTGTGTGACGTTCTACGTTGATTTTGTTAGTCAGTCAGTCAGTCAAAGATAAAGAACAAGCAGAAATATCGAATCCTAACGTTTTCTCTCTATCGGCTTTTACACAACCTTTGATTTTCTACACTTAGCTACACACACATCATGAAATGTAATTCTGATCATTTATTTTGCTTTCATGCACTCTTTCGCCTTGTGTAGCCAACACCGTTATTGTTTAGCGTCTCTTCTGAATTGTTCCTTGGCTAGAATAATAATTGTTAACATTGAACAACTAAAAACAAGAAGAAATACATCATTTCTACTACTTCGGTTAATTTGAAGAAGGTGGTAGCTGGTGCTTGATAAGCCATCAGATCAGTGCGTACCATGAGGAGTTAGATGGATTTAGTGGTACTGTCTGACAAGACAACTAGAGATGCATACAAACTATCCTGCTGATTTGTTACTACAATTATGGGTTGAAATGGTACAAAAAGATTGTGGAAAGTGACAAGTGAGAAAAGCTAGTGTAAAAAAATCTGACAGTCTAACTTAAATTCATTTAGACTTTCCATTTCATCATCATCATCATCATCATCAATATCAACATAGGACCAGGCATTACTGCGTGATGGTCCGAGTTGCCACAGCTCATATCAGTACATCAAGTAAAAAGGCAGTGGGGTCCAAGATGAAGATGAGAAAATTCAGTCAAAAGGAATATAAAGTACGAAAAGAGAGAAAGGAAGAATGAGAAAATGGTGAGATTCAGTATAGCGTCATTAAGATGAGGATGATGTGCGTATACATCTGCGCCACTGACATCGGTTCTCAGCCATGTGACCACCTAGAGTCTCCAACCACTGGCCCCTCTTGTCCCACGGACCCCGACTTTCCACTTAACCACATAACATCTCGTTATTAATCCAGTTGATATCTAGGGAGCATGAATTTTAGTTTAACCATAAGATAAACTGTTTAGGTGTAATGTGTAGTGGCAAATAACTCCCCAAAATCAACAGCCTAAGGTCTAGGGAATATTCAACACTGATGGGCCTGACCTTTACAGTCTAAACAGATCTGTTAAACTTGAAGCACACGACCAAGTATCCAAGCCATTTAGCACGTTTCTGTGTTGCGCCAGTTCAGTCGTTTACGATCTCCAGGCTATCTAGCTCACGCGTCTCGGTACATTGACACGATTTATCAAACCTGAGATTCTTACCTAGGTACCGTATTGCGTTTTTTCTTCCTCGTGTACTCGTGTGCATTAAAGGAGTACAAAGAATCGGTAGTTCCCCTATGTCTGTCAAGATCACATGTGGACAATTCTTAAAAATTCATATGAATTTCATATACACAGACATGAGTTCAGTAGTTGTTTCTCTGGTGTAGACTTCTATACTAGTCATATAATACCACAGGTAGTTGACTAAAATGATCTGAATTGCTTGTATTTTAAGGTTGAGTGGCGCATACAGTTGCTCAGTCTTACAGTGTCATATGTAGCTGACATATCTTTACAAGAATTAAGCAACCGGTTATTTGTACCATTTTCTGCTACTTTTGAATACAAGCCTGCATTGATTATCCACTACAAAATGAATGAGGTTAGTATTATTAGTTCACTGTTTCGACGAGTGCCAGATAGCAGCAAGCATGAATTCAGGACATTCAGTAGACCAATTCAAACCAATTTACTCAAGATGAACACCTTCAAGAAAAACTAACAACTTTTGTGTGCACATTGAATAACTTAAAGAAATACTAGCACAAACTGACAAAGGTATTTTCGGGAGTGTATGACTTATCGAAATATATATCATTATCTGCTCAGATAAGTATATGACCCTTACACCCTTACAAAAGGCATTCTTCTGATGAACCAGATTCATTTCAGTTCTTTTTGAAATGCCAAACAGTTTAAAGATAGTATCAAGAAAATCAATAGAAAGAAATCAACGTAGGACCTCGCGTAGAAGTGTATCACTTCAAGTTTACATACTTTACAGCAGCATACCAAGTTCAAGTAGGCACAAAGTGATATCAAAACATAAAAAAGTATGGGAGATGCATTTTAAAAACGGAGGTTAGAGAAAGTGTTTAAAATTAAGAAGACGTTCAAAGAGTAAACACATCTATGCCACTGTAATCGGTCTTTAGCCACATCACCAACAGTAACTAATAATTGATTTCTTTTGTCTCAAGAACTCCAATGAGGTAGTCTACACCTCTCTACAAGGCTCGGAACAACAGTCAGAGACTTCATGGACTGGTGCCACGTCTTAGTCTGGACATTTTTAATCCTCTTCTAATCTGGTCCAACTACCTCTAGCATCGCACGTCGAGGTAGGCGGTGACTCGTCATGCTTAGAACATGTCCAAGCCACCACAGTCGATGAACGCCCACAAACTCATTGACTGACATGCCTGCCTTGCAGAGTTCTCTTCGCCTGACCTCAACATTGTTTATATAGCGTTTCCACAATATGAGTGAAATGTCACGAAGACATATGGCCAAAAACTTATGATCTCTTCGCATCTACTTTCAGGGGCCACGTCTAAGCCGTATAAAAAGAACGGACTGCTAGTCCTTTGATAGGTAAGTGGATATATCGCCAGTCGGCACCAGAGACGACGCAATTTGGTAAGTGCCAAACGGGCCTCGTCTATCTCAGCTGAGATTTTGTCAGCAACCACGAAGTTCGGGCTGAAGTAACTCCCCAAGTAAGGGAACTAGTCGACACATTCAACCATTTAACCCACTATCACTAAACTAGAAGCAGTTGCAGACCAGTCATAGAGCATCATCTTACATTTGACAAATGCGAAGCGCATGCAAAAAACCCAGATTTCCGCATGATATTCTCAGAACATCCTACATTCTGTTAGCTTCGTCACCCGAAAACTCTAAGTCAACCGCACGCAACGTGGAGTAGATCAATCCCTGTAAAGCTAGAAGTACTTAAGGCAATGTCCATCACGAAATTAAGCAGGGATGGTGAAAATGGGAATCCGCAGTGGACACCACTGGTTGTCTCCTGCATTGATGACAGCTCTCCACAAGGGCTTTGATGAACGATACATACTAGATCGGTACTCCCTTCACAGTCAGATGCTGCCACAACACCTCTCACTCGACAGAAACAAATGTCACCAACAGGTCAAGAAATATGACAAGCGTCATCGCTGGTAAGTATGCCTCAGCCCCAAGACCTACCGAAGAGTGAAAATATGACCGACACATCCCCTTACAGGTTCAAAACGTGTCTCGTTTTCTCGAGTTTACTGTTCTCGAGGACGATGGGCGTCGGACAAGTATGCACCTTAGGATTTTAGATACGATATCAGTTAAACTGATTCTCCCAAAGTTGACTTCTCTCTCTTTTTATAGACTTGAATGTTAAGTGAAATAGACCAGTCTGAGAGTAATACTTCTGATTCCTCAACGATACTTAGCACCTGTGTTACTCCACTCAGTAGTTTCTATTACCAAGCATGAAAAAATTTAATCAGATCCATTATTCACCTCTGTAGCATCAATATTATAGCAGACAGGGACACAACGTTTCTGTAGTTCAATAGGCTTTATAGCTAGTTTGCCAAGCATCTTCGGTCTTTTTTATGTCGGTTAAGAATCGGAAGTAGTGTCACAGCCTCGCCCACTTAATTTTTGTCATGAAGCACTGGTTAATCTCTCGATATCTTGCTAAATGTTTTGCATAACGCTAGCTGTATCATCACCATCATCTGACTGCGCACTGATGCAACCATAGTTTTCACCACCACTACAAGTTTTTCTTTCGCTGATAGTGTCCCAAGACACTTCTGCAAAAAGGCAGGCAGAGATTTACATTAAAGGTTTTACAGTCAGCAAGAAGGTAGTTTACTGCAACGCCAATGTGACTGCTATAAAACCTGTTTTCACTTTATGGAACCAATAGTCATTGGCATCAGACTGAATACCGTCATCAACCTGGAAGTATCAGTCGGGTCAACCACAAACATGGCTACCGTTAACCATTTTCCATTAAGATAAAGAAAGGTAACCTTAGGTAAACAACGCACGATCACTAATCATATCTCTTAAGTGGAAAGTTACAGCATTAGGTGGAGCAGCAACCATGAAAAAAACATTTACGCAAGACAGTTTATGCTAGTAAGGTGTAAGGAAATCTCTTAATTTTTAAGTAGTGTACCGTTTTTAGTTGATACAACTTGGTTCTTTTACGCGATTCATTTAACTGTCGCATGCTATTGTTAAAGTGGCTTTTGGAATCATCAATGAAACGCTTGTTTTATAATTAAAAGGTCTACGAATTATGAGCAATGATCATAGTATAGTGGGAGTACTCAAACGAACATATCTGAATTCACCCTTTTTCATGGCTTTAAAAGTGTGTTTTGTTAACGCTTGCTGATTCTGACTGGTTGCTCAAGTTGGTTTTACAAGTTGTTAGCTTCCGCTACCTACTGTTTATATTTGCTCCGTTTCGTTCATATGATGGTGAAAATTACACACCAGAACTGATAGCCAAATTTTAATCTGTTAAGGAATAAAACTGAAGATACAAAACTAGACAAAAGTTGGTGAAGATATAGGGTTTTTCTGTCCTTCAGTGATCACCAAATGACCTCGAACTGGCACATCATACAGATGTCCGCGATTATAGACAGGCTTATGCAGAATCTTTATGATGATAATTTCAATCGAATCATGGGGAATTATTTTTCAGATGATCATCGCACATTACTTACTAGCTCTGAGGGATTTCTAATGTCTGCATTTCTTGAAAAGGAAGAAAATAACAAACAAGACATTCAATCTGGAGTATAATTCAGTATTTCGCTGTCAATTCAAAAACCTGATCAAAACCTTTTTTTCAACTCCCTAAGCCCTATTATCTCGTTGCAAGTTAGTTTGCATTGCCCATTAGCTTACAAAGCAATAGACTAACAGACAGAAGCACCTCTTTGAAGTGCAGGCACTGTTCCTTTCCTGCTTATGATCAAATTCACAAGCGTTGTGCTTTGAAACTCATGGGCGCTTAACATCAAAATTGGTGAAACTGTCTTTCTAGTTTTCTAACTAGTCCATAAATCCTCTATAAAATGATGAAGAGGCGATAAGGGACCGCTTGAAGGTTTATTTACGTCAGTAACAAAGGAACAAATATTTTACCGTACGTTCTTTTAATTTAAGCACAAATAAGACTTCGGAAAACTAGATAAGTTCCCTAACATCATTTAAAACTATATCTGCCGGAGTTTCCGACTACTGTGTATTAAGGATTGGGAAAAATAATCGTTTCCCTATTTGTGTGCTCACACTGATTCGATAGCCGCTACAGAATGGTAAACTTCTGCAGTTTCACCGAAAAAATGTGACGCGCAGCATTTAATAAGCTGACTTAACTTAAAATACCCCAGGCCAAGAGAATCTAATCTGCGGTGCACAACAATACTGAGTTATTATTACGAAAACTCTAAAAATACAGCGAGTAAAAAAGTTAGCAAATAATGCACTCAAAACTCGGAAAACGGGTTGCCCGAAACACTAGCTGAATTATAACAAGCCATAGATATTCATAAGGTTTTCGGGTTGAACTAATCTTGAATGACCGAAAAATTTAACGACAAATAATCAGGTTGCAGATGCTAGACATCAAGGTCACTCATTTATGCTCCTTTACCATGTTACTAACGCTGCTGGTGAATGCTGACGAAGACTACGTAGTTAGTCATTTACAAAAATGGATTCCTTGCGAGATGTCTAAATTGTGAGTGTGGTATTGTAATGATTTGTGAACCTAACACTGCGAAAAGAGGTGGTTTCTTAATTACTGTGTCAGCTGGATTTCTTAGGAAATCAATGAGAAAAGGATTTCATCTAAATCTCCAACAAATGATGATTTTAGCACTACACTGGGTTACTGAAACAGCTTTAGTATCAGCTGAAGCTCTGACATGTTAAGAAGGTCTTCTCAATGCAGTGGTATCAGCACTGCAGAGGTTTGTTCCGAAATAATCTGCAGCTTGTTTGTGAATTTCGGCAGAGCAGTGTATGTGGTAGGAATAGTTGAATGTCCAGCTTGGAAACGCAAACATGACTGAGTAAGGTGACTAACAGGACAGGACAAACAACTCATATATATCGACAAATCAAAAATTCTATATGCATGTGACAAAATACGAAAAGACATTTCTAGTGAACAGACGATAGATATTTTCCTCGTTGGTAGGAGACAAAGAGTAAGAATCGGTTTTCAACTCTCCTCCTAGAAGTCGTTAGGGAGTGGAGTGCCACACAGCACGGTCCTGTGCCCCCCGTTATTTCTCCTACAGGTAAATGAGCTGCCAAATATCACGAAATCCCCTATGGTTCTCCATGCTGACGATGTGAAAAGCTAGCTAAAAATTAAGGAGGATGAGGATATACGTTCACTTCAGGCAGACTTGAACAGCTTGTTAATCCGGTCATAGAAGTGGCCGATGCCTATTAACGCAGGTACATGTGCCAGCATGAGCTTCAGGCAAACGAACGTTGCAGAAACTATGGTAATACACGTTTATACGCATGTGTTATCAAAAGGAACAGTAAAGTCGCACTCGATTTTTAGGCTTCGAAATTCATAGAATAAGCTGGGAGCAAAACGAAATCAAAGTTATGCTCACCCTATTGTCAAAGATAGGTTAAATAAACGGTTACGAATCGCTCAATCATAAGATCCTCACGACCTTGAACATAATTTCACTATTCCAATATCCAATATCCAATATTGATAGTGCGAGCGTAGAAAACTAGTAGTTTTTGATCTCTCGCGTCTAGTTCTTAGGGCTTGGTTCCAGTTGTTCGGTTTACTCCTGCAGTGGACGAGGAAATCCCCTCTGCTTTCTTGCTTTTAGCTTCGGTGAGGTGGATGTTTTGTGGGTTAGTAGGTTGTAATTTGTAGAGTGATTAGGGAGCTACGGGTTGCTGGGACGTTTAGAGAACTGCCGTTACTCCTGTCTGTGTAGGTACCTGGAAGAGAATAGTAAGGTAGTGGTAAAGGAATGAAGAGAGAATAAAGAAGAGAGTGCAGTAGCACCATAGAGACTCTGGGAGCTGGGTTAAGGCCGTATCGCTAACCATCCTTGCCTTTAAACAGGAGTTTACGTAGATAGCCACTCCCCCTCCTGCTCTATGTTCCCTGTCCCTGCGGAAGAGTTCCATGCCAGCAACATGCATCTCTTCGTCGGAGATGTCCGACGAGAGCCAGGATTCGGTGATGAATATGATGTCGTAGTGCTGATGTTCACGCAGCGTCCTCATTTTTGCTACCTTTCCTATTAGCCCCCTAACGTTGCTGTACATACATATTAGAGTGTGCCTGATGAGAGGGGAGGTCTGGATGTGTATTTTCGAGGGATGAGCGCTTACGTGGTTGAATTTAGCCTCGCCAGTCCTCATAGGACTGGCATTGTTCCGTTTTTTTGTGTTGTGTTCTTAACTTGGGTGGGGGCTGTAGCAGTGGTGGCTTCTTTACTTGATGTATCTGACTCACTGGTCAGCGCCTGTGTGACGACCACTGACTCCAGAGGTCTTGGTGGTTGCCGTCTCTCCTCTTGCCTTGTGGGTCTAGGCTTACTTTCACATATACGTATTGAGCCACCCATGCGATCTTTCGCATTATACCATGCGTGCAGAACGTCTGTGAGGGAGGCATATGAGTCGAACTGGACGGCAAGTAGTCTGGGATTGGGTATGGTCTTCAGGTGCGCTGGCCTTGGCAGTCTACTGACGCTGTTGGCCGGTATACTGTTGAGACCAACTTTGGTTGAGAGCCATTGCCATTGTTGGACGTCGTGAAAGTACCGATCTTTGACCGAGCTGTCACTTGGCAATTCTGGAATCCCATGTACAACTATAGTGTTGTTTCTGTTGGGATTTCCAACCGCTGACTTTCTCTCCTCCTCTCTTACTGACCATGGCTTGTCAGGCCTGGCCCGAATTTTACAGGCATTAACAACGTCCGGTTGTCGCGAGAGGAGGAGTGTGTCTTCAGCCTCTTTGGCGGTATTTAGGGACACACGTAAAGGGGGTGGCTTATCTCGGGGTGCATGGCTTCCTCGAGAAAGGCGACACAAAGTTGCAGGGAGGGGAGGGAGTCCCAGCATCTGACAGTAGTCGGTCCACATTCGGCTGTCAAATTGTTCCCTCTCGACCAACAATGAGTCTGTCGATACATCGACGTTGAACAAAATGATCGAGTTGGTCCTCCTGTGACCTGGGTTCGTTGTGGGTGGCACGCCCGACTTCCCAATGGGTTTGAGTAATTCCACTGGTTGTTTCTCAGTCACGGTGTGTGGGGTGTTCGGAATGGGTTTCGTAGAGGCTTCGGCGGTCGATGTCTTTGGCCATGCGCTTGACGTCCCCTGGGGCCGGGTGGGGGTATGGAGACTTGACCTAATATGGTCCCCACGCGAGATGGCGTGCCCACAGCTGGAGCTCTAGGTCTGTTTCCAGGTCTCTCTGTGTTATCCTTTGGTGTTAACCCTACTTATTCGAGGATGCTGGTAGCTTTTGCGTGGCGGAGAGCATCTCCTTCAGGCTTTCTGTGCGGAGTGCGGGCATTTTCCTGCACTCTGGACAGATGTACCAGAACCACTTGCATGGTTGTCTCTTCATCAGCTTATAGTATTGTCGGGGGACTTTGGTATCGCAGTGGCAATGCACCCATCGTTGACACAGGTTGCATGCAAATGCCTCATCGACTACCGAAACAACTTTGGTGCAAACACTGCAGCCATCGGGTGTCGTAATACAGCCTTCCTTCCATGAATAAGGTGCTACGGATTGTGGCGAACTGCTTGTGGCTGCCTTGTTCTGAAGCCTTTTACGTCGTCTTCTATTTCAGGCATGGTATGATCCTTGCTCAAGATAGGACTAGTTTGTGACGGGCTAGTGCTTCTCTGTGTCACCTGTCTGATGGCGACTGGAATTCTAGAAACATGGGTTGGCCACTTCTTCAGAAGTTCGATGTTCTGCCCTACCTCTGTTTGTCTTCTAGTACAGACTAGTGTGTTGTTTAGGGTGTTACTGGCCGTTGTTGTGCACGACCGCGTTATCCGTGTCAAAGCTTCAGACCTAGCGTTTTGGGCAGACATGTCGCTATGATATAAACTTCTTGGGAAAACAAGTAGTTAACAACAATAAGAGGGTTGAAGACTGAATGCAGGAAAAGGACAGAATAGAAAAGGGAAGATAATTTATGTTGGCTCACCTTCAGACACTTGTCACTTGATCCTCTGCTCTTGACCAACGAGTTTAACCGTAAGCTCCAGATGCGTATGTATAACCAGGAAAGATATTTCCTGGGGAATGACCTCCGAGGAGAACCGAGAGCTAAGGCAGTTTGGCAGCTGAAACGCCCAAGAACCACTGACAGGAGGTAGACCGGTTGGTTCAAAGGAATAATAATGCCAATTTTCAACTGTTGAGGAGTGAGCTGACGAATGCGCAGGGGTGAGGTGCGTGGACGGACAGAAGTGCTGCAAACGTTCGATGTTTTTAGATTGAGTATTGCAAGTGGGAGTTTTTCATTGTGGAAAAATCCAAAAGCTGAGAGACGAGCGAAACACGCCACTACTCAATTCTCATTTTATTCTTTTGTCCCTCAGGTAACTAGGTTACTATCCAACATTAATAAGTTTTAAGTTGTGTTATGTTATTATGATATTATTATTATTGTTTGTCCCTTGAGTTCCTAGTGGAACAAAGGACTTCAGTTGCACGTCGACGTTCCACACTGTCTTCTGCAGTCTTTCAAACCTGGCTCCACGACTACCCAGATGCGTTCATTTCTTCCTCACACCATCTCCTCCATGTCACCCTCATCTCTGACGCCCAACTCGTCGTTTCCCATTTCAGTTCCACTCGACGGCATGACGCGTGATGTCCCGAAATGGTCATTTAAGTGTATGTCTAGTCGAATCCAATCCATCTCCACTTTCTTCTTGTGTATATTTGCTGGGCAATGGGTTGTTGGTTGGTTCGTTGCCAGACAGACAGACAGACAGACAGACAGCCAGATTTCCTTGTTGCTTATTCTCATTATTGTGGTCAACCATCCGATCTTCAGTATTGAGTGAGTGTAGATGGCAGCTGTTGATGTATGTCTGTAGTTTGTTGGAAATGCTTTTCGTAACGCACCGAGTCTGTGAACTATAACATGGAAGCACTGACTTACTTGAGTGAATTGGTGTTGAAAATCTGGACGTGGTTCACGTTTTATGCTGAGTGGAGTGGAGTGGAGTGGAGTGGAGTGGAGTGGAGTAGATCTGCACACTGACTTAATTTCAGATTGATGAAGGGGAGTCTTGCTTTCTTTCGGATCCTGGCTTTGACGTGTTTGTCTGTGCCTGTGCCGCGAGCAGTTGAGAAGATGCTGCCTAGGTGGGTATTTAAGTAGATGAAAGGGACAACTTCCTTAGACTTGTCCCGTTGATGGTGATTGGTGCTTGTTGTTGTTGTTGGTTGGGTATCTTCATCACCTCTGTCTTCTCTACGTTCACCTGGAGTGTAGTGTGGTTTTCCTTCACTGCCCTGCCTCTTCTGGCAACTTGTTAGTTTTTGTGTGTAGATCTTCGAGTTTGTGCGACAGACATTAGAGATGAATCATGATGGTCGAAATCGGAATGTTCTTGTGGGGTGTTTTCATAGGTGAAGCAGCGTATGTCCATCTTCTCGCTCGTTACAGTTTGTTGCGTGATGCAGTCGAGTCTAGTCTACGACATTCAGGAAGATCATCGATGATAGTAGGCTGCAACCTTGTCTTACTCCTTCCTTCACTTCGAACCTATCATTACCTAGCTTTTCGTTGTATCAGAAGTTACTTGGCATGTAGCACTCTCAAACGCTTAGCATATAGCTGTTTAATGAGGTTGGTAAAGGTTCGTGGCACTGAAAACATATTGCTGAAGCGGCCGCCAAATTATTTCCCTGTAGACATTATCGACGGCCCTACTAAAAGTCGATGGAGTTTGAGGTGAAATACCATTTGACTGCCACTCTATGCTTCATTCTATGATGACGCGTAGCCTAGTGCTACAAATTGATCCACACATGATTTGTTTTTGCCGAAGCCAGCCAGCCTGTTTCTGCCGTAATTTCGAATCAAGAGCGCCTTTTAATCACTCCAGGATGATGCAACCCAATATTTTGCTTGGGGTGGAGCATGATTCCACGCCGGTTCTTGCAAAAGCTCAGGTCGCCCTTGTTTTGGGGCCCAGCAAGATGGCCTTTCAACCAGTCAGTCGGCAGGTACCTTTCCTTCCCTTCCTACAAACCCTCTGCAATGGTCGTGTGAACATTTTCACCGATACCTCTGTGTCTGTTTTCAGTACTTCTGGGGAAATTTCAGCTGGTTCTGCTGCTTTCCGGTTTTCAGCAACTTTGTGGCGTTCAGGACTTCACTTCCGTTTCTGTCGTTCTATGGTTGGAGAGCTGGTTTTATATCTGCACGAGTTACAGGTTGTGATGGCGGTCGACTCAAGAGGTTTTTGAAGCCGTCAGCCAGTCGTTTCCTTCGTTTCTCCCCTTCGGTAACTAAGTTTCCTTCACTATTTTTCATTTGTTTCATCTGTGTTCATCTCTGCCCTACCGGATAGTAAGGTGGTTATTTGATACAATGTTGTCAGCTCTCCGTCTTTCCTGCCAGCAGCCTGTTCTGCTC